TTGCGCCTTGGAAAAGCGCCCTTTCGATTTTCTCCACAGACCACAAACCCATTGTCCATTTCCAACGAATTGTATTTTCCCATTGACGTAATCCGGCTATTCCGGTAATTCTTCATAAATCCCCAAACTTCAAAGCCCCCCACAATCTTTCAATGCATTCCATGGCCGGCTCCCTAGAGACCTCCAATTTCTACGCCGGTTCCTGGTCTCTCAGCTCCCACCAAAAAAAATATGTCAAAAACCGGGCCAATTCGTCAAACTCGACTCTCGACAAACGCCGCGTGTGCCCCAGTCCACCTTCCTCAATTTCACACAAATTGAACAATTTTTCGATAGTGGTGCCCGGTTTTGTCGGGGATTGGTGAATTTTCACGGGTCTCGGTTCAAGGACGGGGGTGGTTTAATTAAAAACGCTGGAAAGGGTGTGGAAGATCGCTTCGTTGGATGGGTTGGAGGGGGAACTCATTATGGATTAAGGAACTCATTAATAAAGTCGTTCGGGACGGAAACGGGGTGGCCAACCGCCAGTTTTCCGATCCGATCTTTTTTGATATGTTGCCCCAGGGGGACATTACCTCAGCGTATGGTTGACGTCAGTTTTAGTACACCGATTGTGCTGGCTTTGCTGATTTTAGCGAAACTTACAGATTATAGGGAAAGGTTTATTTTGCATCCCTGGAAGACTGATTTTTGATATCTTCGAGGGCTCTAGAAAAGCATGAAAAATACGTGAAACCGGCTAAACTACGGCTTCAAGGATTTTATATAAAAAAACTTTGTAACTTAGGAGCTGGGAAACATTTAAAAACATTTTTAAGGAAAGTTTTTAGAGATTTAAAGCAAGATTTGAAAAGCGAGAAAGCGTCAACTTTAATACACAAATCCACAGCTCCAAAAACTGCAAATTCCCAGCGATTTTAATAAGATGCCATCTGCGTATTACCTGCTTGCACTTCTACCCTTTTGTTCCCTCCACCCTAATACGCATCCAAAACCAAATCCAAAAACCCTAATTGCCAATCTCTTCAAATCCAATCTACCCTCCTCTTTGTAGGCTTCCCAAAAATAGATTTCCGGTCGCCCCGTTTTCGCCGCCCTCAGTTTTTTAAACTTACACAAAGGGCGTCATATCGAAAGGGCTGCCTCCTTGGGAACCATCTCCCCCCCGTTTTTTCCACCACCACCACCACACATATAACAACCCGACCCTCCACTCCACTCCATCCCTCCTTACCAACTAGGTGATCTCGCTTTTTGCCTTTCTTTTTTTCAATTAGCCCCTGCGCCGACGAGTAATCCAGCTGCTGTCCGTTTGGGCCCAAAATTTGCGTCTTTTGTGACGTCGTGCGGGTGAGGGGGATGGCTCGGTAGCAAATTGGGAACATTAGCACATTGAGACGTACATCGTCAGTTCTTTCTCGTCACCTCTAATGTTTAGGACGGTAGAGTTGGAGTCTTCAAGCGAGTTTTCGTGTTTGCGCATAAAGGGCAGGTGGAAATGTGTCGCGTACACTGCTCACCACGGCTCAGCCAGACTGAAAATCGCAAAATCATTTGCTTAAAAATTATATAGATTTTATACTTTTGCCAGCTTCTGTTGGTATCGCTTAAAAATTCGGATACAACATGCTCTACTTTCCCTCTTCAGTAAATAGGCAAAACGGTATAGGCTTTAAAAAAGGTGACCCTCAAAAATTCAGAGCTAAATGGATAAAAACGACATATATCATAAGCTTGAAAACTGCCTCCTTAAAAATTGAGATAAAACGTACGCATTTTTTCATGTTGTTAAGCAAGTAACGACTCTCTACGCTCCCATTCTCTTCTTAAAAAACTGCCATTTGCTCCCAATCCGAAACGTGAGAATATTCACATGCAGACAAAATCTCAGCCAGTTTCTCTGTGGCCCCCGGATCATTTTGTTTTTTTGGCCGCTCTGCATTTGGGTGGGAGGGTTCTGGACCGGATATCTGATGTCGAGGGAAATGGGAATGGGTTTACCCCCATGGGGGTAAAGGTTGCCTCGAATTTAATAGCGATTGACTCCCGGGGGAAGGGCAAGGAAATACCAATTTTTGCCAAACTCGTCTATATTTGAACTCGGCAGCTTAATCGGTATGATGCGTCGAGGCTTTGCTTAGGCAAACTTTATGCACTTTAATAGAATTACCCAAAGAAAACATCCTAACTTCCAAAATAAAATCGACAGTTTCTCTGTCTCAGCGTCTCTTCGTCAGTCCAAGTCCGAATCCCCGATTCGCTGAATTCCGATTTTTCTAAATTCCCCTAAATCCATTTTTACACTACTGGCTGCGACCACCGGTTTTCGAAACTCACGCCAATTAGTGCATTAAGGAGAAAGTGTCTAGGGAGTATCTCAGCCGCCACCATTCCGATCACAAGGTACCCCCGCAGTACCACGTTCGTTAGCCCCCTCCCCCTCCCGGATCAACGCCAGTAAATCCCAGCCCTTTTGCAAAGCCCACCCCTGAACATTTAATCCTGGCAATTTTAATTTCGCCTTTGGTATTTACTCGACATATTTTTTGTCTCTTTTCTGATGATGGATGGAAAACTGAATTGAAGCTTGCCTTCACGGTTCCTTTAAAAAACCGTAAAATTTCGATTACAGCTCCGATTCGCTTTACAATCAGGTTGGCGTCAAAAGCAAAAAAAATGTCATTGGCACCGCCTTCTAAGCACACCTTTGAAGTCATTTTTTCGAGGCCCGAAACCAAACATCAATGTTCTATTCCCGGTAATCAAAAATTTTTACCTCTTTCTGTCCAAGACACCCCCCGTTCCAACCATTTTGGCTTTTCAATCTACGATTCCCGCCGCCAAACTTGGCGCTAAGTCTGCAATTAGGAGCATTAGCGATCGAGGCTCTAGACAAGAGGAGTGGCCACAATTAAGTGATGCGCCCCTGATGGGGTCCATTCCTCCCCCCCCACCAACACAGCTAATTGGCCACTTATTACTGGGGGGCGGCAACGGAATTCCGGGCCCTTCACCCGCCATATTCGCCACTCGCAAACATTCCATCTACTCGGTTTACACCTAAATACATTCGGTTACCGCGTCATTTATTGTTGTCGGCGTTTGTATCGCCGGAACTGGAGTTACAACGCAAAAGGAGGGTACTTCGTCGTTTTTCCTCCTTTCCTTTTATTTGCACGAATTAAATTATTAAGTTAATGAATAAATATAATTTTGAAAAAATGGATTTTTAATCTAGATGAATACCAGAAATAGTGGTAATTCAGATCGATTTTGACCAATACCATTTGTTTTCGATGTCTAAAATTATCCAAAGGTGGGAAGAATAGGTTATATTGTATTCGGTGGGTTATATTTTCATAGTAGAGGAAATACTGGTTTTTCCAGGTTTTTCCACTAAACTTTAGAGTTCAAAAACCCCCAATTCAACGCCCCGAAATGCCGAAAAACAAGGCCCTACTGTACCCCTTTTCGATCCAAGCTGAATTTCGCCTCGCACCCGCTCATTACCCATTGGCCTCATCCCCCCTTCTCACCCTCCCCTCCGTTTTCTCCGTTCCACCATAAACGCGATTCGTCACGCATCGTTGCCATCCATCCGTTCCGGGCGCGTCGCAATTTTTGTGTGCTATTTTTTTGCTATTTTTCGGGTGAATTTTAGCTTTACATCATGAGCGGCGGGCGGAAATTGGCGTCTGGGATTGGGAAGGTTATTGAGGATGTGGTGGTGGGAAATGAGGGTATATTGTGCTTTGGTCCAGACGTTTTTCAAAGGGATGCTACCGTAGGTTATGCGGGATCTTGTAGAACAGATAAAGTTCCATAAGGAACTTTAACCGTTTCTAAATTAATACCGAACCTGGTTTTGAAATTGATCGATTTTGACAAGTTTCATCGGTTTTTACTAGTCTAAACTGCCTTAAGCTTCTATAGCACATAGGCGGAACTTCTTTTCATTCTCAATACAATTTCGACGCATTTTCACATGAAATACGGTAAATACAGTTTTCTTCGATCAAAACACATCACACATTTCCGACACGTTCCAATTCTTCCGCCCTCCTAACCCCCAACGCCCACGCAAAGCCCATCTTTTACGAGCTGTCAAAAAAAAATATCGGTAGACGCCCTTCCCTCCCAACTAACGAGAATGGTTTATGGCGGAATTTTATCGTGCCCTCCCAATAAATTGGAAATCGGTTTCAACGGGCAGCAAACCTGACCTGACAGGACCGCGGGTTAGATTTTATCGGGAATTTTTTCTAAAGTCGCGAAACCTACCGACACTGTCTCACGCGATTTCACTACTTGTAAAGCCCTGAAAGCAAGTTTTATTCGGAAGTAAGGCGCATCTTCACGCTTTAGTACGTATATACCTACCTACGGAGAGAGGTGTCGTACGTTCAACTCCTCGATGCGCGCCCATGGTTTTTATAAAGCTTACTAACCCCTGATTCCCAGAGAAGTGTCCGCGTTCAATTCAGCCCATGACTCATCTCAGCTTTCCACTACCATCCTTTATTTGCATTTCCAACGCCCCCCTTTTTGCAGACAAACCCCGCGGATCCCCTCCCCGAAAAAATCTTTCACCCCCCCACACGGTTGGGCCCTTTGTCGCATTGCTCGGCCGCATCCCTTGATTCGTCTTTTCTTTTTTGCTTTCCTTCTTGCTGGGGGGATCTCGGACTCCAATTTGCCCTCAACATTCCGGGCACAGCGGCCCATCGTTTGGATGACATCGGAATCCTCGTCCAACTACAAATAAAAGCCGTCCCTCTGGCTGGGGGTGGTCGTTTTGAATGCTTTGTATTGTGTGGCGCGTGGGTCGAATGTTTGGTCAGATAAGGGGAGAAAGTCATGGAAATGTTGCCTTATTTTGAAAGTATCACACTCGTAAACTTTTCCGTTGATCTCTCATCTACCACGATTTTCTATATCACGATTTCCATTTTTGTTTGAATTTTTGAAGTTTGTTAATCGCTAATGCCATTACTTTCCAGATGTCGATCTTCAAGAAGCTTAAGAAAGATGAAAAGAACAAGGGAGCCCCTCTACCGGAACCAGAGCCCGTAAAGCAGCTCGACAAGCGAGTAGGCCTGGAAACATACCGGTATGTCTCAATACAGATTACATTTTAATCGTCGGTTTTTCAGAGATTTCTTCACATTGAAAAACTACTGGAAAACCGTGGACCGGAAGCGGCAAGACGCGGGGAATGCGATGTTGTATAGGTGGGTCGGAATCCTAGATCTCGGGGAAAGTTATTTTAAATGTTTTATTAAAAAAGGTGAAGGGCTGAGTTACTTTAAATAGATCATAAAATGTGAAAACATTCGCAATGGTCCAGCGGCTACAATAACCCCAGTTGTCGAAAGGAGCGCGCGGAACCCACGCACATAAAAGAACTACATTATTGGTGGATCCCGTGGGTTGAAAAAGAAAGAAGGAACAAAGAAAGAAAAAGAAAGGATGGGGGATTTGGAAGGAAGTAATGGCGTCGTCAGAAGAGTCCTCTCCACATAGTCCATCAGTCCATATAAAGACAATGGACCGGGGAGGGCCACTCGTCCTCCCCACCTGTCCCTCCCACATCAGCTTCGGGGCGTAATCTCGCATTCGAATGCTCCAGACCACATTTTATCCTTCGCCGAATCTTTAGGTCGCAAAATGCTAGAACGGTTTTCATTTATTTTAGTTTTAAGCCCAAGCCTAAGCATCCTAGAATTTCTCTGTTGTCAAAAATTAAGGTCAACTTAACTACGTCATTAGGCATATGTTGGTCTCGAGTCTTGCCGTAGTTGGAAAGCCATTTTAAAACAGTGGTTTTCTAAAGGAAATTTAAGTTTTCGTTAAAATATCGTTATTTCTGTTTGCTAAGAGAAAATTAGCATGTACAAGTTTTCATATTTTTCCGAACAGGATTTAAACCTAGAATTTATGCAAATTAATTGATTTATTTATGCAATTTAAAGGGCCTAAGCGTCTTTGAGTTTTAGATTTTTTAGATTTAATTAAATTTTTTAGATATTTTGCCATCTGGGTTTATCGGCGCTAGACAAGGGAAGACTTTTGAGGACAGGTTCGAAGGCTTGGGCCGGATTTTCGCAAATATTATTTCAGTTCCAACATAAAGTAGCTCCATTCCATCGCCAAAAAACAATGTCCTAACCACCTCCCCTACCGCTGCCACTCAATTCGTGGTACATAACCAACTGTGGGGCGCCGGGCAGCTCTCATTAGTTGTTACGTAGCAGCCCATGCTTGTGTCCCCCTCCAGGTCCCGCGCGGGAGTGTTCCCACCCTGTGGGGGTCCCCATGGCTCGGGCATTTGGCCCACATCGAGACCCCCACAAAGGGGCCCGTCAACTGGCTCATTACAGCCACTTTCACTTTATCGACGGTCCGCGGTGCCTTGATGTCGTGGCCGTTTTGCAACAATCCCGCTATCTTAATTTGCTAATCACAGGGTGGAAACCGCTCGCGGCTTTCACCCGGCCCCAGGGCCTGTGAAGTCAATCTGCATGCTTCTACCGAATCTAGGACGAAAAGGAAAACGCGCGATCTTCCTTTATAGCCGCCTCCACTTCCGGTGCATTCTAATTGATTCCTAACAAAGAGGATGGTCGAGAATTTTAGAAAAACCTAATTTTAATGTCGAAAAATGAACTTTCCAAAAATCTGATTAGTGTGCAGCCGTTCCCAAGCCATTACGCACCGAATGACGATCACACCCCAGCTTCCCTCCGTCTTGATACGACTGGAACAACTGACGGAAGGCATGCATGCACCACACACAGACACTATTTTTTTATATATAGTAGGATTCTAGAAAATTGGGGGTTTCGTTCAACTTATGGTTAGATTTTCAATGCATTAAACTGTCAATTAAAGTAATTGCTGTTTAGGTCGCAAGATCTATACAGTATAGTATAATAGCGTACATAAGAGCGGTATGTTACGCTACGAACGGCTCCTTTGTAAGTCTTTGTGAGCTGCATCATTTATATTAAGGCAGTTTGACCTTTTCATCTCACACTTTAAGGGTACTAAAAAGTGAGGGTTGAACAGCAAAAACCAATACAATTTTTCATATTTCCGGTACAAAGAAGCGGTACGTTGCGCTCCGAAAGGCCTATTTACACACCTTTTCTAGAGACCTGCTTGATTTTTGGGAATTTACCTCTGATTTTTAAAATTTTTGGTACTACGTAGATTTCCCTAGAATCAGCCTCCCAAACTACATGACTTTCTAAGGAATGACGATCTAAATCAGCCTTTCACACGAGCACATTTCCTGCGAACCTAATTCCGTTTGACATCACAGCCGCTGGTAATAAATTAGCACGGTGGCTTATTCATGGCAGTGGGAGGTGGTGGACGCCTTTTGCTGAAAGCATGTAATCATGAGGAGATTGGGCCTTGGACGGGTTGGACCTCCCTGGTTGCGCGCACCTGGCTCCCATTTTAATGGGAGCCAGTCGATGTCGCGGAATCGAACCCGGACCCTCCGCCTGGGAGCCCTGTGGCGCAATGAGGAGGCGTGGGCGTGCCATCCAGAGCTGGCCAGTTCAATCCCAGCCCCTCTCAAAAGCCGAATTTCGTTTTGCTCTTTTTTGCAATGGCTTCAGCATGACGACTACATGCAAATTCATGTCTTCTATTTTCAAAACTAACGATTTTGTATTTTTAGGGGTCGTTTTTGTTGCATTTTCCGCGCACAAATCGCGTTATAGTAAAATTGGACACCTGCCACACGATCAATACATCATTCGACGCAGAATTTTTTGGCGAATCTTTCTATGCTATTTTGCAGTTGCGCTGAGATGTCCCAAAATTCGAAAGTGTCGAAATACTTTTAGTACAAATTTTGCGGGCTCGCCTGGGCAGTAAAATTTGGGTTTGTTACGGCCCTCCTGGGGTACATTTCTGCATTTCGATAAATGGGCTTTCTGGGAATGTTTTCAACGTAAAGCGCACGTTTATCGAGGTGGTCGTCTAAACCTAACAACATCTGCGTAACTAGGAAAATACGAAATTGGCTGTGCTTACTTCACTTTTTGCTTATCCCTGCTTTCCCTAAAAACCAAAAAGTTGTATTTTGTGCCTCCCTTTCTGGGGCCCACTATCACACCAAGCCCGAATCGGTGCACTGGGGCCATTCACCAACCCGGTTAAAGCGATTCGGCGCTCCGTAATTACGAATCGAGCCCATAACCACATTTACCTGCCCCGAACGACGTCAGCGTCGTTTCGAGCTACGACGAACAATTCCGATTTAATTAAATATCCTTTTTGAGGTGATTTCTAGTAGTTGCCGCCCCCTCAATGATTGGTGCCGCTCCAAGCGAGACGACCTTTTACTTGCCCTACAATTATCTCAAATTCGGCTTTTAAAGTGGGCACTCGGGCTAAACTACTTCTAAGCCGTTCATAGTAGCGAAACGTGCTTCATGTTTTCCCCATAGCACCCACCACCCCACCAGGTGAACGTGCTGCGCCTGTGCCATATATTTTTTGCGCCCTCACATAGGGAACGGCAGGTTATTGATTGTCGAGAGTTCCCCTCCCAACTTTCTTTTACTGCAAATTGTAGGGACTAATTTGTTGAAAGCCGTTCACAGGTGGGCCCTCCCCCCACTCTATGGCCCAGTGCCAGACATCTTTTTTGGGGCCCACCCCCTTCACTTCCATGTCGTTCGTCGCCCCCAAAATTGGTAATTTCCGCCAATTTGCCTAGCTTCTCCGCCTTCGCTGTGTTTTTCTTTGAAAGCCACGATTTGGCCACCCAGGAACTCACTAAGCTTTCGCTACGCAATTTTTTGGCTTTCTTCTGTCTAAATTCTTTCCGCTCTCTGAACCCGCACATCATCCAGGCCTATAATTTGGCATACCGGAGATTCCTCAATGACATTGAATAATAAAATCTGGTCCGAATATTGTGACTCCCCTATTGGCTGTTCTCTCTTATTGCAGTTCCAATAATTTTGGAAGTATTTTAGATTCATAAAGTCCAGCACTTCTCCTAGCCCGCAGTAATCTTCCAAAAAGTCTGGAGATCTGCTCGGGACCCATTAGATGGCAGGGCAACGACGGAGAGATCCTAGTGACGCCCAACTTGGCTCTTAGAAACTCACCGGGTTCCGAACCGGGACCCTATTCCCGGGCATCAGCCCCCCTGCCTACTGCGCCACATGGGCTCCGGCTCATCCTCGGCGAAGAAGGCGCCGCCTAAGGAAGAAAAACCGCCAGAAGCCGAACAACCCCCACAAACAGACCCTCGACTCCCATATGCTAATTTTCGGGAGGTGTTCACGCTCAAGAATTTCTGGAAAACGATTCGACGTAATGACAAGGAATGCGCGAAAAAGATGTTCGCCGAGTAAGTGGTAGTAAGGACCCAAGTATGTAATTGTCATTTACATTGAGTTTTATTCAGTACGAAATGGTACGTTATAGGAGTGTAATTCTATTTTGGTACCCTTCGGGGATCGTTGGTTCTTGGCACGAACCTACCGGGATGATGGCAGTGCTGGGTGCCCCCTCCCACACAACTAATTTGACAGCAGACCACATTCACATGAAAACAATTTAGCTGATTATAGCCCCCTTTGGGGATTTCGGCAAAACCTCTGGCGCCCAAAACCCAAACATTCTAATTCCGAAATCGATAAATATTTTTGGATTTTGGGATTGATGACGTAAAATCCGGGGTTTTTCAAGTCTAGTAGCCCTTCACCGGGGGGAAATGGGGAACATGCGCTGAAGCGGAAGATAATTGTGCTTCTTGCAGGTACTTGAAGCAGCAGTCGGAGAACAAAGCAAAGTATGGACGATTGAAGAATGTGGATGTGTCGTCGATAGATGCCGCTTGTAGTGACCCGGCGTTTGAGGCGATGGCTCAGAATTATTTGAAGGTAGAATTATTCAAAAATTAATTCAAAATTATATTTTGTGGGATAAGTGTATTAAAGGAGAAGGAATTTGCTAAAGTATAATTTCAGGTGTTTGATGATGTTATCGGGGCTATTGAAGAGAAGCCAGCAGACGTGCAGGCAGCTTGTGATCGGCTGATGTCAGTAGGGAAAATGCATCGGAATAAAGTAGGGTTTTCTTTATGATAATCGTATGTTTAAAAAAATTGAGAATCGGTTGTTTTAGTCAGGCTTTTCGAAACAACAATTCGACCTTGAAAAATTATCAAACCATTTATAGGTACCTGGCATGGACGGCTCACAATTTCAACAACTCGAAGAACCCTTCCTCTTCATGGTTCAAGACGTACTACAAGACCGATTCAATGAAAAAGCCGAAACCCTTTTCCGCAAATTCTTCCAATTCTGCCTGAAATTCCTCCTCGAAGGGTTCTCCAAGTAAACCCTCTACGCCCTTTCCAACAGCTTCCTCGCTATCATCAGAATTTCTATCCGTTTCTCGATTTTCGCTTTCCGAAATAAGCCAAATGCGTAAGTTTACAGAGAGTAAGTATTTTGCTGCTTCCTTATTTTTGTCCTAATACCCCCATTACTACTCTCTGGCCAGGGTAAACGTTGGATGTGTATTTTGTGCAAAATTTATTATCCTTCTTCATTTCCATTATTCTTACAATTTTGTGAGATAATACTTTTATATATTAATTTGCCGATCCTCAACCACCCATTCCGCTGGAGGTTGTTCCCGTGTCGATTGCTCATTGCTGGTTCGTTTCATGGATTTACCCTTTTTTCGACAAGCTGCTTCTGTATTTTCGTAGATGACGCCCAACCCCCTTGCCTCAAATCTATAATTCTGTTTTAAGGAAAGAGTAGAAAAATGGAGATAGAATTCTACAAGACAGCACATTTTAATTTTTAGTATTACAACTCCATTTTACTGCTTCCTCCTACCAAGAATTGTGTATATACTTCCCCTCAGTTCATTTAAGGACTATTTTTTTGGATGTTCTGGTCATTTTTCAGTAAATATTTGTCATTGATCTCGTGCCATGTGTGACGTTTTGATAAAATAAACGTTTAATGAATGAACAAACTAAAGCAAGTCAACCAGGAAATTACGTGAACAATTAATGGAGATAACAGGAAAAGCGGCGTGAATTTTTGGGGCGTCACTCTCGCCCACTCCCTCTCTCTTTCTTTTCTGTGTTTCTCTATTTATCGTCACGTTTCCATGCCCCTTTTTTTGCTGACTCACCACTGTCCAGTGGTTGTGAAATGCCGATACGCTTAGCTTCCATTGCTCACCCAGTTCTTCCAAACTTCTTCATTCTGATTGCGTAATTTTCTTCGTGCTAATTCTTTCTTAAAATTTACATTTATTCGCATAAATTCTTATGTTTTAGTCTGTCATAATGGACCCAAAGAATTCATTCCTCAAAAACTGCATAAAGAGACTACAAAAAGTTTCCATAAATCCGGAGGATCAACTACCACTTGATGCGGAAAAGTATGTTTCCTTTTCTAAAATTGCATTGGAAATTTTGTTGAGGCACCCCCCCCCATTAAAAAGGTATCCAAAATGTTCCCGTGGAAAACCCCGGAAAATTTTATGGCAAAAAAAAAAATTTTTAAGAATTATAACTGGGTTTTTAGTTAATTTTGGGCAAGAGAGTTTTCACCCCCGGTCTTTTATACAGAGATTCAAAGGACACAAAACTCTTGCTCTGGAGAATAAGGCTACAGAAGGTTGGTCGAAAAAAAAGGGGAAAAAAAAAAATATTTGTTTCGCTTGATGATGCATGGCGGCTAAATCTTTTCAATTTCAAAATTTTGTAAAAAATTTTCTGACAATTTTGGCGCAAGTAAACAATTTTTCCAGGGGTTTTCGCCCGGCGAATTTGGGGACTCCGCATAAGGGATGTTGGGGGGGGGGGGGGGGGGGTATGTAAACTACGCCGAATTTTTTAGCGCGGTGAATAGCCCCGGAACGGATGGGAAATACCTAAAGTTTGTGGTAATCTCTGACACCCATCAGCAATTGGACCAGATTATGGTAGGTTTTATGCAAAGCATAGCATCTTTTTCCTAGGATCGAATTCCGGATGGAGACGTCCTGCTTCACTGCGGGGACTTCACCAATTTTGGTGGACTCGCGGCTATTACTGAATTTAATGATCTCATTGGGCAACTGCCGCATCGCCATAAAATCGTCATTCCCGGAAATCATGAAGGCGGATTTCATTTAACGTATGTACATATTTTTTTGAGGGCAATCACCTTTTTTAGCGGTTCCAACTTTCAAAAGAAACGATTGGAGCTGTTGACCAATTGTCGGGTACTTTTAGATGAAAGCATTAAGGTAAAACACATAATAAACAAATATAATCTGACTTTAGATCGAAGGTATCAAAATTTACGGAAGCTCTTGGCATATATTGCCCGGTTTCTCGTTTTACGTAAAGCAATCGGAGATTGGGAAAATGTGGGCCAAGATTCCTAGAGATACCAATATTTTGATGACTCATGAGCCACCAAAAGGTTCGTGGAATTTGGAGCTCAAATTTAGTTTTTCAGGATATTGTGATATGGGAAGGCGGGGTGGTCAAACTTATGGAGATGTCGAATTGTTGAAAGCGGTCCAAGCTCGGAATATCGAGTAAGGCAACATTAATTTTTTAGAATCAAACCTTGAAATAAATGAACAACTTCCAAAATCCGTTTTAGCTTCCATGTCTTCGGCCATATCCATGAATCGTACGGTGTGATGAGCGACGGGAAAACAATTTTCATGAATGCTGCTCAATGTGATCGTGCGAAAGAAATGCATAGAAAGCCTATCATATTTTACTGTAAAACAAAGCAATAAAGATTTCTCGATTCTCAGAGTAGCTTACGCAAAGAAGTTATAAGCCTAGAACTTAGCTTCCCGTTATCGAATCCTTTTTAATGTGATGACTGCATGAATTTCCCCATCCTTTCATGATTGTTGTGCAAGGAAATTGCTGACAAATCGCTATTTAGCTGCCCGTTCCACAGTTCCGTCCATATTGCCTTTAACTAAAGGATGTCTTTCCTCGATTCTTTTCTGAACAAACTACGTGGGTCCTTCGGCGCTACTGTACCAATAGAGGAAATTCAGTTCAATGAAGAAAAGTAAGAATACATAAAAATTTACCCAAAAACCTATTTAGCGCCGTAAATTCGCCGCAAGACGATGGAGACTACTTGAAGTTTGTGGTCATCTCAGATACGCACGGGCAGATGGGAAAATGGATGGTTTGCTTTTGCAGAATTTAATTTGAGAAAATCTAGGCCGGAATCCCAGACGGTGACGTCTTGATTCATTGTGGGGATTTTACAAATAACGGAGAGGAAGAAATGATTCGTGAATTCAATCAGCAACTTGCCCAATTGCCACATCGCCATAAGATTGTGATCCCTGGGAACCATGAACTGGGGTTTGATGCCAGGTTTGCAGCTTTTGCACGTTTTTGAATTTGTTGTTTTTTAGAAGGAAAACCTTCTGCCCTGAAAAATTGACAATGGTCACAAATTGCACATTCTTAATTGATGATAGTGTTGGGGTAAACAGGTTCCGATCTATTGACCGGTCCGATCATTTCGGCTCTAAAAATACTTTGTCAGATAGAAGGGATCAAGATCTATGGAAGTTCATGGCATCCACTCCCCGGTTACGACTATTACGTACCACAAGAAAAATTGGTCGAAGAGTGGAAACGAATTCCGAAAGATACCGAAATTCTGATCACACATGGACCGCCGAAAGGTAACAAATATGAAGAATAAACTATCTTGAAGCTCAATGCTTTCAAACCTCTTAAAGCTACCCTAAAGTTAAATTAAGTCAATATTTCAGGTATTCTTGATTGGTGTCACAACGAGAAAAGGTGTGGTGATCCGGCCCTCCTAGCCGCAATCCGAAAAAGGAACATAAAGTCAGCTCATTTCGATTCTTGGAAAATAACGTTTTTTAGGTATCATCTATTCGGTCATATCCATGAGTCATATGGTGCAATGACCGATGGGCACACAACTTTTATCAATGCTTGCCAAAAGGATTGGGTCAATGGGGAATGCCAAAAGCCTGTTGTTTTTTATTACAAAAAGAAGAATGGAACGTAAATAAATATATTGCATATGTCCTTGTCTATATGTATTTGAACACAATCTGTAATTGATTTATTAGTTCATTGTCTCATTTCCGGGAATCAGAGCTTCTAATGTTCTGTTCTCTTTTAGCTGTCTTTGTTCTGCTGCTTTTACGAGAGCCTCACGCTCAGCGCTTGAATACTAAAACCGGCACACCATAGACCATAGATGGAAATTCAAAAACCTTTTCAACCATGTTCTCTTCCTGAAGCGCTTTCCGACTGCGATCATCTGGTTCCATATGTGGGCATTTATTCCGTGTATCCGGATACTTCTTATCCATATATGCATTAAATTCGGTGACAGCTTTAGCATATCTGAATTCGTAATTTGATAATTTCCTGCTCTTTTCACCTGGCCAAGACAACTTGGCGGTCATCTCGAGTCGAGCCTGCATCTCCAGGATTTTTAAATCCAGGGTGGATCGCAAATGCCATGTTCATAACGTGGAAGCGGTATCCAGCCCTACATAATGTCCAGCGCTATAAAAAAGGCATTGCAGGCAAGGCAGAGCTTGTTAAAACAGTAATAAATATAAATAATCACCTGATTGGCATTGTCTCGGATCAAATAAGGAAATGCTTCATCATGAAACGGCACGTTATTTTGGGCAACAAATTGTGGTTCCCATGCGGCATCCAGATATCTAAAATTTCAATAGCCACTGAAACAAGATCTTATATGACCTATATTTCTTGGTCCGTTTGGCCCGCCTAGTCCTCAACCAATATTCCAAATCTGGAAAATCGTAGACTTTTTAAGTGTCGAGAATACGAACCTGGTATCCAATGGGACTCAATAGCTGTCAATTCGTGAAATACCCTTACGGTAGAAATGTCAAACGCTCCTTTCAATTCTTCCATCGTCAACGGATATCCACCACTAAACAATACGCCTCTTTTCCCGAAAACTTACAGCCCGTCCGGGATCCCTTCAAAAATTCGGTAAACTAACAGATCATGTGTCATATCGATCAAATCGGAAGCCACATATTCTTTTACGATTGTTTCGAAATTAAACGAAAACATAAATTGAGCATCACTGAGCGTCATCAAAGCTTGTTTCGGCACAAACTAAAGGTTCAAATTTTGCGCGTTTATCGGGGCCCACCAATCTCGCAGCATTTCGAAGGATATTGATGGGATACCAATTGTCTTCAGTTAGCATTGGCGATTCGAAACTGCTAGTCACGTTAAAACTATCGTCAATGTGGGGATTTCTTCCGTCAATTGAATAGTCGTAGCACCTTTAAACGTAGACCCCAGGGTTCCTAAGTTTTTACCTGAATTCTCGCTCCCCCAAGGGAATCTCGAAAACAAAATGTATATCTACATTCAAAGCCTCATATTTGGTGAGCAATGATTCAAGCTGAAACTCAAATGAATGTGCTTAAAAAGCTCAAAGGTTACCTTTATTAGTGTCTTTGTTTGAAAATCTGTGTATGATTGAGTCCGAAGAGTGGGTGACGGCGCATCGACCAGGATGCTAAGAACTACAGCACCTTCCCAGGTAGAAAAATAAAAATTATTTATATTTATCATCTTTGTTGTACTCCTACTTGTCTCATCATCCCTTCATCAACATTATCAATTGTTGCATGCAGGTCTAAAAATATTTCATCCGGACTTCGGAATAAGGAGTTTCGAACGTAGGGTAGTACACAATATCCAGAATTATATTGGTAAGCACTAAAAGGGCTGGCTGTATTAGATACCCTCCACTAATTCAACCTCCTTTTCTTTCCAAAAACAATTTTCTCTTGTCCGGTGCATTTAAAAGTATGCCAAATAATTGAAGTGAATATTACAAAGTTTGTTGCGATGAGGATGGCATCATGAGGTGCTTTGACAGCTTCTGTAATCAAGCGCCGCCCGAACATTCACGCATTTCCGGTAATAGTTGGAACAATTAGGCTATGGTAAAATACGTGCGTAAGCGGATACAGATTGGGTATGGTTGGTCGAGCCGCCGTCGTCAGCCATCTACAAATTATTCATCATCTGGAAAGGGGTGGAACAAAAGGGTCCAACCGCTGGGATCAACGATTTTTGTTGAAGTTTTGGGAGGTGTTCCGGGTAAGGGTATGTGTGACATTACAATTAAAGTATATTTTATGATCTTAAACACTGACACTTCACCGTTATATGTGCTTTCTGAAGCTTGGTCTTGTCTTATTACAGTATTTTTCCATCTTCATTATTGTTTCCTCATTCCACCCTTTTTCCAGCCCCTTCCCCCCGACAGCTTCAATGCAAACTAACCGAAAACTTCGAAACGTAGCCTTATCGAAGCGAAACGTTGGTTTGGGGTGAGATCCCCTCTCCAGAAGCCCGTACTCCACGTTGTCCGGCTGGCTTATCGTGGCTTATCTTCTGGGAATGGGTAGCTGTTTTTGGCTTTTGCCAGGATCCCCGCCCTATCCAGCGTCGTACGGCCGCGTTGTAAATCAAAATTGATTGCTGATTCACCCGGGAATCCGGAGGCAGTGGCTCCGATAGAATAGAGTGGCCTCCGCTTCCTCCGGATTGAATGGTTGTCCGGTTTGGAGGTGAAAGATTACAAGTGTGACTGGCGCTGAATGCATCAAACCATATACACTTTAGTAAGGGTGGATCTAAGATCTAAGTATGCATTTACACGCATCAGGCAATGCTAAAAACGTTAACTAAAACTAAAAAAAACAAAAAGCGTTAAAATAAACAAAATTTGGAACCCCTAAATAGAAACATATAGAATTTGGAACATATAGAACATCTAGAAAACTAAATAGAATTTGGAACCCCTAATGAAATAGAATAACCCATTAGTGCGTCTTTGAATATTGGAGGATCTGCTGATCAGGCAGATGCTGGACAAGTGCTACGCGCGCGGGAGATTTCAAAATGCTAATATCTGCCTATAAACTATGTAGTTTACTATGTACTCCGTAATAGCACTTGTTATTCCAAGGCCTCATTTCCGATTTAGCGCTTTTTAAAACGGCCATGAAGATTAACAGTAAATCTTCAAGATTTCGAATTTTTAACAAAGGTCAAGCAATACCGTCATTCACCACTAACGGTTTTCCAGTGTTTTCTATTTCAGGATTACCCTAAAAAATTCGAACTATTAACCACCAAGCCTATACATTTAGATTTCCCCAAATTTAGCATGTCACACATTTTTCCGGACTTTCCCCCTTCCGAATTTCCGATTCACTAGATTCCGGCAAGTGAGGGCGGAGCGTGGAAGCCCGTATTTTATCTTTTGATGTGTCCTGGAAGGCGTAGTGGCTGGAAGGAAGGCAGTTGCGTAGCTAGTGCTGTAGCACGGAAAGTGATAAGCCCCCGTTTGGTCGGGATGTGACAAAGTGTTTGGACAAAATCCTGCAAAATCGGCCTGAAACCGTATGGAATGAAGCATGGGAGTGGAGTTATGAATGCGATACTATTACTTTGCAACATGGTGCATGTGGTTTCCAAATGCAAACACGGTCCGGTATCGAAAATACTTTATTATGATAGTACATATGCGGTAACAGAAATGCTTTAAATGGCGCTGCCATTGTATCGATCTGTCAGCGTGCACGGACCTGAAAATATTAAAATTAAAAATTACATAAAAATTTTTAAGGAAATAATTCACCTCCAACGCCCTACTAATCAAATCTCACAATCTGATTTTGATAAAAAAAGGTTTATTAAGTGAACTGAAATTTTCCTGCAAACTACTTGAATAGAAAAAATTTTACTGTAGCCTTTAGCCTTTAGATAACAGCGGTTTTTTTTAAGTATATTTACGTCCGTGAGTGTAATATATTTCACATTAAATATATTCCATTTGAGCACGTCCGGCGATTTTTTTCAATGAATCCAAAAAATCGAACCAAAAACCTATAAATTGCCTCAAACTATGCATATCAGAATTTTTAGGTACAGTACGTCTTCTAGACCGGTTGGCTCGACGCAAATTCTCAATTAATCACGCAAAAATATCCTTCAACACTCCACTATGCAAGCCAACGCGACATCTGGAACACTCCCTGACGGAGGGCCGTGCTGCCGGGGGCTTTTTGCCGCTAATCCCCTCCACTTGATAAAAGGTGCGAATAAATGGGATTCGCTCCGGCTTATCAGTTTCAGTGGGCCTTAACCCGACTAAAACCCAGATCATCGTATGCCACTACACAATGCTACTGTTGCGGTTTTGATTCATGCCATAGTTACTTGTGAAGGCTGTCAATTGAGCTACCGTATACTCATTCCAGTCAAAGCCCGTACTAATCATGTCAATACGTCCATAAAATACATAGCATGAAAATTGTCCGTATAATTCTAGTGCCGATATTACTTACAAATCCAAAGCAACATTAAATTCTCGATGTCTCTTGGCCTTCACCGCCCCTTTAGAATACCGTTCGGTAAAACATATTTGTGTCTAACACCGCCAGTTTAAAGAAAATTATTAAAGCATAGCTTATAATTATTATAGAAACAAGCTTAAAGCTGATACAAGATCTTTATCCCACCCAACATCCAAAATTCGCCCTCAATTTCTTCTCTTCACGGCGATGTCCTGCTGCGATGTTCTCCACCTATAACCTCTTCACTCTAGATGGGTCATTATACTGGCCTGCTTGTGCTGGCCCTACTCGGGTCAGCAGCAGCCAGCCGGGTCTGTAACTTCGGCAGTGCCACCACCAGCGAGAACGGTGTCATCGAGACCAAATACATCGAAAGAGTAACCCGGTTTTTCCTTCAACACGCATTTGACCGTTCAGAAAACATGCGATGGTCTCTGCAGTACCAACGCTGCCCCCATCAACGAGGGCCGCACTCTGCATATCTTTGGCTGCGAGGAAAGGGTGTGAATGCCTTCGCTGACCCCTCAAAATAGAAATTTTTAGTACAAGACGCAAAAGGTCGTATTGGCTGGACGTGTCTGCGATGAGGATCTCTGCAATACCCTTCCCGGACTTGGGCTACGTCGGTTTTTCAATACCTATGTAAAAGTTGGAAAAAATGAATAGCCGCTTGGGAGCTGATTCAGATATAAAAAGCTGAACTAAGTTTCTATAGCCGTTGCACCACCGGCGGTCGACCCAGTGCAAGCTCTGACGTGCTACGTCGGACTCAAGCACGGAACGTATTCTGTCGGAGGTGTCGAGCCCTGCGATGGCGCTTGCGGTACGCTGATGACTCAGGCCAATGGCCTCGATACCGAAGCGTTCTTCTGTGCACCTACAGCGCTCTGCCAGGCCTTCATCAAGGGACCGGTAAAAGAGGAATAGGTAGCATATAGGTAATTGATTTTAGAACGTCACTGACCCGCTCGAGGACTGTGTACTGGTTGATGGAAATGTGACCGGATGCTGCTGCCATTCTTCTCCGAACTGCAACGCCAAGACTGTACCTAGCCGTTTTATAACTTTAAATGCCAATTAGTTCCACATCACCGACCTTCCACCGCTTGCCACCGACAATCGTGTGCCGATCGCCTGCTATTCTGGCATCTATTTCGGCGGTGTCCCAATCTCGGGTGGAGAATATGTGGCTTGCCAAGGAAATTGCGCTTCCCTTTCATATACGGTAATAAAAATATAAAATGAATGAGCTTTTTTATGAAAAAAAAAAAAAAAAAAAAAAAAAAAAAAAAAAAAAAAAAAAAAAAAAAAAAATAGTTCGTCTTCGGCTTCAACATGACACTCTACTCGTGTGACCCGGCAACGGTGTGCCGCGGATTTGGTCTGAACAACAAATGCTTGGATGTCGACAATGGGACTTTCCACGGGTGCTGCTGTGATAGCGATGCCTGCATTGATCCGACCAGGGTACCGCCGGTTTCGCCAGGTAAAAGTTAGTGAGGAAGTACTTGAATGTGCATCAACCATCCCCTGGAAATTGCAAAATATTCATTAAAAATCTTAGATAACCCGGTAAGCAAATGGATGGAATGCTACGTCGGCGTCCACATGCGCAACGGGACTAATGGAACCAAATTCGATGCGGGAGCAGTAAATTACTGCAACGGAGTTTGTGCCTCGTCGATGACCCATTTGAACGGATATGAGGTAATCAAAAAACTATTCAAGCAAATTATTCCGTAGGTCGAAGCCTTCTTCTGTGCCCAGCGTGAATTCTGCCAAAAGATGGACACGATGAACCGATGTGAAATTCTTGGAATTGGCGATACTCCACTATCGACCTGCTGTTGCGACACTGGACCAAATTGCAACACTTACGACTCTGACATCCCGACGGTTTCAAAGATTAAGTTTCTGAACGCGGGTTGTAGGTAGTACCAACGCAAGTGCAACCAGGACAGATGATCGCCTGCTATTCTGGGTTGGCGGTAAATAACCTCACGATTGGGGATGGAGACTTCATCGCCTGTGATGGAGATTGCGCGTCGATCACGTTGAATACGACTATTTGTATGTTAACTTAGTAGCAATTCACACGGGAAACTCTAGTGGGCGACATGCATGCCGTCACACTGTACACTTGTGATCCTGCGACCGTTTGCCGACAACTCGGAATTGCTAATAAGTGAGAATCTGCCCTTGGCTTCCCAAAAAAACCTTCCAAAAATGTCGAGACAAATTGAAGCTTTAAATAATATTGATGTTACCAAATTTTTTAGCTGCGCCAACATCAACGGCCTCGTCCAGGGTTGCTGCTGCGATTCGGATGTTTGCATTAATCCCTTCACCAACAAATTCCCCACCGGCAAAACCTCACTTGATTGCTTTGTCGGTATGTACCACCAGCAACTTTGAATAGGCCGAAATTCCCAGGTGTTGCTATCGGGCACAACTACACTGTTGGTGCCTCGATGCCGTGCGACGGGGAATGTGGATCGTTTGAATCGACAGTCAACAATGTTCACGCTGCCGGTGAGTCAATATAATATGACGGACCCTAGTTTTCAGGCTATTTCTGCGCCCCGAAGAGCTTGTGTTCGGCCCTGGATGTACACAACGAATGTGCGGCGCTGCTCACCGACTCTCAATACGGCCGCGGTTGCTGCTGCGACTGGGATGATAATTGCAATGCCAAGATGGACAACCTGACTGTTCCTGGATACGTCCCCTCAAACCGACCACCACTCGCTTGCTACGGGTAAGTAAAGATCGACCTGTCGACGGTCATGACGTAACTAACTTTTTAGTGGTCTTTCATTGAATGGTATGATGTTCCAAGACGCTGATCGTTTCATGGCTTGCCGCGGTGATTGCGGCTTGATCACCTTCAGCACGACCATCAATCAGAAGCCATATGATGCCACCATCTACACATGCGATCCGACAAACGTAAGAAAAACATACATCTGTGTTCATCATCCACTCCCCTAGGTATGCGACGCATTCTCCCTCAAGGATACCTGCGGCACTGTCCTCAACGGCAACGGAGGTCACGTCTCCGGTTGCTGCTGCTCTTGGAATGACTGCCTGGACATTACACATAACGTTAGTTCCTGCTTCCGGTAATATCTAGCCCAATAATTTAAGACCGTCAAGCCTTCCCGGGACAACCTTGAATGCTTCGTTGGTTTTGCAGTTGAGGGCAACCAGACAACGGCTTATGGAGCATCGATGGCTTGCGAGGGAAGCTGTGCCAGCGCTCAAACGACGTAAGCCCATTCCATACAGAATCCGTTCTAAAAATCAAAATCATTTGAACTAAACTATTGAAAAGGGACTCTAGGGTTGGCAAGACGTCAATGTGGGCTTTCTTCTGCGCTTCGAACCGCCTATGCGATGGCATGAACATGACAAACACGTGTGGACTTCTCTTCAAAGACAACAATGTAAAAGATAAAATATGAACTAATAATATGAGTTGCAGGAATACGTCACTGGATGCTGCTGCAACGACGACAACAGTTGCAACATCAAGAACGCCAAGGTAAGCTTCTTAATCATTGTGGAATACCATAATCTTAAGATTGCTCCCCCAGCGCCTCCGGCAACAACTGCACCTGACAACCGCTCTCCTATTGCTTGTTATTCTGGATTAGGCATTAACAATATGCTTCTCACAGCTACAAACAGCTACGTCACCTGCCATGGCGACTGCGCATCGGTAAATATATTGTTTGCGGTACCAAGGAATGCTTTAGGCTACTTACACGACCAGCCTGCTTGGTAAGTCCTACACGACGACCATCTACTCTTGCGATCCGGTTAGCTTGTGCTCCACGTTGGGGATGTTGAACTCATGTCAAACGGTAGCTCGAAAATCAATTTTCAATAATCTCAAAAAAAGATGCCAACCCCGAACAGTAACTCTACCGTATTTTCTGGATGCTGCTGCAACTGGGATGACTGTATCGACAATTCAAACAACGGACAGGTAAATTAGTCGAGCGAGATTGATACTCTATCACCATCATCGAGCAACAATAACTGTTCGTCTTAAGATCAAGCCAACGAACGAGACGAAGCGTCCAGATGATTTGACCTGCTTGGTCGGATATTCATATGGTTTGAACGGCACCACAAGATTTGTCGGCTCTCAAATGCCATGCTCCGGATCTTGCGCCGCCGTGCACACACCCTTCAATAATGATCAGCTCTACGGTAATCAAAGCCCAGTTACATAGCAATCCTTGTTAGGATATTTCTGCGCACCCGAGACTCTCTGCAACGCCCTCGATACCAGGGAGCGTTGCCAGTCTTTGATACTTGATCAGTATGCCGAAGCCTGCTGCTGCGAGGGAAGCTCGAATTGCAACAACTATAACAATGTGCCGATTTCGCCTAGCCCGCCATCTACAAAGCCTCCGATCGCTTGTTACAGGTATAAACCAAGTCTCCTACCCCAAAAGCGAAAGATCACAGCAATGAGACGTAATTTCTAGTGGTATCGCTGTCAACGGCAAAAAGGTGACATCCGAAGACTCATACATGAGCTGCCGAGGAGAGTGCGGGCTTGTTACTTTTTCGACTTCCTTTGGGAACGCCAAATACAACGCCACCGTCTACGCCTGTGACCCAGCTACGGTAATGGCACAAACATTTCATAATCCGAAATAGGTGTGCAAATCGCTGAACATGTCCAACTCATGTGGCGGCCTCTCAAACGGTGTGCTCAGCGGATGCTGCTGCGATTGGAACGATTGTTTGGATACTCAGCAAAACGTAGACACATTAATCCGTTAAAAACCTGTTCCTAGACGGTGAAACCGTCAATCGACAATTTGCAATGTTTCGTTGGTATTTCCACGGAGGGATCACTGGTCAATGGCACATACGGTGGACTAGCCCAGTGCTCCGGTCAATGCGGTTCAGTGGAGACGGTGTAGGGAAAATTCTCATTGTAGTCATATCGATTCCAGATTCAACCACCAACAAGTCTGGGCTTTCTTCTGTGCCACGAACAAGCTGTGCGACGGTCTCGGAATTGCCAACGACTGTGCAACCATCACCCCCATGGATACGGAATATGTCAGCGGATGTTGCTGCAATGGAGCCAACGGGTGCAATCTGAACAACGCAAAGGTAAACCTTAATCATCGACTAGGAAAGGGGGAATTTCGAACATGGCTAACCGCTTCAGGTAATGCCTCCACCAACACCCGCTCCTGCCCCAATTCGTGGCACCCCGATTGCTTGCTATAATGGAATTGCCATCAACGGAAAAGTCCTTACAGCCAACGACAGCTACACCAGTTGCTTCGGACAGTGCATGGCGGTCAGTGCTGAAAGACGACCCGACAAAACAATCACAACTTTTAGATCAACTACCAGACACGTCTGAATGGTCAATCCGTAATCACTTCGGTTTATTCTTGCGACCCGGTGGCAGTTTGTGACCATTATGGAATGAGCGGTAACTGCAACGCGGTATGTTCATGCAATCGAAAAACGAAATTTCTGTATGTTTAGCTGCTCGACATCAGCAGCCAAGCCTATCTCAGCGGATGCTGCTGCGGATGGGACGACTGCATTGACCAGCAACAAGGCGTAATTTTTGAAAATGGTACTTGAATAGTTATATTATTTCAAGACCATCAAGCCGAAGCATCAAGACAGCCAGAATTGCTTTGTCGGATTCTCGATCGAAGGCGCAATCAACACCACCTACGGCTCTGCAATGCCCTGCGTGGGACAGTGCGCATCGCTATACACAAAGTAGCATATACCTTTGTATGCAAAAAGCATTTTTGCCATATAGGATGAACGGCCACTACACTTATGGTTTCTTCTGTGCCCCGAACAAGCTGTGCGACGGTTTGAATATGACAAACCACTGCGACGTTCTGGCCAACGATCACGGCGAGCTCATCCAAGTGTGCTGCTGCAACGACGTGGATAACTGCAACGCAAATAATGCTGGAGTGAGTAGTGTTTTAAAATACTCGTAATTGAAAGCTGCACAAGGAACATACATGCTTGTCTTCAGATCCCAAGCCCATTGCCAACTCTACCACCCGCACCAGCCGGCCTCAGCCCGATCGCTTGCTATTCGGGAATCTCGCTGAACAACCACCTCATCAGCGCACCCGACAGCTATGCATCCTGCATTGGCGAGTGCTCAGCGGTACGGGCTGAGATCTAGACATGCTGAATTTAATCGTTTAGATCAGCTATACATCGATGTTCTGGAACACGACCTTCAAGGCCACAATGTTCTCATGCGACCCCGTCGCCCTGTGCACCCAATTTGGAATGAGCGGCCGTTGCGCCACGGTAATTGTAGCATCATATACTCCAGTCGCCTTTGTGCATAGATCGAAAACGATGGAAGCTCCACCAACCTTGCCGGATGCTGCTGCTCCACTGATGATTGTATCGATACTTCAACTGGGGTAGGAGCCAAATATTTGGATTGAAAATCCCTCTTTCAGCTGATCAAACCACAAAAGTATGAGGCCAAGAACTGCTTCGTTGGACTGTCTGTAGAAGGTAATCAAACTGGCACCTACGGTGAATCGGTCAAATGCGATGGGCAATGCGGAAGTGTGCAAACCACGTAAGTATCATCCAAGCATCGAAACAAGCCTATCCTAGAGTCGCCGGGCACTCCACCTGGGGCTTCTATTGCGCTTCAAACAACCTGTGCAACTTCCTGAATGCTTCCAATAACTGCGCTACAGTGTTCGGCAATCAAGTCGTCCAGGGATGCTGCTGTAACGACGCTGACAACTGCAACCTCAACAACGCTCACGTAATCTTCCATAAAATCAGAAAACTCATCCAATTCCCTTTAGGTCCCACTTCCGACCGTCAACATTACGAATCCCCCGAACGTTGCCCCAATCGCGTGCTATTCTGGTATCTCGCTGACCTACCCAGGATTTAGCCAGCCGATTACACCCAGTGACAGTTATACCGCTTGCTTCGGTGACTGCGCATCGGTAAGCGGTCGAAAAATCCTAAAACTCGTCGTAGGTTACGTACAACACAGTACTGGGAGGTCAAAACGTCTCGGCCACGATGTACTCATGCGATCCCGTAGCTATTTGCGACCACTACAACATCAAGGGAAAATGCGCACAGGTTGCTTTTCGCAAAACATACACGCATAAAATTCAGATCCAAAGCACTGACACAACATCGGTTAGCGGATGTTGTTGCAACTGGGACGACTGTCTGGACACGACAAATGGCCAGGTAAGCGCAACTAACACACGTGCAGACCAGTTCCCGGATTTAGATCAAGCCACCGGTGACGCTTCCGCCTAACCCGCCAGCCCTTAGGAACTGTTTTGTTGGACTGGCCGTCGAGGGAACCAACTACACCGGAACATACGGCAGCTCCACCAAGTGCAACGGCCAATGTGGATCTCTACAAACCACGTAATTATTTCGAAACTAGTGGAGAAGAACATCTTTTTTAGTATCAACGGGTATAACAGCTGGGCTTTCCTATGTGCTTCTAATGACTTGTGCACGACCATGGGCGCCATCAATAATTGCTACACCTTCCTGAACGAAGGCGAATTCATTCAAGGATGCTGCTGCAACACCGAAGATGATTGCAACCTGCATAATTCCCACGTGTGTACTTTATTGATTTGACATCATTTGCCGGAACTGAGTTTCATGGCTCAAATTCAGGTCGGCCCGCCACCAACCAACATCCCACCCCAGCCGACCAATGTTCGACCAATTGTTTGCTATTCGGGACTTGGCGTCGTCGCCGGAAACAAGACTCTGATCAAGCCATCAGCTGCCAGCTATGCTGCTTGCTTCGGTGACTGCGGAATGGTAAGGGCACATTCACCAGGATATGATAGAAGACAAAAACCTCCATAACAAATAATGTCTAGGTGACGATCGCAAGTACCATCGGTGGAGTCAATGTGGCTGCCACCGCCTACTCATGTGACCCAGTGTCCATCTGTCAACATTATGGCATGGATGGAACTTGTGGCGTGGTATGAAAAGCTCCGCTCTTTATGATTTTTTTTGTTAAGATCCAAGCCAACAAGAACAGCTCCACCAGTATCAGTGGATGCTGCTGCGGCTGGGATGATTGCTTGGACATTGATCATGGAAAGGTAAAGCCATTTATTTTAAAAGATTTAATAGGCTTAGAAAGCTACTAAAACTTTGAAGCGTTACTCAAAAACAACATTTTCGCTACATATTCAGCGGAAAATGTAAAACAACTTACTGCTTACAGATCAAGCCCATGCCAACACAACCAACTCAACCAGCTCCGACGACCACGTCGGCTGCATCAATCACATTGTTCTTTGCTCTGTTGTTGCCTTTCTGGAAATATCTCTTTTAAATAGCTTTAGCGTGTGCCAGAAACTCATCTCATCGTTTGTAAATAAAGACTTTTGAAATACATGTGTACTGTCAGCATTTCCTGACTCGGCGGGCGGCTGAGATGACTAAGCGGCTTAAAAACCAAAGAAACGGCCCAATGATCGGTTGCGCTTTGTCTCTCGTTCGATCAGTTGGTTTGGTGATTTTGCGAAATTGCATGATTATTAGGCTCCTTATAAGATCACTTCTTGTCAAGGCCATACAATCCCAAAACTAACTCTTAAGGCAATGCTTCGTTTTGGTTTGCTCTTATTTTCGTTCGTTCTCTCTGCTGTTGCAAACGACGTATTGTCTTACGAAGGAAAAGATGCCCTACGTTGTTTTTCAGGTATAAGGAAATCTATTTTGGAATTGAGAAGAAAACCAAAAATTCAGGGATCGATCTAGGCGGGGGCCAAGCATTGGGTAGGTCGATGCCATGCGAGGGCCAGTGCGCCGCATTTAAAACTGACGCAAAGGGATTTGCGGCCGGAGGTAATTTGTCATAGTCAATTGGGTCTAATGATCACAGGCTACTTCTGCGCCCCACAAGGCTTCTGCCAGCAGTCCGGGCTCAAGAACGAGTGCCGTGGTTTGAACGGTACACTTCCCGCCTTGGGATGTTGCTGTGACAATGCAGATGACTGCAACGCAGCGCTTATGAATGTTACCGTACCCACCATATGACCCACCTAAGGGCCCCGCCATTGCTTGCTTCAGGTTTGTGGTAACTACAGAGGGTGTAGGTGCAAGTTCATGATTTAGTGGTGTGGTGCTCGATGGTCAACTCCTACCAGGCAGCGGCTATATTCCGTGTAATGATGTTTGCGCGAGCACGACCTATACAACCGTGATTGGAGGGCAAAAGCACAACGCCACGTTGTACGGTTGTAACCCGGGAAGCGTATGTCAAGCCCAGGATTGTTCTAAATAATTAATTTAGCTCTGCCAGTACTTGAAAATCATTGATGGGTGTGGTACTTTACCTACTGACGAATCGGGTACGATAAATGGTTGCTGTTGTTCATGGAACGACTGTTTGGACACAAGGAATGGGGTCAGCTTTTCGAATCATCATAACATTTTCTAAGAAACTAGTAGATAAATAGAAATCATTGATTACTGTCTAAAAACCTCCTATTTAAGCAAGTCAAACCAAATCCAATGACACTGGAATGTTTCGTCGGCTATGGCATTGTCGGCAATAACACCAATATACTGAAGGGGAGCTCGGTTCCGTGTGAAGGGAAATGTGCTTCATTGAAGACAAAGTAAGTCCAAAAACTTGGAAAGCATGATAAATCTAACCTTAGTTATAATGACTATTACACTTGGGCCTTTATGTGCGCCTCTTCCAAAGTATGCACCAAGATCCCAGAGCGATGCACTGCTCTCATCAAGACACCGGTAGCAGTGGGGCTCATTCCGGCAAGATAATTTAGGAAACCGTTTCCGGTTGCTGTTGTGATACGGAAAAAGATTGTAACTTGGTTAACGAGGTAGGAACCAAAAGAATTTAAAGGGCTATGGACCAATTCTAGTTCCATGAAATCCCGCCTCCAACTGCCAGCCCGTCTCAAAGAACACCTATTGCGTGCTTTACCGGATTAAGTCTTATGGGCAGATTGTTGTCGCCAGCCGATAGTTATGTGACCTGTCGTGGGCAATGTGTTTCGGCAAGTATTCTTAATAACCCTATCAAAAGCCTTACAAGTATTTACATGAGTCTTTGCAAAAAAATCCGAAATACCTCCTTTATCAAGATGTCCTATTCGACGAAAATCGGGAATTCTACGATCGATGCTCTCGGTTTCACTTGCGCCACGGCTGAGCTATGTGATGAAATGGGGGCATCAAATAGTTGCGTACAGGTTAGGTTTTTGCTATAACCCTATTGCCTCAAATTCTAAGCTTTCCGATGTAACGGCTCCTACAAAATCACTAGCTGTTGTTGCGATACCGATGATTGTCTCAATATCATGAATGGAGAGGTCAGCTATGAAGAATTTCGGAAACAAACACTCGCTCGAAATTAGTTTTGCTAGTGTCTTCGCGGCTCAATTAAAGACCTTAAATGATTTTAGCCAATACCATGAGGAAAATTGACGTTATTAATAAAGACTTACTTTAGCCAAAAACACAATCGACCGCTCAGCCCCAGCCGACCACCACGAAATCCGCATCTCCGACCACTTTACTGTACATTACCGTCCTGTTGTCATTCTGGAAATACATCTCTACCTACTGAACGCCTCCTCTTGGCTTCCAAGAAATAAATTTCCCGTAAACTGACTGCACACCATAAATCAAGTCAGATTCTACATTCGGCAAATATAAAAGTGCCCCTCCACGGCTAGACGATCGTAAACTCGCAGCGAGAAGTAGATAACAGCGCTTTTTGAGGTAGCCGGCAGGCTTGTTGCGATTTCGGCGCTGTTTCTGGGATTTAAGTTTGGCCTTTGGAATTCGAGAAAAGTGCTTATATAATATTCGAATTGGGCAAAAAAGGAAAACGGAAAGAATAAAAATTGGCTAAATAAAAAAATTGCTAGTCTAAATAGCACCAATTCATCTTCTTGCATTTCTGGAGGTTTTCGCGAGCATGGTAGGACAGCTATGAGTTAGAACTTCTGGTCCCAGAGGAACCCACGGTTTCGTTCTCAATTTTTAAGAAGCATTTCGGGAAATTCATTTTTATCGACATAGAACACTGACTGCAGAATTCTACAATCGCCAAGGAATACTGCAATAATATATTACGCCAGTTTTGAAAAGGGGATAGCGCTTGAGCCGGAGAAAATTCTTGATTTGCTGCCTTGCGTAGGTTTTAACCGTTTCAAGCGCTTGAAAGATGCGAGAATTTATGGCAAACCCTTAGTCAGATAATTTTCGATTGTGTGGAAAATACAAGTAAATTGCGATGCGTAAACTTTTAAGAAAATATGCAAATTGAAGCGATGTTATGACGTAAGTGGTAACCGAGATACCACTAGGGTAAAGCCAGCTCACCAAGCTTCCCCAGAGCTTATCGTTAATCAAAAAGGGGGAGGGTATGGTTGTAATCCAGGCCACTTACAACCGGCTCCTTGTGTTGGCATTTTCTGATATGGCTTTGCCGATCGTCGCCTCACTTCAATTCATAGCCGGGGATCCCTCAGGTGCCTCCAGGCGCCATGGGTTACGGTAGCCAGAGCCTGCCGGTCTCTGTCGTCCTCAGCTAGCTTCCATTAAATTACTTCACTCTATTGCTTTTACTATACAAGAGTACCTCTGAGCTTTTTCGGCAATACCATCCATTATATAATTCATATCCCAGTGGTGGATCGAAGCTAAAAGCCTCCTTTAAACTCCAGAGATAGTTTGCAAAATAGTGCCCCAATCAAGTGTAAAATTTCAAAATAGTGTTTACTAATTTTTTGGTTACGTTAATTTTCCTTTCTAATAGAGAAGTACCTAATTTATTATAGCTGCTGATCCTCGTCAAGAACAATATTTTTAAGCCACGGCTTGTAAAAAGACTATCAACCCAGCCTTCCTTTCTTATCATCAAATGCATTCAACCAGCCGTAATTTTTTTAATTATGCTACTGCTTTATCTCTGTTAAACGCTGCTCTTTACATTTACCGTGGTCCTTGGCCTAGCCCCCTTCCCCACCCCACTTTCAAAGATGCGGTGCGGTGGCGGAGTCTGGTGATAAATCAAGACGATTTTTGCGCGGCTTATCATTCCACAAATTTACAATGGTCATAAAACGTGTCGGGGTACACGGGGCGCTTCAGTGGCCGTCGTGGTCCAGGGGTTTATCACCAATTGGAATTTCGGGGATGGGCACACTAGTCAGAGCTGGCCAAGATGAGCTTGATGTTAGGCGCTACTGAATTTTTGGCATACCGTATTTTATGTAATGGGTTCTGATTTTAATTGCCCCGAAAGGCGAAGCGGTATTAGGACTGGGATGTAGGCTAAAGGTCATTGTTATATTTTTAACTTACCGAAATTGCCAAAATTTGAAGGGGAAGAAATTGCTCTATTTTGAACAATCTCATAGATAATTATTGCTTAAATTTGTTTAAAGGAAATAACGATCCCGATGGAACGCTCCAGCATCAGCTTTTCAATGTGATCAATTTTGAAGGTGTTTTACAAAAACCTCGATTGGCTATGATGTAAGGGGACATACTAGAAGCAAAACGTATCTCTTTCACCACACTACTTTCGTTTTTTCCTATTGACAAGCCTTTTCCTGTTGTATGCCATTTTATCTTTCATCATTTTTATTTTAGATGGGTAATCTGGCCCGAGCGGCGGCCTTGCTGCTAGCATTGGCCAGTGCGGCCACGGCTTTGCGATGCAACATCGGATCAGTGACCGTTGATGCCGAAGGCACCATCACTCAAAACTACGTCACAATGGTATGTTCTCTCCCCCACCAAGCACCTAATCTAAATTTAGGAAAACTGCAAAGGTGTCTGCACACGCCGATCACCGAAGCTGCCCGACGGAACTCAGATGCACCAACTCGGCTGTGAAGAACAGGTTTGATCGCGTAAAGGTTTCATCCGGCGTTGCAGCAACGAGTCCGGAACGTCGATGACATCTGCTCTGAGGACCTCTGCAACCGAATCCCGGGTCTTTCCGATGGACAGCTCGACGTCGTTGACAAGCATCGCGCGGAAGTCCTGCCCGTTGCCAACCGAACGTGCTACGTCGGTGTCCAAATCGGCTCGCTGACCGTCGCCGGCGCCGCCCAGCACTGCCTTGGAGAATGTGCTAGTGCCACCACGATGATTGGAGGTAGTTTTGTTTTTCCGTTTGAAAAAACCACATAGAATCATGGAATCTAGGCGCCTAATTGATCATTTTTTACAGCCCTTAACGGAACCATTTTCTTCTGCGCGACGTTTGGTGTATGCGACGCTTTCGTCAGCCCACCATCAACTGGGCCCCGCAGCTGCTCACCAGTGGCTGGACACCCTGACTACAACATCACTGCCTGCTGTTGCTATGATAGCTCGAACTGCAATCTCGATGGCTTCAATGTGAGAATTCCTTCGAACCATTGGCCGTTTTGGCAAGAGGCTTCTAGAACTTTCTGAAAGTCGCTGATTACAGATCCCTACACCCTCGCCATTGCCTCCAGTGACCCGCATTCCACAAGCCTGCTACTCCGGTATCCACATCGCCGGCCAGCTTTTGGCTGGTGGTGACTATGTTGCGTGCCAGGGAGACTGCTCTTCGGTCACTTTCAAATACCAAGGGACCTACGACTTCACCATGTACTCCTGCGATCCGGCAAACATCTGCAATGGACTCGGCCTAACCAACGACTGTATGGACATTGCGAATGGAACCTTCGGTGGATGCTGCTGCAACTACGACGCCTGTATCGATCCGTCCGCTAATCCTCCTCGCTACCCGAACGGCACCAGGACGCATATCCGTGACTGCTATGTTGGCCTTCACCTCAAGAACTTCACCGGAGACGGAGCCCCCTTGATGTTGGCGCCGGAGAGATTTGCGAAGGAATGTGTGGTCGCCTGAAGTCTGTTATCAATGGTTATGAAGTCGAGGCATTCTATTGCGCTTCCGATGCTTTGTGCTACATGATGGATACTGTCGGAAGCTGCTCAAATCTGACGGCCGCAAATATGGGCATCGAGGCTTGCTGCTGCTACGATGGGCCCTACTGTAACGTAAATGGAACCGATGTGACGGTCCAGCCCCCATCTCGTCCGCCAAGACCCACTGAAATCATTGCTTGCTTGGAGGGACTCCATATTAACAGGTAGAAAATTTAAGTTTATCAATACTTTTCTTTAGTATCTCGATCTCTGAACGTTATTCTGGCTGTGCTGGCGAGTGCGCTAGTGTGACTGTCGCTTCATCCGTGGCCGGCGCTCCTTACAACGCTACCCTGTACACCTGCGACCCCGCAACAGTCTGCCGTGGTCTCGGGCTCATCAACAGATGTGGACAAATCCCGAACTCCCCGATCACCGGATGCTGCTGCGATACCGATATGTGCATCAACCCATACGCTCGCAAGTAAGAAAATTATCGAGCTTTGTCATTAAGAATTCTCCTAGGTTCCCGAACGGAACAAACACCCTTCACTGCGGAATTGGATTGGCTGTCGGAACTAACTACACTGATGTCTACGAGATGGACTGTGATGGTTCATGCGCATCCGTCGAGACCCAAATCGGCGGCGTCTTCATGGCTGGCTTTTTCTGCGCCCCCAAGACTACCTGCGAGGCTGTCGGAATCGTCAATGATTGCTTCACCATCCTCGGCGAACAGGGCGCCCCACACGTAACTGGTCAGCATTTGATAGGAAATTAGGGGAGCTTAGAATGAAATAAACAGGGAATTGAAAACACTGGATTTTCAGCTTGCTGCTGCGACTACTTCAACAACTGCAACACCGAAAGAGGACGCATCCATCCGGAACCTTACACACCACCAAGCACTAGGCCGCCAATCGCATGCTATGCGTAATTTTTGTTAGAAAGTGCAACTAGCTGTTTTTAGTGGTCTCGGCATCAACGACAACTTGTTCAACACTTCGGATAAATATATGGCTTGCCGTGGTGACTGCGGAGCCATCACTTTCCGTACCACAGTTGCCGGTAGGTTATCCATGTTCGCAGCCGAACAATAAGGAAGCCGAAATTCGTTTGCTACAAAATTTACAAACTTACAGGCGGAGACTACAATGTGACCATGTTCACTTGCGATCCGGTGAGTGTTTGCCCGAAGATGGGCGTGCGAAACAGTTGCCGCTCTGGACCCAACGGAACCATCACCGGATGTTGTTGCGATTGGAACGATTGTATCGACTTGGCCAACCGCAAGGTGAAGCCTTACCCGCTCCCCAAGAGCGTCAACTGCTTCGTCGGTCTCGGATTTGAAAGCACGAACGGTACGACCACCTACGGTAGCTCGATGGCCTGCGATGGCCAATGTGGTACCGTTGTCACGGATGTCAACGGTGTGCATAGCTTCGGCTACTTCTGCTCGCCCCAATCGTTGTGTTCTAGCTTCGGTAAGTCTTATATAGAAAGCATCCCAATTGTCCAGATGTCTACAACGAGTGCAGGACCTTCTTCCTTGATCAAGCTGGTGACTGGATGAATGTGTGCTGCTGTGAAAACCAAGATAACTGCAACATCCTCAAGCAGGTCCGTGTCGCAAGGAGCTAGCACTAATAGTGTAAATTTCAGCAGCCCAATGTAACCGTCACGACTCCAAGCACACCGTCAAGGCGAAGGACCCCCTTGGCTTGTTATTCCGGTCTAGCCTTCATGTACAACGGATCCTACAGCCCACTTACCGATGAGGACAAGTAAAAAAGTGCTGGAAATCCAACTTGATTTTTCAGGTATATGTCTTGCTTCGGTGACTGCGCTCAGGTCAGCTACGCTTCGTCGCTTGGCGGTGGGTATTCTTTTAGCAAATAATTAAAGTAATGGCTTCACAAAATAGTCCCAAAATTTCAGGCGTCTCATTCACAGCTACGATGTACACCTGCGACCCCGTTTCCCTTTGCACAAGCTTGGGAATGTCAAACCAGTGCACGAACATCACGCAGAGCTCTTCTGGAAGCTCCTCAATTGCCGGTTGCTGTTGCGATTGGAACGACTGCATCAACAAGCGCAACTTGACAATCAACCCTGCGCCACACAAGGATAACCTTCAGTGCTTCGTTGGTCTTCAGATGCAGTCGAATCCGCAGGATCCTACAACCAAGACTCTGCTTGGAGCGACCTTGCCCTGTAATGGTGAATGCTCAGTCGTCTCGACCCACTTCAACGGCTTCGATACCCAGGCCTTCCTCTGCGCCCCTCAGGCTCTTTGCGACGCATTTGATCCGGAGCGCATGTGTGGTAGGTTCAATACTCGCACATTTATATCCGTCTACAACGGGCAACCCATGAAGATCTAATCAACCAAAAATATATTCCAGGAAATCCGATCAACTTCGATACGAGCGACTACCTCGAGACATGCTGCTGCTCAAGATGGGATAACTGCAACCTTCACTTCCACAATATCCCGGAGCCGCCCGTTGTACCGTCCGTACAACCCAGCTGGGTGCAGCCCATCACTTGCTATGCTGGTGTGGCCCTCAACGGAAACGTCCTGTCTCCTGACAACCGGTAAGCTTCTTCTTTTGATTTCAGCTTTCTTTCCAGATACATGTCCTGCCAAGGTGACTGCGCGCAGATCACTTACACTTCGGTGCTCGCTGGATCTCCATTCAACGCCACGATCTTCTCTTGCGACCCGGTGACGCTTTGCATGACCTTCCGCGCCCACAACGGGTAAAATTTCGAAGCACTTTCTATTCTTTATGTCATTCTCTCCTGTTAACACATTTTTTCAGGTGCCAACAAATCAGCAACAGTGGAAGCAACTCGTCCTCCATTCAATTCTGCTGCTGTGACTTCAATGATTGCATTGACAAGCAGACCTTCCAGCCGAAGCCAGTGCCCCAGACCGTCAAGGATAACCTGCAGTGCTACGTCGGACTGATGATGCAGAGCAACCCGCAAAATGCTAGCACTCGCGTGCTTTTGGTAAGTTCTGGTGCTGTGCAAAATTCCTTTGCAATTGTTAATTAAAACTATCTTCATTTAGGGAGCCGAGATGCCGTGCAACGGAGAATGCGCCTCGATTAACACCCACTTCAACGGCCAGGACATGTGGGCCTTCATGTGCACACCGCCAGCTCTTTGCAACTTGTTCGATCCGGAACGCCATTGTGGTATTTACTGTTTCAGAGGGTGAAAAACTTCCCGATTTAGGACTGATGAACATGGACTACGACGGCGACTACTTGGAGACGTGCTGCTGCGGCTGGGGAGATGCCTGCAACCTCCATCGCCACAACATCCCTGTCCCTTCACCTCTGCCGACAGTCAGCGTCACAACGCCTCCATTGGCTTGCTACGCCGGATTCGCCTTTAACGGCTCGATTCTGTCTCCAGCTGACCGGTGGGTGTGCTATCTGAGTTCGATCCATAAACAGCCGTTCCCACGTTATTATGCCTTTCCTTTTCAGCTTCATGTCCTGCCAGGGTGACTGTGCTCAACTGACCTATTCCTCCAAGTTCTTCGGTGCCGCCATTAGTGCGACCATCTTCTCTTGTGATCCAGTTGCCATCTGCTCGGCTTTCAAACTTCAGAACAGGTAGGCAAGCACAATCGGATCCAACATCCAACGAATATATTTTAGCTGCACTGAGCTGCAAAATGGAAACGTTACGAACACGACAATCTCCGCCTGCTGCTGCAACTTCAACGATTGCCTAGATCACACCACCTTCCAGGTAACAACGGCGCAGTACAATTTGCATTTCTTTTTAGCCAAAGCCGCAGCCGGATACCCACAATCACAAGGACAACTTGCAATGCTTCGTTGGAATGCAGACCCAGAGCAACCCACAGAATGCTTCCACCCGCTCTATCGTTGTGAGTACACGCTAAATTCGCCTGAATAATCACTTATTCGGTATATGGAAAGTTTTAGGGTGCTTCGATGCCTTGCAATGGTGACTGCGTCTCCGTGGAGACCCATTTCGGCAGCTATGACTTGTGGGCATTCATTTGCGGCCCAGAAATCCTGTGCGACATCTTTGACCCTCAGCGCCATTGTGGTAAGTGCCATTTTAGATAGGTTTCCTTGCCCCTGAAGCTTATGGCAAATGTTATCCTATCTCGCTATTTCAGGCAACCCGCTGAACATGGACAGCGCCGGAGACTACTTGGAGATTTGCTGCTGTGGTGACGACGACAACTGCAACGTGAAGCGCCACCGCTTCCCAGCACCCAACCCGATCCCCACCATCGATACCGCCAACACCCCGCCACTTGCCTGCTATGCTGGTATTGCTCTCAACTCCACCGTGTTGAGCGATGATAACCGGTTAGAAAGATCACTGAGACCGTTAAAATATTTCCATGCAGATTCATGGCTTGCCAAGGAGACTGCGCTCGGCTGACTTACTCCTCGTCGCTCAACGGAGCCGCTTTCAGCGCCACGATCTTTACCTGCGACCCAGTGGCGATTTGCAAGACCTTCGGGCTTAAGAATAAGTAGGGACATACGGGATTTCACTCAATGATTATAATCTCTAGCTGCAACGTCATCCAGAGCGGTTCGACGAACACGACCCAGATGAGCGGTTGCTGTTGCGATTGGAACGACTGTATCGATCACCAGACGTTCAACGTAGGGCTTACCGAAAACCTTTAGCTATCAAAAATATACCAAACTTGTAAGACAACACATAATAATTTTAGGTGAAAACGGTGCAAACAACGGCACAGGTTGCCACGACCACCACCTCCGCGTCAGCCATCTCATACTTGACGGCCTTCTTTGCCGCCCTTCTTTTCTCACTTTTCTAGACCAAAAATCGCCTTTCAATGTCGTGTTAACATAATGTATACTTGAATAAAAATTTATCTCTACTAGCCTCCATCCAATCCGGTGTTCAAGCGTTTTCCTTCTTCGACCAGTCGATTCACATCAGCCATGGATTGAGGGCTCAGATGTGTACGCAAATAGTCGTGGATCGTTTGTTGGATAGACTATAAAAATTATGAACGCGAATTTTGTTGTTCCCACCTTTCTCGAATCACCTTGCACACGACCATCTTTATTAGACGATTGAGTTCGATCTTTTCGTCGTCCTGCAATTGACGAGAAATAGTCGCTATTATATTCAATTTTCGATATATCGGCGCTAAATGGCAATTTCCATTCTAATTTAAAGCGGTATAATAATATTCCAGAACATCACACAAGTTTCACCTGTAAAAATTGGCCAAACGGTGCCGGATTCTTTCGATAGCTTTTATATCGTCTCGTGACCCTCCCAACGTTAATCGGCTCTAATGATGCAAAATTTTCCGTTGCAACCCTCTCGAGATCAGTGGCCAGGCAATAGATAGATAGAAGGGATAGCAAAAATATGGTTCGCATAAAATTTGCGGTTTGCTGGTGTGGAAGGGAAATGACCCACTCGGGCGACGAGAGATCGTGAGGGACAACACTTCAATATCCCTCGCTCTACCCAAGTGCACACAGATATTTCGAACACTCGTTTTCACTGGAAGGTAAGGCGTCTTTTAAAAATCACTCTTCCTTTGGTTTTGAATTGAATAGACTATTTCTGTGGTTAAAAAGGCCATTAAAGTTCAGTTCAGCCACTCAGGTGCAGTGGTTTTCGAGATAGTTTTTGGAGTCTATACTCTACTCTCATCTAACGCTCGTTTGACCCCAAGATGAATTTTTTTCTTTTTAAAACCATAGAATCGACTAAATCATACCGGCTCTTCCAGATAACGTATTTAACCAACGATCGAAAATCTGCGCCGCCTTGTCCGAGCCTTTTCCTATCCTTTAAATATTTAGTTTTTGGATTTAGGGTTTTTCGCACGTTTTTTCTTTACCTATCCAACCCATACGTTGACGGTTATTGACACTTGGCAAAAATGTCAAAATTTGCTTGGTTTTAGCATATTTGAGGGGGGTCGAGGCGCCTTTGGGCCAGCCGCTCAACTCTCAACAAAGAGACTGTCGACAGGTAGCAGCGAGGGTATTGGTGGCTGGCTGGCTGGGTGTCAATATGGCTAATATCAAGACGTAGCGCCACCCAATACTTCTCTTTTACACCACTCACAAACACCCGGGTTCTTTGCCCCACCCCTCGCGAAACGATCCGGTAGGGCCCCCAACAAGCCGCGATTGTTGGCGGGAAGTGCGGAAAAGGTGTCCAAATGTCAAGAAACACCATGTTTTATGAAGAAGACTTGCCCAGGATTGTTGAAAGGCATGGGAAAAATTGAAGAGAAACTGGGTGCAGCGGGTTAGGTTGCAAGATTTTGTGTGGCTTGATCGTATTAAAAGCTAGTTAGGGGATTTAGGTACCGGCTTGACTAAAAGCCTAAAACACATGAAAAAATTATAGTTTTATCGAAATGATGCTGTATTGATTTTAACTAGAGTTCCGCGCCAATCATCTCTTAACATCCCCCCCGTACACTAATGGGATCAGGGAGAAGCAGACGTGATATTTGAATTTCGTCGGCATTTCGAGTTCGAAATTCGTTTGAAATAAATTGAATAAACTAAATAAAACCCGAAGAGGAAATCTAGCATAATTGTGGATCTAACTGAATCAACTACGGAGCATTCAGAATATCTTTTCAAAATCTAAAAAACGCAAAAAAGCTCACGTTTTGAACGTTTGAAGATTGCTCCAAATTTTTCCCCTCTGAATGCCTTCTGCTACATTCAGGGGCGTAGCCAGAAAAATTTTGGGGGGGGAGGATTTTTCAAACAAAATTGAGAAGTCAACAAATAAACCGCGCCGCCGGCAAAAACTTTTTGGAAAAACAGGTTGCGTAGCACTAAAAATAGTCTTGAAAACCTTAAGAAAAGGTATATCCACATACTATGATTGTTTCGGTCACTTCTGCGTCTTCCAATCCTTATTTACATCTCAACATCTACACATTTTCTTCCCTGTCCCAACCAAATCTTGATTGTTGGTGAATTGAGGGTCGATCGGGGTCGCGAGGCCGTCATTGGTCGGATCATATGTCCGGATACGTGTCCGGAATGGCCAAATATTCTCTGCGAAAAGGAGGGGAAGACTGTGGACAGGCGGACGCTAGAGAGAAAGGAAAATAAGAGGGGAAGAAGCCCTCGCTAAAGGTACACGAAAGGACTGGGTGGGGCCCGAACGCGTGAGGGCAACAATGGCACCGCGCACCGAAAACCGGGTATAAAGGGGCCATGGGCCAATGGCATGCCCCAGTTGCCCCCTTCACAACCCCTTCAGTACATCCGGTGACATGGCAAACTCCATACTGTAGGTTTATAATGCTAATCGTCGGGTTTTCATTAAAATTTTTGATTTATCGAATTAATTTTAAGGGATCCGCTATTCTGTATTTCCATAAAAATTCTGCCGCTTTTTAGGGTTCTGTGCCTGCTTGGCGCTGCTACTGCTCAATACCTATACCCAGGGGTAAGTTGTACTCTTTGCCTCTAGAAACCGAATGCTTAATGAAATTACCGTTTTCAGCAGCGACCTGGCCCTCAAGCCCCTCAAGCTCCTCCTCACTACGGACAAGCTCCGCCACCACAACAAGCACGATACCCCGGAGCAGCTCCCCCTCCACCGCCTTCACCAACCTACCTCCAACGAGACCCATCCTATCCTCCTCCACAAGCTCAACACCGTGCCTATCCTCCTCCCCGCTATGCCGCAGCAGCTCCGGCCTATCCTGCGCCTCTAGCCACTCCACCCCACCCTGCGTACGCTCCTCCCGCTTACAACCGCCCTGCCTACGAGGCTCCACCACCGGTACGTTTGCAAACATTCTACTTTTTCATACTAAGAATTCCATAGGCAATTTAATAAAACACTGTTACAGCCAGCCTACGACCCCTGCGCTCAGCAGCCCCCATGCGGCTACGCACCAGTCCCAGAGCCGGTAGATTTTCTAATATTTTCTAATTTTCGAAATCCGGTTTAGGCACCGCTTTGCGCTCCACCAGCAGCTTGCGCACCTCCCGCCTACGAGCCAGTTCCGGCCTACGGATGCCCATGCGGCCAAGCACCTCCCCCACCAGCTCCCCTCTATGCTCCAGCTGCCCCAGCTCCGGCTCCAGTCTATGCTCCGGCCCCTCCTGCTCCGCTCTACGCTCCTGCTCCAGCCCCTGCTCCTCTCTATGCTCCAGCTCCAGCCCCAGCTCCGTTGTACGCTCCACCGCCACCAGTCCCTGCCCCGGCTTACGCCCCGGTTCCGGTTCGCGAGCCTGTTGCGTATCCAGTAAGTGGTCAAATAATGCTAACATCGCCCTTTTAGGCTTACGCCGCTCCCGCCCCAGTTTTCGCCGCTCCTGCCCCGGTCGCTGTTGCCGGCCCACCCGTCTACCTCGTACGTTATTTGCATTTATACATCACTTCTATTCGGCACTTAAAACCCTATATTGTAACTTTAGGCTCCTCAAATCTCGCCACTTGCCCGCCTTGTCCCCGCCTACGCCCCTGGAGCAACCGTGTTCATCGGCAAGAAGCGCTCAAAGCCGGTGAAGGTCGAAAAGAAGCTCGACAACTAGGAACAAATACTAGAAGATTATCTATTTGTATATATGAGATTATAATAAACTGTCATTTCGTATACTCGGCCAATGGTTTGGTCTTTTAAACACTAAACTTATCGAAAATTTGGCCTAGAAGAGAAAAAACCCGACATTAGCCTGATCACCAAGGTCAAAAAAGTTTGCAACTTCCTCTTTGAACAAACCCTGAACCTAGGCAACCGCCAATATCTTTTCTTCCTCTACCTCAACCTCCCCATCCCACCAAAAAACCGGTCTCCACTGTTCGAGAAGCTTCTCTTCCAACTCAGCTCTCCCTGACTGCCCAGATATCCAGAAAAGGAGCCGGGGGTAGCTCGGGAGGAGGAGGAGGCTAGATGACAGTCCACCCTCTCTCTATCTCTCATCTCCCTACATTCTTTCGCCCGACCCTGACCCCTCAGCACACACCCCTCCCCCCCAACTGAGCCCCAGGGTCGGGAACTCCTTGGAACAGAACATCTTTGTCTGTTTGCTCCGGATTAATTAGATCACATTATTTTAAGCACGAGCTACAAAATTCTTTCCTTTCTTCGAATTTAGATTTTTAATGCCACAACCGCTAGTTTTAGCATGCGGTGGCTCCTGCTCCTGGCTGTGGTGGCAGCCGTTGGAGCGGTAAATAGGGCAAAATTTAGAAGATGTATCGATACAGCCTTCTGCAGGTAAAAAAGTGATCGATGATTTTTACCGTATCGATGTAGGCGGCATCGCGACGACAAATCTGTAACCGATTACAAGGTCGTCTCAAATAGCTTAAAATTCAATGACACTGGGCTGCACGCAATTTTGAAAAACAAGGTTTGTGATATTCAGAGTTACTGATAGTTTTTTTGTTCCAGGAAAACTCCCTAGTCTTGGATATTGTTGCGTTAAAAGATTCGACAGTAAGACTGGTAATTGATGAATTCGAGGGGAAAGACGGTATGATATTCATGGATATTTTTAATAAAGATTAAGGCCGTGTCCGCAACCGCTGGCAGCCTTTGGATGCACTCAACAACCCAGAACCTGATCAACAAAAGTAATATAGCTTTTAAAAAATCTAAGTATCTTTAGGATTAAAAAATCTGAATCCAAAGCTGATGAGTCATTCTTCGAGACCGAAGATGGCCATAAGGTAAAATAGATTCAAAATTTTATAGCCAAATATTTTAGGTTGTCGTCCAGCACAAGCCATTCCGAGTCGATCTGTATTCCAAAGGAACTCTGGTCGCTACAGTGAATTCAAAAAGTATACAGAACGACAGTAAAAAAATAACAATTTTTAGATCTTTTACGCTTCGAGCATTTCCGAAAGGGTCAGAAGGTCAAAGACGGAGATGGATTTTGGGAGGAAAAGTGGGGAGATTTCAAGGACAAGAAGCCTCATGGTAGGGTCAGAAGCTTACGATTGTACAAGGTATCTGCTTTTCTTAGGCTCTTCTTCCGTCGGCGTTGATATAGCGCTACTCGGATTCAAATACGCTTATGGTCTTCCGGAGCATTCTGAGACTTATGCGCTCAGGAGTACAAAGTTAGTTTTTAGCGCCGTGCATTTAATTATTTGTTTTTAGCAACTATGAACCATACCGTCTTTACAACTTGGATGTATTTGAGTATGAAATTAACAATCCAATGGCTTTGTATGGATCAGGTAGAGAATGCCGCCATAATACGCTTCAAAAACAATTTTGTAGTTCCCTTCTTGGCGGCGACCAACACGAAACGAGCTCTAAGTATGCTATGGCTCAATCCATCGGAAACTTGGGTGGACTTCGACACAAGCCGTGCTGATTTGGGCGCTGTGGCCAAGCTTGTCGAAACCGAAGACGAAAAAGCCCACAAAATCCCACAGGTTCTGTCAAAGCTGCTTTATCTTTACTTGTCCGTTTCAGATCAATACCCGTTTCATCTCGGAGTCTGGTCTTATTGACGTTTTCTTCTTCCTCGGCCCAAAACCAAACGATATCTTCCGGCAGCACGCTAAAATCACTGGCGTGACCCCTATTCCACCGGTATATAAAATTATTTACATACATATTAATTTATTGCCTTAGGAATTTTCGTTGGGATACCATCAGTGCAGGTGGAACTACAAGGATGAGAAGGACGTTCGGGAAGTCGTTGCAAAGTTCGACGAGCACGAAATTCCGCTTGACGTGTTGTGGCTGGACATTGAACACACGGATGGGAAACGATACTTTACATGGGATAAGGAGAAGTTCCCTGATCCGGCTGCCATGGTTGAGGAGATCTCTAAGAAGGTCAGAGGGAAACAAGTAGAAAACCAACAAGCTTCCAGGGCCGCAAGCTGGTAACCATCGTCGACCCACATATCAAAAAGGACAAAAATTACACCATTTACAAGGAGGCACGAAAGAAAGGTAAAAGATCACGGTATCTGATGTCCTATTCAAATTCTTAGGTTTCCTCGTCAAGGAGTTAGGCGGAAAGAAGACGTTTGTCGGAAATTGTTGGCCACAGGATTCGGTTTATGTGGATTTCACCAATCCCGAGGCCAGGAAGTGGTGGGCTGAGAAGTTTGCGTATGACAAGGTAACGCTTGGAGGGTATTTATGCTAACATTCATTTTAGTATCCTGGAACTTCAGACAACGTTCATATTTGGAACGACATGAACGAACCTTCTGTATTTGATGGACCAGAGGTTGGTATTTCCGAAATTAATCGCATACATTAAAGTTCCGGAACTGGAGTTTTGAAATTAAAAATTTATAACGATGCAATAGATTTATAATATTTTTATTGTTTCATAATTTCAGGTCACCATGCCGAAAGACCTTGTCCACCATAATGACCGTGAACACCGCGAGGTCCACAACATGTATGGCTTCTATCAGGTGCTATTCAGACTGTGTCCGGAAACCAATGCCTTTAGCATTCGGCCACATTTGACGGTATCAAGAGTCGTTCCGGGGGAAAGCTACGGCCATTCGTGTTGACGCGTTCGTTCTTTGCCGGATCGCAACGGACTGCTGCTGTCTGGACTGGGGATAATGCAGCTACCTGGGAACATCTAAAGGTGGGTGGAAGCCCAAAACCTAAACCTAGGCCCAAGCCTAGGCCAAGCTTAAGCCTAAGCGTAAAACTACCATTAAACAAAAAGTTTACAGGCATCGGTCCCAATGCTCCTCACTCTCTCCACTTCCGGTATTCCATTCGTTGGTGCTGATGTCGGAGGCTTCTTCCATGACACAGACCCTGAGCTCTTTGTTCGATGGTAAATCTATCCATCTTCTAAATAGTTTCTTCAGGGCCCAAGCCGGCGCTTTCCAACCTTTCTTCCGCGCTCATGCTCATACTGACACCAAGCGTCGAGAGCCATACCTTCTGGATGAGGAACACCGTGCCGCTTACAAAAAGGCTATTGAAACAAGGTACAAAAACTGAGCGCCAGATAGCCAAATCAATTTTTAGGTACAAGTTCCTGCCCTACATCTACAGCTTGTTTTACGAGCATTCAAAGACCGGTAAGCCAGTGATGAGACCTCATTGGATGGAGGTATGCAAATGGGCCTGGTTACATTTAAAAAACTATTTTTTAAGCTGATGGAGGACGAAGTTGGATACGATGAGGATCGTCAGTGGTTGCTTGGAAATGCTATCCTGGTGAAGCCTTCGCTGGAAGCCGGAGAGCGCAAGACTTCTGTTTATCTGCCTGGACGACGTGAGGAAGAGAGAGAGAGAGAGAGAGAGAGAGAGAGAGAGAGCAAACCTATACATGGCTCGATGTTAAAGGTACACTAAAGTCTCGTTGGTTTGGTTTCCAGCCGGTAACCGTCCGCGGGATAGCAAACAGGGTTACGGTAGGCGCTCGCCGCGGAGCAAAACCGAACCCGGCCCACTCGCCTACGGCAAGCGGTTTGGACCACTAGGCCATGGGAGGGACGGGACAGGGGGGGGGCGGAAGGGCTATAAAGGGTCCGGCCAATTGGCGGCGAAGGGAGAAAATTCAAGACGGCGACGCGGTTTTTTGAACGAGATTTTAGTGTACCTTTAAGGCTAATCAAGCTAATATACATGAAACATTTTTAGGTCTGGTACGAATTCGAGAGCGGAAAGGCCCGGCCTTCACCTGGTGCCATGCAAATTGAAGCACCACTGGACAAGATTGCCGTCTTCCAAAGGGGAGGTCGGTTTTTTTATAGCACAAAATTTGTTAGCCAGAAGATTCTTTTTAATAAATCTGAATCAAGTGGTCCTAAAACTAATCACTATGATCTTCTCTAGGTACCATCGTGCCGATCCGCGAGTTAGATGGGCATCGTGCATCGTTGGCTGAGACCCGAAACGACCCTGTCTCTCTGTATATCGGCTTGAATACACGAGGTGAGCAGCTCGCCTTGGTTTCGTTGTTGATTTTGTTTATGTAATTGCTATTATTATTATAAATATGGCAATTTTTAGGAGACCAGGCTAACGGTACCGTCTACCTTGATGATGGTGAAAGCTTTGCGTACGAAAATGGCGACTTTGCCCTATGGAGCATCGTTTTCAAGGTTCAGATTTTATACAATTGCCATAAATGCCTTTTAGAAAGAACACGACTACCTCTTCACGATCTCGAGCAAAATTCTTGACAAGAAGGGCACCTACACTTCTGAGGTTTTGATCGACAAAATCTACATTCGAGGTGTCAAGTTCTACCCACAGACGGCCCATATCTATTTGGACGGTGGGTGTTGATGTTTTTGATGTGGAAAATGTTTAGGAACGTATTTCAAATTTTTATGCGTATTTAAGCCGATTTTCTAGAATAAGAAAAATTGTGTATGTGGACCTTTCGCCAAAGATTTCTTCACCTACTGCAGCGTTTCCGTGGAACTTTGAGACCAACACGAAGACCACCCATGTTGTCTATAGGGTGGTCTCCGCCAGCTAGCCATGAAGGACGATAACGATCTCCCCCGCGCCATTACAATTTTGATTCAAAATTGGTCTTTTTCGAAAAAATTCTATTAGAATGATTTTTATGCTACAGCTTTTATATTTACGTTGTTTATGGTTTTATAAGCCTTTTAAGGAATCTAAACTACTTTTGACAACGTTTAGATCAACTTTCAGAAAATATATAACTTATTTAACAGTGTTTCCTTAAAAATCAGTGCGTCTACGATGAATACACCGATTTTAGACTTCATCCCCGAAGATCTGGACTTTGAGCATGACCGTGACCTCCAACAAGTTGTCATCTCCAACGTGGGCGCCTACCTGACCAAGGAATGGAAAATCGACCTCCATGGATAAAACTCGATACCTAGCAGTCGCCGTAGTTTCTTATTTTTGTTTTATTGTGATCGTCATTATGGGTATTCTAATAAATATTTTAAATTAATTTAAAAATCCACAAATCTTCACATTCTCAAAAATAGGCCAGGCGGTTATAAGAATAAAGGTTCGAAAATATTTGCGGTAAAAATGGCGCTGACCCATCGAGATGGGGCGCACTTCTTGTTTAGTCTGGTGCCAGGAGGTGAGAAGCTTAAGCTGTTTATTTATTCCTGTTCAGGAAGTGATAAGAAGTTTGTCAAAGTGCCCCGATCTGAAGCATACCTGTTATGGCGTCAAGAATTTTTAAAATATTGAAATCGGGCCGACCACAACCTTAACCACCTTTCTACTTTATGCTTTTTTCTGTTTTTGAGGGTGTTTCCCCAAAAAATTCATATGCAAATCCATTGTTTTGTGTTCCGGGGGGAGGGTAGGGTGCCTGGTCTATTTCTCACAGCCATTTCAAACCCCCCAAAAAGTCATTTCCCGATTCGAAATCCAGACATGTTCCGGCCCATTTATTCAGGTAACAAAAAGCCTTTGGCCTATGATAACGATAAGGGAGGGGGAGATATTTTTTGTGGTGAAAGTTCCAGGCACCTTGACCCCGTGAGGGATATCTGAAATTGCCGGGGCATAAAACGGAGAAAAAGACTAATGAATTTTAAGCGCTGCTCTGTGTGTGGCTTCGTCAGTTTGGTGTTGGAGCGGCTGACGACGAGATGAAGCATGTATGTGTTTTGGTTCTTAGCGTTAAACTAGAACTTTCTATTAAAATGGCAGTTCCATGACTTTTAGATCAATTACACGTTTCCTGAGGACTTCCTTTGGGGTGCAGCAACGTCGGCTTATCAAATCGAAGGAGCAGCATTAGAAGATGGTAGGTTCTTAAGTATATTTTACTACATATTTCATAAAGATACACCTATAACTACGTATTCTTAGGAAAAGGCCCATCAATCTGGGATATATTCACGCGTGAGCCCGATCGGATCAGCAACAACCAGACGGCCGACGAATCTGCTGACAGCTACCATAAATATCTGGAAGATGTGGCCGCATTGCGGGATTTGGGGGTACGCTTCGCACTGGTTAAATCACCAATCTTAAATTGAGATCACCACAAATCAAGCCGTAATAATTTAGGTAAAAACGTATCGCTTCTCAATTTCCTGGCCTCGAGTTATCCCCGCTGGGATCGGGGATACAAACCAGGACGGCATCGATTATTATCATAATTTGATTGATGCGCTGCTTGATGCGGATATTAAACCGATGGTTTGGCTTAATGCTGGGTTTATTAGGTTTTTAAGGTGACTTTATACCACTGGGATTTGCCACAAGCCCTGCAGGATCGGGGCGGATGGCTGAACCCGGAAATCGTCGATTGGTTCGAAGAATATGCTAGGTTGTGCTTTGAGGAATATGGGGAGAAGGTATGCTAATTACACAAACAATTAATAGTAGTGTTTTAGGTGCCATACTGGATTACATTGAATGAACCAAGAGCCCAGGCGGCTTTTGGGTATGGTCAAAAGCTTTGTCACCTATCATGCCCCGGGGATACAGACTGATGGGAATTGGGCATGGTGAGGGGTTTTAAAGGGATCGCGACATATGATGTTCTTTCTAGTTATCTGGCAACGCACCATATGATGTTGGGACACGCAAGGGTATACCATCTCTACGATGACGAATTCAGAAGTGAATACAACGGTATAATAAACCTGACTATTCCAAGCAAAATCAGTATACAAGGACTACATTCTTACAAATTCTTTTTCGAATTTCAAAACAAACAAAAAATTTACAGGCCAAGTCGGGATCGCCAACGCTGTAGCTTGGACGGAACCGGAAGATCCGGATTCAGAGGAGGACCAGGAGGCGGCCAGACTTTATAGAGATATCCAATTCGGGCTCTACACCCAACCACTGATTACGGTAGGACTAGAAGTTTGTAACTACAAGATGGAAATTATAGGGCGACTACCCAGAAAGAGCTAAAGAAAAATTGGCAGAGTTGAGCACTGAAACTGGACGAGTAACGAGTGTGCTGCCGGAATTTACGACGGCAGAGAAAAGGAGCTTGAGAGGTTTGTTTGAAGAAATTGTTAGAAGAAAGCAAAACACCGTATTTTCAGGTTCCATCGACTTCTTTGGTGTCAACCACTACTTCACCTACGAAGCCAGAGCTCTAGATGAAGAGGAAATGGATGAGAATAACACCCTTACCCATCTTGGCTTGTCTATTGCCCCTAGTGATGATTGGAAGAGGTGGAAATTCGTGAAAAGCCCACTAAAGCGAATTTTAGAATGCATCCAGATGCGAAATGGTTCATTCTTCGCCCCGCCGGCTTCTTCCAGGCCCTCATGCATCTTGATCGACGTCTTGGAGGCTTACCAATTATTGTGACCGAAAATGGGTTCGATTTACAGACCATTTAATTTTATGTTATTATTAAGTTGTATGGATAGCCCCGGGGAAGGGCGCAATGATGTAAGCCGAGTCCATTATCTAAATGCTTACATCTCGGCTATGGCGTTAGGTAATTGAAGACCTAGTGCGATATTTCAAAACCCTCTTTAGCTATGGAAAAAGGAGCAAATGTAGTTGGCTACACCGTCTGGAGCCTAATTGATAATTTTGAGTGGACGCGTGGCTATGATATGGCTTTTGGATTGTATCGGGTTGGTCTTGGACGAAATAATCTGAGACGTATACAGGTTAACTTCAATTCCGAGGAAAAACGTCGTACACCCAAACTCTCGGCCCGATGGTATAAATCACTTATTTCACAAAACGAGATTGAAATCAGTGAGTCCACTATAGTGCTTTTCGTCATTTTTCATTATCTAGCCGAAGAGACTGCAGATGAAGTGATACTACCTGCTATCGAAAAGAACGCTATGTTTGGGGTAAGCCCGAATTGATTGAAAAATAACAAAATTTTGCAGACCTCGTCGCGACTTCCCGGTGTCGTGTCCGCAATTGCGGTCCTGGCCGCGTGCGCCGTTTTCTATTTCCAAATTTGAAAATTTATTTCTATTTTGCAGGATAAAGCGCTTGATTTTTGGCAGGGTACATGATAGCGCAGAAATTGCAACAAAACGATCGAAAGTGAATTAGAGAAGCCAGAAAAAATGAGAAACAATTTCCTAAGCGGTTCAATGTCCATAGATGACGCCAATAGATCGTTTGGCTGAAGAGCAGTTGGCAAATGGGTAGTCGGGGTGATCTTTGAATCTAAAAAACCACTGACAGTTCTGTGGTTTTGGACAAACTCGGAGAAGGTGAAGTAGCGAATGTGTTCCTTGAGAGAACCGAGCTTCTTGATTTCATCGGCGGTTAGATGAAAGTCCAGAATCTGGATTATTTTTCTATTAATGGGCGACCGTTTTCTAGCAATCTCCAAATTCCAAACATACATCGATATTCTCGGCAATTCGATGGTGACTAGCTGCCTTCGGTATCACGCAGATTCCACGATCTAACATGTAACGAAGCAGCACCTGGAAGTTATAGCTTTCGATAACAATTTTTGATTACAGGCATGCGGTATGCAAATCAGCCCGTACCTGCGCCGGACTTTTCCCATGTTTCTCCGCAATAGCACGCACGTACTGATTGTTGAGGGGTGATGGGTGACCTTCGACCCATTTGAACGCCCTGAATTTGTATAATGTTTGTGGTTTCGAACTGGTTTGTGGAAATACACTAAAAAAGAGGCCTATGACCCGCAACCTACGGGAATTGATCACGATGGGTTGATCCGAGCGTCGCAAAACTGGTGAGAACGATGTTGTGGCGTTGGCAGTAGGCCTGTAGATCGTGAGCTGGGAAGAAGACGTGGCATTCATTCTGAAAAATTCGAACGAATCTATAGAGTATAGATTTTATAGAGGACTTGAAAGTTCTTAAGCGAACCTGCGAGTTCTGAATTGGTATGCGAGCAATTTTACGGATCTTCTCCATTTGGGCGTAGCTGCAATTGGAAACGCCAATCGCGCGTGTCAGCCCGAGATCGTATAGCCGTTCGAAGCCCTGAACATGGACAAGATATTATTTTTCCTGTGGTTTAGGGCGCAATTTCTAAATTCAGCTGCTTACCCTCCAAACATCCTCGATCGTCAATCCATCGTGCATCATCTAGAAAGAGGCGAGTTTCGAAAATTCTTTTAAAATTACAGGTGGCATATGGAGCAGGTAAAGATCGATGTAATGCGTTCCAAGCAGTTGCAGCGCATTTTCGATGGCCGCCAAATGGTTGTCTGGATGGGCTTTATCAATCCAAATTTTGGTCGTCAGAAACATGTCTTCTCTCGTCACGACACCTTCATCATATAGCTCCTGAAAGTAAATGCCTCAAATCTTAGGGAGTTCAATAAACATGCCTTAAGTGCCTCGCCGATCATGGCTTCGTTTTCATAAATCGCAGCAGTATCGATGTGTCGATATCCAGATCGAATGGCCGTTTTAATGGCATCTTTTCCAGCCTCACCGCTTAGCTAAAATATGTAAAAAAATAGACAATTACACCTCCGAATATCTTTTTCGTCGCTTTAAATTATTTTGACCAACCTGCCAGGTACCGAATCCAATCATCGGCATTTCAACACCATTCGAGAGGACAACTGTCGGCTGCTTTTTCGGGCTCATTGCAACACCAAATTCCGTATCGTCTTCCTCACCAGAATGCTTGATAAAATTAGAGGCCTTCTCAAAGCAAATCATCGTGCCCGGGGGGGTACAGATACGGAAAGTGGAATTGGGACAAAGGGGGCAAAGTGCTCACACTAGGCCACCATACCCCACTAATACCATCGGTTTATGCCGGCTATTATTTGGGGATTGAAACGGGGCGGTTTAGTGGTTGGGAGAAAAATAAGCGCGAAACTAGCTACAAAAATTTTAGATTTCAGTTGGAAGCGAGTGGGGAAGAGATTTGGGGGATCGACAAATGTAACGGGTGCCTTTTCGGGAGGCGAAAAAGTTGTTTACTGCTAGTATTTGTCCAAAAAGGGAAAAGAGGATAGGGGCTTCGCTGCCAAGAACGGCTGGCATTTCGCAATGCTATAGCCCAAAGGCATTCGGGGGCAACCTTCAAGCTACTACAGAAAATGGTGAAAAATGTGGGGGGAAAAATGCGTCTTCAATCTACAATTCCCAGGGACTATGCTTACAAATGCAGGGCGTGCGAAGATCGAAATTGCTCAACGGTTTTGACGAGCACGATAGGCAGCTACAATAACCACAAAAGGCTGTCAGCATCCACCAACAATGCACTTGATGACTGTTCTCAAGTACGTGCCCGAGTCTGCGCGCCACAAAAAATGTCGGCTTATTGGGCGCGCCCGAAAAGGCCAGGATTCCGGGAAAGGCGAGGAGGTAATTTTGCGGAAGGAAACGGTTAGTAGAAGGTCGGGCTCCTATTTGCCAATGTCGCCCCTTCGTCGCGCAGCCCGTATACATACGGTCCTTGAAATTGCCGGCAAATTGTCGGTACCGGGCATGGGAAAGGTTTTTTAGGGTATAGGATTTTACGATACTTGCGCGCCGCATGTTAGGTTTTCCTGGATTTCTTGCCGTGATCGAGAACTCAAAAAATTGAATATGTTCGCCAATTTCTCCTAGAAATTGCAAAAACAGGAACGCGGTCTTTAGCAAAGCAACGCAAAGTTTTCCAAAACATTAAAATGTCGTGGTTATTATTTAATCCATCACCCGGTGTCGTGGGCGCGAATCGGTAAATACCAGCAACTATTTGGCACCTGAATACCACGGACAAGCCGAAATGGACAAGCCCGCTTCTCAGGTAGGTGCACGGGCGGGGGTCGAACCGGGGCCTCCCGAGCCCGGACGTAGATTTCACCCACTGCACCACAACGCATTGCGGAGAGGGAGAGCGGAGGGCAACCAAGGGCTGGGGCGCGCCCGAACGCTGCAACCAAGGAACTACTTTTGTAAGTATAGGCGCTTGAAAACACAAAAAAACCATAGAAAAAATTCATAGAAAGACTTGGCTCGGCGTTGCCTAGCTAGATTGTTGTTGAACCCCGCTCAAAAATCTCGTGTGTAATGGGCATTCTCAAGGATGCGAAATACAAACAAATGATTTTATGTAACAAAAACAGGAATTTTCAACAGTTTATGGACTGGCTTCATCCGTTGTGTCACCCTCATGGTCGTATGGTCGGCCTCTGGTAGCATCTTTGGGGCGAACGATCGGCATCAATCGTGGAGGGCTTGGAACCCATCCATCGTCCGAGTCCGAGTCGTCACGATGGAAGCCGGATTGCTTTGCTCGCTTGCTGGCGATTTCACCTTCCTAAAACGCCATTGATCGCATAAAAAGAGGGGATCTACCGTTCCGTATTCGTAATAGCCTGAACCGTCTTCATACAGCATCGACTTCTCAATGACGGTGATGTCCCGGATCGAATCCACCAGCACCTCAGAGAAAATTACCCTAAAAAGATAGGGTCAGCAATATATAGCAGCCTTACCATTGCGGATATTCTTTTGCATACATTACGGCACTCCCTTTGTAAACACCAAACGGATAGTCCTCTTTCACCGATAAATATTTTCCTAAAACCGATATTTTGATACATATGCCGTAAATTACCAGTATGATGCCAACGAGCCGCCTGAGTAAAAAAGCCCGAAACAAGACATCGCACGATGCGTTCAGATGCGCCTGGAACAGTGTGTGCACCAAGAAAACAGAAATACCGATCTGTCCTTTACAAGAGACCATTCTAATCTTCAATCGTCTCATCAATCCCACGAGCTGAGCCCTAACAGCATCAGCACGTTGAAGGCCACGATGATTGAGGAAATGGTCTGCACACCACTTCCTCGAGCGTTTGTTCTAAACAACCAGTGAAAAGAGTCGGAAAAAAGTTGCCTCGACATAGCTGGTGTAGACGTTGAGATATGTGAGATGATCCCCCTCCTCGACCGAAAATTGACGCTTCGCCATCTCCTAAGAGAACTTGCGCAACATAAAGAGTCTATACCGCTCGTTGCCTTCCAGACGACGGTGTGATAAAGACGTCCTGAATTTGCATCATAGCAATAATTGAAGCCATCTCCTCACTGCATTTAAAGTCGTCATCACCTAAAAAAATGACATTATTTTCAAAACAAAACAACGACTTACCGGAAGTCAGGAGACATTTTGCATGCATGGGTGGCAGTGGCATCTCACTCATTCGGAAGCCGACCGGCGAAGTCAACACAGACTGTTTATCCAGTGCCCCAAGCGCATAGAGCAATTCCAACGCACAGATGACCGAAGTGGAAGGCGGCCGCTAAATTCAGGGCCTTATAATGGAACCATGAAATGGCTTACACTCAGGTAATGAAATTTGTGGATGTTTTTAATTCCCAGCGCTTTCATCTGCAGAAGCGTCTCTGCCAGGTCGCAGCGCTGGATTTCCGGCACAGTCCCTTCAGCTAGTTTGGCATATTGCTCTTCTAAAACAAAACAAAAACTACCAAGAAAAAGCCGAAAACTGACCCGGATAAAGACGGAAACATTTGCCAGGGCGAATACGTCCTGCTCGGCCAGCCCGTTGATCGGCGGAAGATCGCGAGACTGGAACCTAGATTTTCGTTCAAAAGCAGCAAATACAAATCTACCTTCATCAAAGTTTCCACCCCATTCTTCGGATTCATTGCGCGGAGCTTCACAAAGCCAGCGTCAATGACTAAAACCATGTTTGTTTATCGAAATCCTACTGACCGTATGAGACACCAGGAATCGTGACCGAAGTCTCGGCAATGTTGGTCGCCACAATAACTTTTCTGACCCCATGAGGCGTGCTATCAAACGCCTTCATCTAAAAAGATATCACCGATTGCCAAAAAAATGTTTCATACTTGTTCTTTCGGTGGCAAAGAGCCGTACATGGGTACCACCCAGAGCTTATCAAACTTCTTCAGATTCATTTCCTTCGCTTGCGCCCTAGTCAATTTACACACCTAAAACCATTTATACTCACTTGTTAACGACAATACCTCTTCTACTTCATCTTGCCCGGTGAGGAACACCAAAATGTCTCCAGGCATCTCGTTTTTGTGGATTGTCATAATCGATTCGACCGCGGTGGCTACATAGCTCGGCACACTCCTAGAAACAAATTTACTAATCAACGAAATAGTTACGTCTTCGTATAATAGATTGAAACAGGATGCGTGCGGCCTTCGACCGACAGAATGGTAGCCGTATCCTTCTCCTTGTCCGTGCCTTCATTCAGTTCAAAGAAGTTGCAGAACAACTAAAATTCTCCGCTATCACGCCAGATAATCAATGATACTTCTGCATCAAGTGTGGCTGAAGAGACAACAATTCGGAGATCTGGGCGCAACGTCATTACTTTACGCAAAAGTCCAAGCAGTACGTCTGTATTCGTCGTGCGCTCATGTGCTTCGTCAATCATCAGCACACTAAAAACTAAATCAACATCCAGATCCGTTCTGATACCTATATTTAGTCAGCAACGGATCCAGCAACATTTCGCGGAGTAGGATACCGTCAGTCATGAACTGAAAAAAAACTGATCCGTCAACTTGATAAAAATACCTTGATTTTGGTACGGTCATCCGTAGCGTCATCGAATCGGACGGTGTATCCAACGTCTTGTCCGAGCAGACAATCAAATTCCTCCGCCACTCGCGCAGCAAGCTAAATACAGGTTGAATATCCAAAACTATCAAACCGTCAAAGCAGCTACGCGCCTTGGCTGGGTGACCCCGATCAAACGTCCATCCGAACACCATCCAGTCTCAGCAAGATACTAAATTCCCGCAAATTAGAATCAAAATCAACGATATACCTGCGGAATTTGTGTGCTTTTCCCGCACCCGGTTTCGCCAACGATGATCAACGCTCTATACTTCTCCAGCGCATATAGTATGTGATTTCTATTCTAAAAAGGCTGGATGTATAGGAAAACGGGCTAAAACCTTTGCAATCGGTAGTCTAGCGCGCTGTAGCTTGATAGCTTGGCTCGTGTATGGGTTGTGGTAAACGACGACACCCTCTTCAGCATTCTTCGCTACTCCGCCGCGCTCCTCCAGGACCAACGGGCCAGTTTTCGAAGCATCCCAGTCATCATCTAGGAAAACTGCTGTTGTAAAAGGAGCTTCCAGAAACCTGGACGCTTGAAACGGAAGTCTTGACGGCGATTCGTTGAAGGACCAGGTCCAGGCAGATGGAATGACATCTGTAAATGAAGATTATGGAACATGAAAACAAGCCTAGGAAAATAGGAGGCTGAGAAAAAAGCTCTAACGCCTTTGTACTTGGTCTAGAAAAGAAGAAGACAATTTTTTCAATGAGAAAACGAAAAAATCGAAATTCGAAACGCCAGAATCTTTTTCAAGGGGCCCGGTGTAGTTTGTTGTGTTAGGTATAAACAGCGCGTAAGCGAACCCAGCCCAGTTTATTGACCCTGCGTGATTCAGCTTCTTTCGCAAGAAATTCTCCAATTTTGATGCGTATCGCAAAATAACTACATTATAATGTTAATCCTTTACTTTAGGTCTACTACATACAATCGAAATGAGTGATGCCGACTGGAATATCATCAGAAATCCGGTTTGTTTTCGGGATCTTTGGTGCATACAATTGTAGGATAATTTTTGTGCTTTAGTTCGCTTATAATTTGTGATATTTTCAGGACACACCGTTTACGGCGATGATTCCGGGTGGAATGGTGCCCCTGCGCTCCATCACAGTAAAGGGAACCGTCTTGGATAATGATATCAAAAGGTATTCATTTTTTTCTGGTTTGAAATCAACTCTTAGATTTAACATTGATCTTTGTTGTGGACTTTTGATCAATGGTGACCATATGGACAACAAAGCCCTGCACCTTAACCCACGATTTATCAAAGCAGGTGTATGGTGAGTTTTAAATGAACTTATGTTCGATTGCCGTTTTCCAGGCCTTTCGGCGGCAACGCTGACCAGGAGATCGTCATAAACAGCTTGATCAACAATCAATGGGGCGTCGAAGAAAGGTTGAACCTACTTCTAGTCTATCTCAATTAGTTTTTAAGGTACTCAAATGTCTTCGGGCTCAACGAACACTTTACGCTGCGTATCCAGGCTTTTGAGGAATACTTTAAGGTTATTTTTATAAATAAATTATAACTATTATTGTAGATCGCAGTAAACGGAGCGCACCTTTGTGACTACGCTTTTCGGGTGCCGTTGTCGCAGGTTCGTGTTTAGCCCTACCACATTTATGCTCTGTTTCTAGATTAAAGCTATCCATGCCGACGGATGTATACGCATTGACTCGATCCAGTTCCAACCAGCGGTATATTTTAGCAGTCCAATAAAAATTTGCCGAAGATGGTGGCCGTTGAAAGCTCCAAATTTTTAGGATGGCGAGCCCGTTGAATAGACGATGCCTAGCTAAACGGCGTCCCTGTATAGCATAATTCGGCGGCGCGTTATTTTGTAAAAAATCTTGCATCGTTATCGTTTCGTGCCATGAAATTGCCCAAAAAATTTTGTGATCTGCTGCTTGCCCACGATAAATCTTTCTGATCGAAAACTAAATACATGGTCACACTATCGTCTTCAGATCGTGGATGGCATTCCGCACGAGGCAGCTTCACCGGCTGGACTACAAGAAGTAGCGAAATTTGAGCGCCCGGTACGCAATACAGATCATTTCCGTATTTTTTTGGTGCGGCCTGCCAATTCAGTTCTTTTCAGCCCATCCCATTCCAACACAAGCTGAACGGATTTGCTCCATCTCAGACCGTTCATGTAAGCTTTGGGTTGTAAATTCAAATTTGTTTTAGGTCACGTTGACTCCATTCCTATCGGGCGAACGCTTCACGATCAACTTCCACAAGGACGAAGAATGGGTGTTCCACTTCCGCGTCGATCTGCCGAATAACGCTACCAAGGAAAAGGTTGTTTTTCTGAAAAATGCTAATTTTCTGGAATAGGGTTCTGTGGTCCGTAACGCGACATCGTCTTGCAAATGGGGAGCTGAAGAGAGGAATATTAGCAGCTTCCCCTTCCACAAAGGTGTCACCTGCGATATCCACTTCACCGTTTTCCAGCGTTCAATGGCTGTGGGTTTTCTTTATACACTTTTACTTCTCGATTCGCGGTCACCTCCTGTGAAGTTAATTTCCATAAATCGCAGTATTTCGGTGATTAGCAGTTGAAACACGTAAATGGCTCTGATATACACTTTAATTTTTGTTCATACGTTTGCTCTTTGAGGTGGATGTCAATGGTGCGCCATTCATCTCGTTCGCCTTCCGCCATCAACGTCAACCTACAGACATCAACTTACTGACCGTAAAGGGCGACGCCGTCATCCATCGCATCGTACATAAGGCCTGATTGCTTGGTAAAGGTATATTCCGCTTACACAGCTTTGCCATTTAGCATTTGCCTTTGTCTGTAATTTATGCTCCTTTAGTACGAAATTTCACCAGCACTTTCCCGGCCCCCTATTCATCAATACGGTTATGATTAGATTGTTTGCTCCTCATTCCTATTTCGACGATATTGTGATCACTATGCTTGCAGGGTAATAAAACTTAGTACGCTTGGAAACTCCGAATAAGCAAGCATTGTCTAACCCATTCTTGGACCAGGAAATATCTTTTTCCCTTATCGCCCTCGAATTTCGTTGTCCGGCGGGGATTTTTTGGGTTTTTTATGGCTAGACGGCGCTCTGGGTGGGGTTATCACTGGGAATTGAACCCACGCATTTCCGCGAATCCACTAGTGGACAAAGTTCATCTAGCTGCTTTTGAAAGGCAAACCGTGGTGCTTTAAAAGTTAAAGCTCTAGCAGCTTTTTGTGAGAAGAGGTTTGGTAGTAGCTGTTCCACGTACATTTACACAGATAAACCGCGTCAACAACGGCAAGACCAGGAATCGCTCCCTAGTTGCGATGGGAAACCGGTTATCCGTTTCCTCTTTGATCGTACTTTGCGTGCCAAATGTCACCTAGTTCAGCGGACACATTAATTAAAAAAATCTGAGCGCTCCCCTGTCTGGCGATTCAAGTGGATTGATCATAACGGTCCGGATTAATTTATAAAATAAGCGGCCCATTTTTTTGCAAGATTCAGCCGGAAGTAAAAATGACCGTATTAGTGCCTCGGGTTAAATCCGATAATTACGCGCATTTTTCCATTGCTTGACCTCGGATTTCTTATCCATGAAGATCTCAACCTATAGCATCTTACTGCTGCCCGGTACTAAATCATTTCCCCCATTAAAAATTCGTCGAATTCGCGGCGCTGAGACGCTGAAACCCGTTTTGAACCATTTTTTCAATAACCTTGAATTTCATAGCTCCTTCCCTGAAACTGGAACCTTATCAGCGGACCGGATTTTTATTACCGGGTTCTGTCGCTTTAAAAAGTCAGATCGTTGAGCCAGATTTTTGAAGTTTTGTGCCCCGACCCAGTTGAAGGTTACGACGAACTCAAAAAAAAAAATGTTGTCTATATGACTGTGACTTGCGGAGTACATTTTGTGATCTGGACTCAAAAGTAGTAAAGCACGACATGGAACAGCTGAGCGTAGCTTTGTCTAGACTTTTCTCAAACCTGCGCTTCTCCCTAGCGGACCCAAGGCACTCAGATAAAAACTGGGGATTGGCATGTGAGTAGAGGAAGCTAGCTGGGTGTAAGTTCCTTGATTTTTCTTTTGACATTATTAGGCCGAGTTGTCAGCGCTTGTCATTGTCCAAGGGGTGCTCTGGGTGTGGCTGTGGAGGGAATGTGGAACGTGGAACGAGATGGTAATAGGCGACAATTTCTCCTGCTTTCTTTGCATTGCTTTTTCGGACAATGCATCTTCACCAAAAGGAAGGAAAAGTGCTGAATCGCACTTGGGTCACGGTGTTATGGTGTGGCGTTCGGTCTCAAAAAAACGGCAAAAATACGAAGTTCGGAAACGCCTTGATTCCTTGCATAAGATAATAGCTTTTTTGGCGCAAGCTTTTTTGCAAACCACTTTTTTCGATATCGCCCTCAAACTCCACTGCTCACTTTTCGACTACCAGAAAAACCGTCTATTTGCCCGCCCCTAGTTTGTTGATTTTTCTTGCAGCACCCCCACCCACATTGTGCAATATTGCTTGCACAACCCAAAAAATTGCTAGCCATCAAGTGCTTGTCATTTGCAGGGGATGACAAACGAATTTTGGAAACGGAAATGACGCTTTATCACCGGATTACAAGGGAAGGAATACCCTCTATCTATGCTTTGCGGTGGGGAGTGGCCAGCCTACGTAGATTGTCGAGGCTTAGTTAGGTTCGGGGTATTTGTTTGGTTTTGGGTGCAGTACTGTGAACTGGCTGCACCCTTTTCCAAGTGGAGTAGATAAAAGTGAAAGTGAGTGAAGAAGGAGAGAGAAGTTTTTTCAGAGTACACTTGCGAGCACTGCCCGTTTTGTCTGGTTCTCGAATTCCGGTGTTCTTCTTGACCACGTGGAAGGAAAGCAAAATGGCGCGTTCTGATCGGCACCAAATTTTCCAAAAACAGCGCAAGTTTTTGATCTAACCTAGCCCCTGCCCAGCAGCAAACAGATACCCTCCCCCACTAGTGACTCATTGAACGGCAATTCCTCCAGATCCCATGTGAAAAGCACATTTGCCGGAAACTCCCTCCGAGAGGTCATAAATCCCCGAACCAAACCTCGATCTCCCCACTTTGCCCCCCGCCTTTCAACGCAGCGCGACCGCCTCGCTGACGAAATATTTCGAAAAGCCAGACTGTTTTAGAAATATTTTGGCATGCGTGAATGTCGGTAGAAAATAAAATATAATTCTGAAGTGGTGCTTCCCGCATCTGAAGGCTCTATATGAAAAGTTTATTGAAATTACCTTTAAAGTTATAGCAGGACCTTGAAGAGATTAACCTTTAAAGGTATTACAATTGGCTCATCAACAACAATTCTATCAAAATATGCTATTTATAAATTTCTACCCCGACTGGAATTTGTTCAAAACCGGCATTGATATTCAAGTGTTTAAAAATTCAAAATTGCGGTATGATGTTTAATTTCTGGGGCGGCTCTACTTTTTTAGTATCATGGTCCCCCGGCTAAACTACGCCCGGCCGAACTTTGAGTTTTGGCTGTTGAATAGCCTTTAGTTAATTATCTTCCGCGCCCCCGATCGCGTTCCCGTGGCCTTTTTTGCTATTTCTATCAACGAAGTGCGACCAAATAAGGTTACTTAATTGGGATCGACCCCAGGGGTTTCCTCATCTTTGACATCACCATTTGGAGACCGAGATGACCTTACATCACCTAACAAGGAGGTTTCAACTCCCGGATGCCCCCCCAAAATTCCTTTTGGCGACGTGTCCGTCATCGGGAAGGCGTCGGCCGGGCGGAATTACGCGTTGCGGCTGCCCTGTCGCCCCTTTTTTCATTATCTTTTGCTATTGTGAGAAGCCAGGGAAAGGCGTGTGCCGACCCTGACTCGACCGGTTATCAGAAAGATCGAGTTGGCTTTGAGCCAGAACTGGCGCCGGTGAAGGCGGCTAGGGGGGGAAGTAACGGACGGGGCCACGTGGACCGGTGCTTCGTATGGAAATGGACACGTGAAAAGGGTGGAAATTCCGATCGTGGAATGATGAGACAAAAAGTTCAGAAATCGGAGGGATCGGTTTCGCAAAATTTGAAGGAATGAAAAACCAGTGATCAAAACTCCTAAGTAGGATGCCAAGGTGTTAAATTTTACTTTTTCAGGGTTCATTCAAATCTGAATCTTAGAGGGTCTCCCCAAAAAAAAGAAGTACCTCGCACTAATCGTCTAAAATAGTCTGTACGATTTTTATGATTTAGGTATCTACCGAAAGCGCTTAAAACGGCGATTAAACTATCGATTTTTGTTTTTAGATTAGGTATTTTAATTCGCGTTTTTTGCACCGAAAATCGTGCAAAAATGATTTGTGACGTGTTAACTGCCATTTTCACGCAGAGACGCGCAAGTTTTTTTTAGGACACGGTCAGAACAAAAAAATGTTAATTAACTTAAAGAAGAACCATCCCGGCCCGAGCTTCTTCCAAAATCGTTCCACAGCACCGCTCGCTTCCAAATCCGTTTAATATACCAAATAACCACCCAAATTCTCTCCAATTTCCTCGTTGCAACCGATTTCGTTGCAGCCTACCCCCGCACCCCCGGTGATCCCCGAAGAATGTGCAAATCCTTTATCGCCACCGGAATGAGGTGATCTAGCACGCTAACCAGCCCCAACCCCCCACCTCTCCGACATGTGCACCCGGGGTGTTTTTTGTTGTTGTTGGTCTGCTCGCTCTCTGTGCTTCACGGATTCCAGTGATCGATTCGTGAGGTGATGGTGAGAGATAAGAACACGGCGGCGCGATCCCGGCTTCTGCATTTTGAACTCTTGCCCATTCTGGATTTTGGGGTTTTGTGCCGATTGCGTCAAGTTTAGGCTTTGATTTTTAAAGGGGATAGGAAGTCAAAATCCGCATTTCCGGGGAAAGAACCAATTGGACAAAAAAAACTAAAGATTCGGAAAACTACGTATCAGTTTGGGGCTCCCGCAGATTACATGGCGTAATGCCCACTAGGGGTCTCTAATTCATAGATTTCGATGATTCCTGGATCAATTTTGATAATTAAAACAGCTAGAATAATTAAATCCCTTGAGGATTCCAGCAATTGTCAGAATTTGAAAATTCTGTGGGTTTCAAGCCGAAACAGTGCTACTAAACATGCTGCGCGGCCGCTTTGGGGTCGTTACTGGCTACTTGTCCTGGTCCATCAAACTCCTTAGCCCCTTTAAACAATCTCCCAATAACCCTATCCATTTATGAGGTACAAACCGCAAAGCCATAACATCATTTTGACCCTGACTCACAGCCACAATCACTGCAAGCCAACGCCCTCGCCCTAAAATAACATTGACGACCCCCATTTTGGGTATGGCTTCAGATGACTCAACAACACATAGCACCCAGAAATATCCGAAGCACGCCGGAAGAGGAAACCGATCTGGAAGAAGAAGAAGAAGAAGAATCGACGTGCTTGAAGGGATGACAAACCCCCTTTTCACTGGTCCGAATCATCTTCTGTTTGCTTGTGGGTGAGGGAGGGATGATGCAAGGGCCCGAGTTCTCACAAAGCACAATGGACATCAGCTGGAGACTACAGAAGGACCGAAATCGAGACCAGAATAAGTACAGTGGTTTTCGGAAGTTATTAAGGTATGCTAGGGGTTATGCAAAGGCTATAGTTGAAAAAAGAGAGTTATACCCATTTTTGCAATAGGAAAAAGTCAGGGCTCGAACCATTCACAATTGTGAAAACTAACTACTTAAAAGGAGGAATTGGTGGAGAAAGAGTGAGAGAGAGAGAGAGAGAGAGAGAGAGAGAGAGAGAGTGAGAAAGATTGGTGGGATTACCAGAGTAAGGTAGAAAGAGCAATAAAGCGAGAGAACTACGTGATTTACATATTGATCGGGACACTGAGATAAACTCAGGCCTGGAAATGCGAAAATAATTTAATATTAGCCTTATTTTCTTTGTGCTGGCCTCGAACAAGCCGCTGAAATGAAGCTTTCCATAATTATGGTGGAAAAAGTTGTGAGGCTGAGAGAGTGAGAGTGAGTTAGAGATATAAATACAGAGTGTTTAAGAAAATATGATAATCTTTCAAGTATGAGCTCCCAAAAATTAGCCCCGCCCCATCCTAAAACGATCCCTACAATCCCGGGCACATTGCCAATTCCTCTACTCTCCATCCACCCCCGCATCTACCTCATCGCCCTCCATGATCAAACAGAACGCGAACAAACGGTCCACTTCTTCGACGTCACCCCATTTCTGCAGAGAGAAAGTTCACACTTTCTTGTACAAACCAGCAAAGCACCGCCCCCTTTGGGCTTGTGCGCCGGATGACCCCGCCCCTCCCAGGCTTCATTCGTATCCCGGTGTCCTCCAAGGAACTACCGCCCCTCCCACTTTACCATGATTGCCGAATTTCCATTGCCCGAGGAGGCCGATCTTCTTTTGTCGAAGCCGTTATTACCTCGATTTACCGCCACACCACTATTTACATGCCTTACCGACGCCATGCCAAGTTTGGCAATAAAGATGGAGCCTAGGCTTGAGGCCAGAATAGGTGAGGAACTTTTATTTGCATAGAGGGGTTACATATTGGCGGCTTTGGAACATCAGGCTAGAGAAAAACGAAAATCGTAAAAGACAAAAAATTTCTCTTTTTCTTAAGGTTTTTTACGCTTCAAATTAGCCGGTGGGCAGTTTCATACATTTTATGCAAATTTTAACCCTCTAATTTCAGATGTCAACCTCGCTGTCCGACACGCGAAGTGCAGCTACCAAACGAAAAAGACGATGTCTGCAAAACCCATCTCAAGAACATCGCCAAGCAGCTTTTTAACGCTGCTACCGTCTGCCGTATTCCAGCGGATTTGAATACACCGCCTTAGTGTTATATTCAGTGCTATTAAGTGCCCTTCTAGGATATTCCAATTCTTCGTTGATCTCAGCACACTTTGACTCAAGCTCACAATATCACACATTCTAGCCGAACCCCAACCCCCCCACGCGCATATTCTACCGTAAAAAAAACGATCTCAAACCAATGGCCGCTTTACGAACATGATTTCGGAAATATCTCTCGAATGTCTTTTTATATATTGAGATTTTCATGCCCATTCCTTCCCTATCCTCGCTAGCATAGCCCCCTGTGATTCGATGAATGTCCATCTCAGACAAATACCGGTCGAACTACTAGGGTTTCACGTTTTCCAAGTTGCCTTTCAAACGTATCATATTATGTTTTCCTTGTCTACCATGTTTAATTATTGCATTGGCCCAGGGCTTTACACAAGCTCATTGTTATTTTGTGCTCCGACCATCAAGCGTGCAATTGGGGCCACCTTACGGAGGTCGCTTAATAAACACTTTTTGTTATTTTATTGCTCTTCAAAATGCACAGTATTCAAATAATTACAATTTGGAGTGCTTTGTTTTTATTTTTTAACCCTAAGCCCGGGGCGTTTTGAAGGTGACTTGAGGGGAGGTGACTTGCGAAACCTTGTCCTATTCGAAAAGTTGTGTATTCTGGCGGAGTTTTGGAGTCCATTGGTATCGCTGACTCTGCTGGCAAGTAAATATGATGCAAAACGGGTTGTTGCGCTGCAAAGAATGTTCCAGAAAAATAGAGAATTTTCTTAATCGGATCAGAATCTATTCAGAAAAAAAATATTTTAGGGAAAATGGGTTTTGCTATGGAACAGAAAAGGTTTAGCTAACTTTAAGTTTAGCTAAGAGATTTATAACATAGCAGAAAATAAAATAAACATTTAATAAAAATCTAAACAAAATTTTACATTTGCATAGCAATAGTTTCAAGTAGATACTGTAGTTTACATCTTACCGTAATACATAGATCTATAACACCAATTTAAATAAAAGCTTGGCCCAGTGCTACCATCCAAAAATTTTTAGGCCAACCCAACCCCCCCGAAGCCGCTGGATACCGTAACCCTCCCCGGGGGTTTGAGGGGGCGGACATGGCCACACCACCACTGCACCAGTCATTCCACAAACAAAATCCGCACGTCCGCCACCCGTTCCGTAAGACACCTTTCAACGAATCCATCTGCGCTTTATCTGTTTGATTTTGTTTTTGATCTGGTGGCACCCAGGGGGACTCGCCGCAGGGCGCTATGGGATGGGTTCAGCCGGTTGTTTTGTCTGGAGACACCGTTTTTTCGTTGAGGTTTCCAGAGATATTTTTTGGGGGGGGGCTACACTCAAGTGCAGTGTCTGGAACGGTAAATACGTCCGAAAAGCTGAAATTAGGGAAATTAATTCTGGGGTGACCGCGAACACATAGTAAAACGTGGTGGATGTAGGGATGCTTTCGACAGAATATGGCGTTACTATTATTAAAGCGCCTAGTTATATAGCCTTATCAGACTTACAGTACTCAAGTAAATAAGAAAATTCGATTCATTCGCTGCTAGCCCTTCGCTTTAACGCTCAACTCCTTACAAGGAAAGTCGCGTGCAGTTTTAGGACTTTTTACCAGATCCACTCTACCCGAACCTCAAAAATCGACCTCCTAACACATTGCACCATGCCATCCACCCCGGAACTTTGTATCTCATCCGAAAAACCCTACAAAATACATCAAACACACAAGAAACGCGCTGTTCCCGGATTTGACGTGAAAATGACGCCCCTCCGCCAGTTAATGGCCCATCAACTGCCGCTAATCTTGTCTGGAAACAAGGAAGAAGGGGGAGAAAGGGTGGAGCCCTGAGAATCTAGCCTCACCGTAGTCCGCAGTTCGCTCGATGGTTCTGGGGCTCTGACGATAGTGATGAAATGGAGCAATTGAACAAAAAGGCCTCATCGCAGGGGGCTTTGATTTATGGGCCCCAGCGTTTGTCGCACCGCACATTGAACGATCGCGGGGCGTTGTGAAATTTAGGGAGGGGCCTTCGACCTTCGAACTTACGGATAGGGCTCGATTTCCAGTGCTCAAATTCTATGGATAAATTACCTCGCTTTCTAAAGACCATTGTTAAACAGGGCTTGCTCGATTATAGAAAAGTGTACCCTTTTTGTTTTGAACCGAGCGAACGCGCAAAGAATCTGTTTGCGCTATGTTATGATAGCTTTCTCTTTTCCTTCTCTTTTCTCTTTATATCTGTCTCCCTGTATATCTTTTTCTCTCTCGCCCTCTCTCCCTCCCTCCCTCTCGCTCTCTCTCTCTCTCTCTCCATCTCCTTCTCTCTCTTTCCATGCTACAGTACCCCCGATACACGCGATCTCTCGGGCGTGGCGGAACATCCCCGCGTTCTAAAAAACGGAGAGGATAGTGCCGGAAGCCTCTGGGGGTGTTTCCCCATAAATTTTGAGCCTTGCTGGCAGAAGAAGCTGTTCGCCGAACCCTGTGCGTCAGCCGTCGTTGATGTGCAAAAAGCTTAGGTTTCCGCATTGTTCTTTTCGGTGTTAACGTCTACTTTACCTTGCGAAAAAAATCGACAAGCCTGAAAGCGGCTCAATTGGTACTAAATTTTGGACTGACTCACAACTACTCACAACTGTCATACAGCTTTTTTAATCTTGCCGAAAAACCCTCTGAAAACCTTGGTGACTCAGAAGTGAGGTCCATAGTCGTCAATCGGAAGCTGCTGCAATATTTGTCGAGTGTAAATAGATGAAGCAGGTACAAAGAATAGCCGCCTCCAAGGGTATACAGTTCAGCTGTGGATTAATGGTTCTTTGCAACAAACTGAAGGTTAGAATCCAAAATTTATGGCTATCAAGGATAGGGTAACTATAAAACTTGTTTGAAAGATTAAATGGGTGGCAGATGACGGGGTAGTAGTACTGTAGTGTGGTATCCTGCTGGTTTTCATAGGTTCGGTGCGATTGTTCAGGTTGCAGCCGGCACCCGAGCAGCAGCAGCCTGGAAATTTCGAAAATGAGAAGGAACTGGTGCACTAGCCGGCTATTTTCGAATGTGCGCGGTGATTTTCGAAACTCAACGTACCCTGGTGGTGCAATCGTTACGAATTTCGAATGTGCGGGTGTATTTTCATATTGACGCCAAGAAGTGGTACGGCAGAATCCCAAACCAAGGGTATACAGAGGAACGAAATCGGCAAAAAAACAGCTTAATATGTTTTACCCAATGGCGTAGTTTGCTAAATTACGCAGCATTTCAAAATATAAGGTATTTCGCATCTCTCTCTCTCTCTCTCTCTCTCTCTCACTCTCGTTCGTTCTATTTCTCTCTCGTCCACTCTCTACCTCTCTCACTCCGTTTGCTCTCCCTCTCTCTCGTGGGCTCTCTCCCTCCCTCTCTCTTTCTCTCTCTCTCTCTCTCTCTCTCTCTCTCTCTCTCTCTCTCTCTCTATCCCCCTTCCCCCCTCTCTCTCTCTCTCTCTCTCTCTCTCTCTCTCTCTCTCTCTCTCTATCTCCCCTTTTCTTCGTCTCTCTCTCTCTCTCTCGTTTCCGTTTGACTCCAATGTTCAAAAGTTCAATTAACTGGTGTTGTTTCCTCTAGTGATTTCTAAACTATTAACATTCCTTGTCTTTTGAGCGTTAGTTTTGCTTAGAATTTACAGATAACCTACCCCAAAGTAGTTGCTGAACAATTTCGCCGCAGTTATTGGTGATGCCCAATCCAACGCAAACCGATATTGGGTCACACGTGTAGAGCGTACCGAAATTACCTAATTCGGTTTAAAAAACATTTCATTATCAAACCCAGCGTAATATTCGCGCAATCACCGTCACAAAGCTCATTTCTGCCAATAGGGAACTTTGCAGGGATTGAGGTGTTCATCGTCACCGGTACCTAAGAGATTAACAGGTTTTTCTAGCTTTTCTGGGCTGTACTGCGCTAAAACAAGCCCGATTTTGACATACCTCATTTTCAAAAGCAAATCCTATAAAGCAGGTATTATTTGAGATCGGCTTTGTGGGTACTGCCGGAAGTGGGGTAGGCAATTGAGTTGAAGGCGCCACGCTGCAGGTGGGAGATGTGTCACAGCAACACATTGTCATTGCCAAATTACCTTAAAATATAAACTATATAAGTCATAAATTCATGAATTTATCTAAATTTCAAAATTCCACAACACTGACCGTCTAGAATATATTTACAACTGTCATTGATTGCCTCCACCCGGCACAGTACGTTCAAGTCGCAAATATATGCAGTAATTGGCATGTAGAATAAAGCAAATGTAATGTTTGTACAGACGCCTGAAGATACTTTATTTTTTTCTGGAAATATACCTTCACAACTCATCAGCGCTCCCGTTGTCCAGCGATCCTCGGGTTGAAATCCAAAGGTGACACCAGTAAAGCAGGAGGTCTAAAACATAAGTTTAAATTGGACACAATAGAATTTTTACAATAGCATCCTCGTTTGGGTCTACGGTAGTCGACAGGGCTTGTAGCGTGGTGACATTAGCATGATTATCTTGTGGGTGGGTCGTGGTTTCGATCGATATTTGCGTAGTACTGGTGGGTACTGTAGTGGCGGCAGGGGTAGTTGTTAGCGCTTGGGTTGTAGAGGTTGTTGTAGCAGCTGTAGAGGCTGAAAATTACGGTTAACGTAGTTTTTTTTGAATTGAATAACTCACGAGTCGGCAACCAGTGTGGATATCCAATATTGCAAAAGTTCCGGCTACAACAACAGCGGACACTGTGGCGAGAGAAAAAGCAGGTATCTCCACGAATACATCGCTGCAGAAAAATACAGACTTTCCATTAAAGGCTTACCTCCTGGGCACAGTCATATATTGTTTCACCGGTCGCATACGAAGTTATATTACTACAGGTATCCGTACAACGAACAATATTTGGATAGCCGTTACGACTAAAAATGAAAACTACGTTTAAAGTTATACGAAATCCACAATATTAGAATCTTCCCACCTTGTCCCAGCACCACACAACAACCAATTTGGCTGGAAAAACGCTTCACTACCAGTAATTACAAAAGTAAGAATATAGAAAAATAATACCAGTCGAGAATTATTATGCCTAACGATTGATAGCATAGAATAATATTAGTAAAAAGTGATAGAGTAGACCGGATCAGCTGCTCGAAAAATCAATTGTTTCTCGCTTCAAAAAACCGTGAACCCGGGAGGGAGGCTTGTAAATTTTCGCCTCCTTCCGTTTGCAGATGTTGTAAATGTTGGTGTCGGCAGATAAGGGCAAGAATTTCGGGAGTTTGTTCGGTATTGTTCATAACTACGTAGGTGCGGTTTTGGAAGTTTTAAAATATCTTTATTATAGCTTTACAGTTTATTGCCAAAGCTATTCGTTGGTTTGACATATTGCGACATTTCTTTTATCACTTCATCGAGCTTTGGGTAGAGGACTTCATAGTTTTTTGCCTTAAATGATACAATCTAAAAAATAGAGTAAGTAGAACAAACCTTTTTCGATAAAATCCGATAACTCTCCAAAATTCCAAAAGCATTTTTTATCGGATCGGTCGAAAGCGCTGATATCCGCACATCTGGCCAATTTTTCGCCCATCGCTCAGCAATCGCCTAAATTTTACAGTTCTTTTTAAATTAAAAACAACCTGCTGGGAGATTTGAATAATTTGAGCCTGAGTAACATATCGTTCCCCACATTTTGCTACCACATCTAGTACCGTGTAGAAATTAGTAATGGCAGGCTATAAAGCTATGGAGCTGTTTGGCTTTTGTACCTGGATGAGGTTTCTGAGAGTTAGAACAGCTTCTGCGTCTAGGATTTCTATATTTTGGTCGTGGATCTCAACGATCTAAATTAGGGACATTTTTAGTTAGACCTTGGCAATACGTTGGCGAATTTCAATTGATCCAAAGCCGCAGAAAACGAGCTCAATTCCTCTTCTGGTACATTTACAAAATCACGGGCCATCGCTGCTTGAAGGTATCTAGAAGCCATTAAATGCTAACAGAACTATGGTTTACACAAATTTCCCATAGACGATATTTTGCTGATGTTCTGCTGTCGAACAAAGGATTGTAGAAATCATGGCCGAGTTCGAAATTTCGTGCATCATCTGGAGCACAAGAAGTTACTATTCACTGTGGGACCAGCAAACCTTATTTGCATAATTTGTTAGAACAATCCGTCCGACGCTCTTCTCCATGGCCTCTTTATCGATGGAACCCTATAAGGAATAGTTTGATTTTTGTAAGTATGCGATTTACGGAATTGGCTATCGGATGCTCAAGCAATTTCAGCGAAAAGTCGATATCAGCAATTGTTGCAGGTTCGAAGAGATCGCTGTGAAGTTGGACATAATACCTAAAAAAGCTTTTAAAGAAACAATGAAGGCACCTCAAATCCTCCTCAATGCTCTTGTCTATTTGAATGACTACACCCAGTCGTTCCATTAATGCTAGTTGGGCTTTTAGGGCCGCGAGAAGCTCAGAAAATGTGATGCCGCCTCGTAGGGGATCATCGAGGAACTGTAACTAGGGATACTTCAGAGATAATTTCGGCTACCTGCAGAATACATTGGCATGCAAACGGCCACACACTAATCACCGAATTCGCGTTGTGCTCTCGGACGATTAAGTGTCCAAGTTTGCGGATTGCTTTCTTTTCACGTGAAGATAACACGAATTGGGAATCCGGCTGAAAAGATTGCGGTGAAAGCCGCAGACAAGATATAAAAATCCGCCAAAAAGCCTCAAACTACCTGTGACACAAAGCTGCCCGGTGCAGGGATAATCCGAAATGTTTTCGGACACTAATAGGCTCGCAAAACGTGACGTAGCAACGACCAAAGGACTCGTTTAAAATTTTTGTTGCTTTGAATAAACCTGATATTATAGTAGATGACATAGCAAATATTAACCGCTTACCTGAAGTCGATTCTTTTGGCTTCGGAAACCCGAGTAGTTCATACCCATAAAGGATCTCTTCCAGAATTTTGTCATAGTTCATCGCCACTGGAACTATCACCTAAATTTGAACTTAAATTTAGATATTAGCTTTCTCACGTACCAAATCATACACGGTACCACGTAGGTATGGCTCCAGCATTACTTGCATTAGACCGTACTTCGGGAAGATGCTCTAATGTTTTATGGAATTAAATCGTTAATGACGAAACTTACCTTCCCCACTCGACTCCTTGTCCCTTCCACAAAGAACTCCACCGGCCTGTCGGAATTAATCAAATGTGTCTGCACGTATTCCGTAAACAACGCCCAGTATAATTTGTCCTAATAATTAACAAACCCAATTTTTAAAATTACTCACTGTCCCGAAAGACCTTCGAATAAAAAATGCCCCACACTTCCGCAGGGCCTCCCCCATAAACTTTGAATTCATAAAATCCATTCCAGCGGCAATAGCGGGCAATGGCACGTCCTCAATTGGTAATATAACTAACCCTAATTAACAAACCTGATCAAAACACAACAAAGAGAGCAACAGAAAGTCCATATACGATTTGTGGGAGGGCATAAACACAACCGAATCCGTTTTGCAAAGCTCGCGGATTTTTTGTAGATCTTCGAAGTTAACATAGATCCCGTCAAAAATACGCTATAAGCATGGATTTCATTCGATAGTTGGCTTGAATACCTACGCGGATTACTTTTGCCACCATATAGCCGATGATGCGTACGGCTCTTAGGTTAAAGTCATGTCCCATCGTGTCGAGGATTTCCTAAATAAAAATATAAATTAATTCGCTTCCAATTTAATCGAGACTACTTTTTTTCTTTAAATAGTGTAAATCACTCGCCTTTGCTTCAGCTTCAACATGTTTACGATCGCATCCTCGGATTTCGGCTTCTTCCCTAATCGTTTCCTAAATTAATAGATGGTTGATTTATTGGGTGATCGATAATATGATATTTGAAAAAATCTTTATTTTTATATATAAATTTGATAATTCCAAAAAACATTTGATCACCGACTTGAACCCTCGGCGCCTGCAAAACATCATTTTTAATCTGGCTGCCATTCCTGACTGTCGGGCGTGCATGTACAGAGGTGTTGACCGGAAAATCCTTTGCTCTAAAATCCAAAACTATGACGTTTAAAATTACAACGTATCCATTCGAAATTTAGATGCAACTCGAATACTAAAGCAAATTTTCCAACATTTACCGAGACACCCAAGCCAGTGGACCACCCAACCGATCAATATGCGAAAACCAATCGGTATAAGTCGGCTCGCGAACGGTTCGTCCCATTCCAAACGGAAATGAATAGAAATAAGGAGCAGAATGGGGTGACACTGGGTCGAACCAAGCTTGGAGAGGTCACTCGCAACACTCCCAAAAATGTCCCTTCACTCGAATCGAGTGATAACGCACCAGCTTTCGGGCCAAACTTCAAATGGTCGCACCGGTGGGGCTTTGCTATTTCGCAGAAAAGGAATAAATTGCGGCTTTAAACACTTAGAAACTATAATTTCTTAATTAAGTGTATTTTTAAAACCGTTTGAAGCTAAAGTTTGACAGCATTTGAATCTCTAAGGCTTGCAAAATTATAAATGTTAGTGTTTTTATAGAAACCGAGCTTGGTCGATCTGCCGCTTCTGGAAGAAGAGTTATTAATTATTTTAGAAATCATTATGTATACAAATTTCTTTGCTTTTTTATAGAAATTTGTATTTTATTTATCAGCATATTTTATAGAAACCGCGCATGCTGGATCTAACGCTTCTGGAAAAAAGTGATTAATTATTTTAGAGATAATTTCAGCGGATTTTGCAGATACGTACATGGTTTCAGATTCTCTCAGCTCAGCTCGGCTCGACCTTCCTTAAAAACGACACGCATTACCAACAATTTTTCCTGAATGCCAATGGCCCAATGTTTTAACACACCTGCCTAGTACTTAACAAAATTTATCCCCCACCTTTCCTGCCTTGCCATAAAAAACCGGAATCTTGTTCACCCCCGGAAAATCCGACGAATACATTGTAATACGGTGGGCGGTCATCCTCACAAACATCTCCCACAAATCGCTGGGGCCAACACACGTAACGAACGATCTTTGCCTGACCCTGCGTACTACAATCACCCCAAAAAATATTCCCGACATTTTGAGGATGGGGTCCGGATTGATGACGAGGGTTTGTGCCCTTTTGATTTCGGTGGGTCTTTTTTCCGACTAGATAGCCGTTGCTATCAATATTTTCCAAAACACGAATAGCTCGCTGCGGTTAAACACAGAGGCAAGCGGATTGTTCTCTTTCTCGGTGTCTCGGTCGCCACGTGAACTTGGAGGGGAAGATTTTGAACTTCGCGCGGGATGGGAGATCTAGAGATCAGCTGAAAATAGGCGAGGGGGACTAGACGGATAGACGAGGCGAAAATGAAAATATTTGCATCTGGTTATAACTATAGTCCTAGTTTATAAGAATTTCAAGTAAAGCGTCTAATTTGGGTCTTGAATTGAATCAATTTCAAAAAATGTCTAGACGGCCGAATTTCCAGATTCACAATGGATTTTATGATACCATTCTTAATATTACTTTTAGTAACCTTTTGTGAAAATCTTTACGAGGTGGTCTCTTAAAATGAATGAAACTTACTAAAAATTACGGGCGGTTGAAATTTTAATACATTTAAAAAGTCTTTTAACTCGTAATTCCAAGGTTCAAAAAATTTTTAATGTCCGATTGTTAAGGTAATTTTTGTAAGTTTTTGTTAAAAAACTCTAAGTCGTGGAGTCTACCTCCCTACAAAAAATTAAGTTAAAACCGATACCGACAGAAACGAAATCCGAAGGAATAAATACATTTTCATACTAATATTAATTTTTTGGGTTTTACTGATGACCACCATGTTCGAAGCTGCCGTGCTCGTCTACCCAGGTTACGGTAATACCGTAGCCATGGGATATCCGGCAGCAGCGGCTTATTACCCGCCCGTATATGCATATCGACCGATGTACAGCCCGTACGCAGCGGCAGCCTACTATCCGATGGTCGCCGGATACTATTCAAGGAAGTAACCCAGACCCTTTTTGCTTTCAACGTTCCTGACCCCCCTTTTCTTTGCATATAAACCCTAAATAAATTTGTGCTTTTCTCAATTCAAATCCAGACAACCTGCCACAAAGTTATGGCATCAAAAGGAAAACGTCGCGCCTCAGGTTCGCATATAAATCATGGCTTCAACGCGGAAATATCTTGTCCAATGACGTCCAGTTGCCGGTGTCGACCTCGATGGTCGGGGTATAAAATCTGGGAATTGCCACGGTGAGGTTCCAGAACTTTTTGATTTAACTCGAAATCAAAAATTCAATACTATTTTGAGCTTGGATACCAATTGCGGTGATAGTTCTTGGAAATAGTCGCAAATGGATATGAGTCACGGGAAAAGGGTTGCGTTTTCCTGTTCTCACTTTTTTGGGTCGGTAGTTGGAACGGCAGAACGGAGATTTTTTGAGAATCAGTATAAAGTTCAAAACTTTAGTGGAAATTAACATTTAAAACGTGGGGCATTTTTATAAATCCACATACCAAATCGTCAAAACTCTTATAGTTTAAATCATCGACTTTTCTACGACAAATATTATCCATCAAAGCTTGCCATCTAGATCGCATTCCTTTTTACAACATCAACAACCCCTTTACTAGAGCTCATATGAATCACTTACCGTTGTTCGTCTATGGTCGCAGACCGCTCGGAACTGTTCTCCGCTTGTTAGCCATGGATTACCAAAAAAGAGAGGCAAGGGGGGGGGAGCTACGCGGAAAACGTGGTCTATAGAGGAGCCGGTCAGAAGCCATAACCATACAGCGTACCACCTAAATATTTGTGGTCAATGCTTCTTCGGGTCTTATCCCTGTCTGCAGCCCCGTTTCTTATACCTAAAGAGGTAAGATTTTAGTACTTTAAGAATCTAAATACGCCAAAAATTAATTTCTTGAGCTCTTAAAATATAAACAACCAAAAAAACCCATCCCTCGGCACCTATTTTGTTTGGCTGTATTGTGGGAATCTTTGAAGATCCCGGAGGTCATCCGCCCTTTCGACATCATCCTTTCAATTCCAAATATATCACAAACATACTATCTCCCACTCTCTTGCTCCTCTCTTTTCTTGGCTTGTTGATCGTCTGCTCTATATAAGGGCATGCGCAAGGCTAACCTGTTTTATATTGCTCTTATCACCTAGGCCCCAATTAGAAAATTCTGGAAATGATAATTTTGAAATTGGGCTGTATTTAATGCATTTTCACATCCTGGGTTTTGTTTTGATTGATTGGAAAATTAAAGGGAAGAATTTCATTCCTTAGAAAGATAAATAAAAATAAAGCCAAAATTGATCGCAATTGCTTTTAAATTGAGAAACTGAAATCATAGTTCAGCTCCAAAGTTACATAGAAAAAAACCAGTTTGTATTTCAATAGAAGACATCTAGCCCTCATCATCAAAGAACGGGGACATTATCAAGGTCACCCACTGGGAAATAGTACTTTTCCAAAACGTTTACTTCTTTGTATAACTCCCTGCCCCCATTTGTATCCAAATTTTTAACGAATTTGTTATCAGAAAAATGTTTCCAAAACATGATCATCATTCTCCTCACGCCATACGTTTGATCATTTCTGAATCAGCAGTGGTTTCCGTATTTGATCATTTTACTTTCAGATTCCGGAAGACTCCTTGCCACAGGAGCACGACGGAACTAGACGCAAAAAGAAAAGAAGCCTGAATTTATTTACCGCTATGGGCATTTGGAAACCGACCGGTAACTTTGAAAACCAACTTCTGATTTAAGATCATTTCAGGAAAATTAAACGACTACACGAAATGCACCTCGAAGAAATATGAAACACCATGGACTTCAATCTACATAGCATCTGCCATCGCTTTCCTTCAATCATTCCAGTATTCCATGTTTAGTGCAACATTATGGAGTTATACATTATCGGTAAGTTTTAAGTAGTATTACCTACGCCTGCAGCATGTCCCGAATGACTTTATTTTTCGGTGTCGTTATCTTTTTCTCGTTTTCCGCTGTGCTTTCTAACAAATAAGCATCATAAAGTGAGTAACTAAAGTTGTGTATTTTCAGGTAAATGGCAACGTAACGCAGTCAATTTTCGGGTTGATTGTAGGTGCAAACAGCTTCATGCAGGCGATTGCTGCGCCCGTTTTTGGTTATTGGAGTACGCGGATAGAGAATGTCAAGGTGTCAACGCATGAAATTAAATTAAATCATGGTCATTTATAGCTACCCTTATTTACTGGACTTCTATTTATGGTGGCCGGCAATATCCTATATTTTATTATGCCATTACTACCCGCCGGCAGCGCCTTCACACTACTTATCGTAGCGCGAATGCTTACAGGAGTTGGGGCAGGTCATTCTAAACGAATGATATTTGTAAATTTTGATTATTTATAGGAAATTCAGCCCTGATTCGTGCATATGCTTCTCAGGCTTCATCCTCTGCAGATCGGAGTAAGGCCATTGCATGGACTACTGCCGGTGATACGTTAGGGACGACGACGGGGCCATGTAAGACTTTCGGGATCAATCCGACCTTCCTGTCAAAGCAATCAAAATTAGAACTCCGAAACGAAATTACGAGTGAAAAAACGACTTTAGTAATCCTGCGGGGTCAATAAGAATTCCTGCACGGTTCGAGAAATAGTGAGCCAGGTGGCGCGCGGGTAGCAAAATTTTCAAGCGGGACGGTAGCCTGAAGTCCGAAGCCGTGACTGGGAATACAATTTGACAACGATAAACACAACCATTAAATATATTTCCAGTAATCCAAATGGCTTGCCTTGGCCTTGGACCAGTGGGGATCAGCTTCTTGGGACTACGATTTACAACATACACAATGCCAGCCTTCGTGGCGCTTCTAATCGATCTTCTCGGGTTGTTAGTCGTTTCGAGGTTCTTCGTGGAAGACTACACAATGCTCCGCCTGGAACAAAAGGTAAGCTGCGCATTCAAGATGAAATATTCGACATTAAATCACAATTTCAAATTCATTGCCAATTTTTAAGGAGTATCAAGACTGTGATATGACACCCTGTTGGATTGCGGTGGCAATTTGCGTAATCACCAGATATTCACAATCCTTATTACTTTCTACGTTCGACGGGTAGGTTGCTACAAAATATATAAGTTTATATCTATTTTGCAGCGTCGGAAGTTCGTATACCACAATGATGTTCGGATTTGATGTGGTCGAAACGGATCGTTACAACAGCTTGTCATTAGCGATTCAAGCGCTTGTCGGCTTTCTCGTCTACCTTAGCTTCATCTACTTCAATTGCGGAAAACAGTAAGTGATTAGCCTGATATATATTTAATATGTTTTCTAGACTCCCAATGAGAGCCTCCATCTTCACTGCAATTCTAGCATTCATGACCTATCATGCAGTCACCTTTTCCTATCCGTTTTATTCAGACCATGTTATCGTTTCAAATAATGGTAATCGTCAGACTAGCTAATTTATACCAAAGGTTTTAGCTTCTTCAACGGGCCATGAATTTGGTGTCTGCGAAGGTACCAAATATGATTGGTGCGAATCGTTGACCACCTACCACCCGCTGGTGTTCTACGTTGCGTATTTGGGGCTTGTCGGAGGCTTCTTCCCGGTCATCAACATTGCGTTGACTACACTATTTTCAAAAGTGATTGGGCCACGCGCACAGGTGCAGATTTCAATCTGTTCCAACCCCAAACTTTTAGGGTACGCTTCAAGGCGTCTTCCAAGTGGCCGGATGCATTTCGAAAATGAGTAGTCCCGGGATCTTGGGGTGAATTTTTTCATCACAATCCGATCAGCACAAATTTGCAGCTCCGTCTTCACATTTGGCGGCCCTCGAGCGGTATGGATACTCCAAGAATCACAACTTTTCATCGTCCTGCTTCTTTGGATCATTTTCAGACGGTATGTCATCTTCTTTTGCTTTTTAACACCCAACCAGGTCCCCGAAAGCAAAATAATACTGACAAAAAGCCGCGCAAACTTCTTTAGTTTTTACCCGTTTTATTTAGGGACCTGGCTTACGAAAACCCAGGAAGAAATCCGTTGAATTCGGCCCAAACCCGGGAATCTCGTGTCACACGTTACGCGAATAAATGGCTGCTAGACTCTGAAAAAGACGAAATAAGCCGCTGTGCCTCTGAAGCCACAGACTCGAGAACAAATCTTGTTTAGGAAAATGATTGGGCTGACGGAACGGTTGGAGCAGGAGGATATGTGCAAACGATCGATTGGGTCAGATTCTGATTCGGAGCAGACGAAGGGTCCTTTTGAAATTGTTGTTTGGGTTACGAGAAATAGCTATAAGGCTTAGAAATTAATTTTGATCAGTTGTGATATTTTTGGTTTTTCATGTTTTGCCTCTTACAAATTTGCTAAAAGGGTTTCCAATACGGTGATGTTTTGTTTTCTTTATCTTTTCATGATCTAAGATCACCATTCCACAACTGTCCATTCAAAACGGTTATCCCACTACGGGTTCTCCCCAAGACTTTCTCAGCCAATCCGTTAATTTCTATTTTATTACTTATGCCATATTCATATACTGCGATGATTCCATAAATACGGTTCATAATATAATTTTTATCAGCATAAAGATTTAATTAAATTTCAAAATGTCACACCGAAACTGAATACAACAGAAAGAAAAGTGTCGGAGAAGCCGGGGAAATACGGTAGAAAGTATACACACCACACAATAGGTTCGAAGAAGTGAAAAAGCCGTTTTAAGGAAGAAGACAATCGCAATAGTGATCTATGTTGTTTGTTTGAACTAAATTTGAAAACGTGGGTTCATTGGGACGCACAGCACCTATAGACAGGCAATAAGAGAGTTAGGAATAAAGGACGATAAACTCCAAACTGGTATCTTTTACGCCAAAAATTCGAAAAAAGGGATTTTATTGCGTTTTTATCCATTTCTGTGGGGGGTGTAAATAGTATTAACTAGTAGTAAAGCGTTTGGTAGTGAGCAGTGCTGGTTTGAATGAGCTTGGGATCAGGGGTAAACAAAATGACACCGAGCGGAAATTGGACTTTTTTGAGAAGATATACTATTTGAAAAAAGTATTACGGTGCTCAAAGGGGTTGAGAAGTATTTATAGGTTTAAAGGGACGAAGAGACCGTGGTTTTGTACTCCTCACACCCTTTAATAAAAACTAAATGAAATCTAAACACTCTCAAACTCCTCAAATTTGCTCGACCATCCGCTTCTCCTCCTCTTCCACACCGAACTTCTTCCTGGAAATGTGGTGTGACAGGTTAATGAAAAGACCCTTCAGCCAGGTTATTTTACGACAGAGGTGTCCGGAAACAATAGTTCTCCACTCGTTTTAGCTCAAACCAACGTGCAAAATCGTCGCAAATTTTTGCAAAATTAATTATCTTGTATTAAAGACTCGGCTTCAGACGTACTCCCGCTTGGCGACATCGTACTCGTCGGATTTCCATTTTCCGTAGGCTTTGCATGCGTAGATGATGATGAATAAGAGGAGAAGAATGATGAGGATTACTATCAACGGGTAGATCCAGCCGTAGTTGCCTAAATTTATTTAATTTAAAATTATAATTGTTTGAGTATCGTAGAATCAAAAAATGTTAGTAATAACCTGTCGTATACCTTGTAGCTTTTGAACCATTGAACAATTGACTAAATTTCAAAACTGACGAACTTCTAATTCGCGTTTTATATTGTTTGATTTACTTCTTTAGAATCGGCGTATGTTCCACACATTCACGAAATTCTCACAGAAAATAACTCCACATTTTTACAAACTATGTTTTTTTTTACTTTTCACAACTTACATGTATCGATGATGGATTCTGAGGAGCCTGATTACACAAAGAGATTTTATGGACTAACGTTTAGGGTCAAATCAGACAAATCAAGGTATGGTTTTACCATTCCGATTCATGAAAAACGGTACCTGCCAACTTCAACGTGAAATCGAGTGAAACTTCGTAATCTGCTTCCGGTCCGTCAACTACCTTTGCGAAGGTATTGTACGCCTTGCACCGGTAGACCCCGAAATCAGACTCCTGAATGGAAAATGATAGCTTCGATTAGCGGCAATCCAGGCTAGTTTTTAGCGTTTAACGACAAGCGAAATACCACATATAAAACTCACAACAACAAAGGTTAAAAAACCTAGATGACTACAAACCTGAACATTTCTGATTGTCAGCTGCTTTCCCTTATGTCGCATGCCGTATTTTTGGCTTGGATCTAGGGTTGCGGATTTCAAAGCAGCTACAAAGCCCCCACCAATTGGCATCTCGTCCTTATACCAAACGGTGCTTGGATGCGGATATCCCACAACGGGGCATTCGATCATCGCATTTTGGCCCTAATACGAGAAAATTAGAAAGTACAGATGTAGGGCCATACCAAATTTGCATAGACCGGCTTCTTAGCCACCAACTGGTTGTCCTCATTGCCGTCCGGTTTGTAGACGCCAAGGGATTCGTTGGCGTGAATCACGGGGTGTGCTGAAAACAGTGTCTTTGGTCATCAGAATTTTGTATTTTTGTAATGTTAGTGTAATTTTTTGAACCTAGCGAAAGCCTAATTTAGTCTTCTCAATACCTTAAAAGCCGTGTGCGACAAAATGTTAATCTTAAAGAGATGAGGACGGCATCTGTTGAACCCCCCTTGGGGAGGGGGGGTTCAACAGGTCCCGGGGCGATCTCGCGCAAGAGAGGGCTCCCAGGGGAGAGGCGCAGAGACATTTTCTTTCCCCTCGCGTAATCGTTGACTTACGCCGCCCCTATCTCTTTAAGGAGTACCAAATTCTACAACCTACCGTATGCAAACATGTTCCCAAAAATCTCGTGACCACCATGTGTGATGATCTCGCACCGATATTTGGCAGCCTAAAACCTGAAATTATCTATCCGCAAAAACACGGTAACCACCTCAGTGACCGGCACGTTGCCAAAGATGAGCACCGCTCGTTTCTGATCCTCATCAATATGAGCATCAAAAACTTTCCGATCGCCGATACGCACAAATTTTGCGCTTTCGATCTCAACGTGCTCTCGGTTTTCCTGGGCCTGGCACCTAAAGTCGAGCTTTCAAAAGGACCCGGAAGAACGGACAAATTTTATCGGCTCTATTTTATACATATACAACCCTTTACTTACCATAAATCATTCATCTGGCCTTTTAACGGGTTTTCAGGAGAGGATTTGTACCCTAAATAACGATAATAACATATTTTTCTATAGGGTTAGAATGATACTAATTTTACATTTTCATACCTTTGCCCTGGAAGCTGACAGCCAAGTTTCCAATTGCCACCGGCTGATCCGCGCAAACATTATAAAGCGCTATCAATGTTCCTGAAATTATGGAAATCAGCTGCTACATTATATATGAAAACTTTAAAAATAAAAATGTTAAAATTCAAGTAATTTGACAACATCCCACCTATCAAGTACAGCCGCATCGTTGTGCCCATTAGTTTCCGGATCACCGCATACGCGAATTGGTCTCTAAATATTGGAATAAAAAAGCATTTTACAAATTACTTAATGAGAAATAAAGCTGCAAAATAAGATTGCTAAAAATCGTGGCAAAATGTGAGAATGGGTAAAAAGGGGCAAACCGAATTAGTCAGTGGAGCGGGGAGTTTTTTAAGAGTGGGTAATTCCTGGGGAACATACCACCGGTCGTGTAAATAGGAAGGAAACGGAGGGCGCTGAGTCAGCACAAAAATACATCTGTTCGCCTCTATTTGGGGGGTTTCCAGGGGATGGCGAAATTTTGCGGGGGTAATGCCCACGATTTGGCATTAGTCCAGGAAGGGAGCGTGATTTCGTAATGGCATAATTCGAACCTGGCATAGATTTTAAGACTAGATATCTTTTGCGTATAAATTCGGTATCGAAATAAAAAAACAATTTTTATTCAAGGTCTATATGCCGATTAACCCCGAAAATTAAGGCAAAATAAATTTGAATATGCCGAATTTACCACACAATACAAGTGACGTTTGCCAAAATGCTGAATAAAAATCACGGCAAAAATGAAACTGTCAGAACTAAAAATCCGTCCGGTTTCACGAAAACAAACTTTCCCAAGGAAACGTTTGGGCCCATGAATTCATAATGCGTTTTTCGCGTTTTTCTGTGCAGCGCCCCCAAAAATATACAAAAGAAGGCGCCCGCCGATTCACCAAGCCCCTTCTCAACACCGGAAATGGGCACAAATCGGAGAAAGTAAAGTTTCTACAGCGGATTTTGTAGCCTTGAGGATCGAAATTTGGGTAGAAAACAAGCAAGAAGTCATTTTGGAGCACCAGGGCAGATGTGGTAACCTGATACTCACGGGAAGCGGGACGGGGATGGAGGGCAAAAAATATTTTTTGAGGCGAGGGAGGGGGTTGTTGCGGGGTGGATTTTTGCGGATTTGGAAAGGTTAAGATTTGCATTAAATTGCATGAAAATTTATGGTATAACAAGAAATTACGCGGAAAGGGAAATTGTACTTGAAAAATAGCATTAAAATTACCATCGAAAAGTATTAAGTTATAAAAAATTGCGTTTGAATTTCTGAATTGTTGAAGGCGCTTGTTTTTTGTTAAAATGCAAAGTATTAAAAATCTGAATGCTGACTATAAATCCCCGGGGCCCCGGCTCATAATCCCGACACCGCGTCCAGCCTGCCGCCCCGGAATTTGGAGGCAGCAAAAGCGGTTTTGCGCCACAAATTTTGTCCTGAAAAACGCGGGGCGGCATTTCGGAGATGGGACAGCAAACGGAAGGCTTCAAGGCCATGCCACCACCCGGGCATCAATCACCTATCATCGGAAATTGAGGAGCAACGCCCGGGAATTATGGGCCCGGCTAGCTGTCTCTTCCTCGTGTTTGTTTGTCTATCTATTTAATGTTGCAGGGGTAGAAAGGGAGGGTTTTTAAACGGAAACATTTAGAGAATGGGATTTACTATTTAAAATATAATACAAAATATCGATAATGCCTTCTAGACGTTATAAAATTTCGGGTTTTCAGTTTTGTGAATTTGGTTTTAGGCATTATGCTGGAAACCCCGTATAAAGTACTTCTGTTACAAACAAAAACGGCGATAAATGTGAAGCATTTAAAAGAATATGAAGGATTAAATTAAGCATTAGATCTTTGATGAGCTCATTGCAAAAAAAGCTACCTTCTAGAAGCGAGTTGTCTCCAAATTCAGCCAATTACGCAGAATAGCTATAGGCGCCTTTCGATAGACACAAAAAATGCATTGCAGATCTTAAGCAACATATTACTCTCTATTAAGCGCTAAAACCATATCCAAAATAACAACCATATCATATTTCACGAAAAGTGCTGGCGCTCTGCCAAAAGGGCAGAGGGTCCAGAAAAAACGACGAATCACACTAGCAACAGACCAAAAAGCCGTGGCCGCCCGTCACAAGCGGGCACCGGGTTTTGAGTGACGAGGGAACGTCGGTCGGATCATAAAAAGTGGGAAATTTTAGGGGGGAAAAAGTCGCTAACAGGGGGTGCATAGTATTGCTGGCACTCAGGATATCAAATCTGGCTTCGTTCCATCGGACAACAAAAAACATTTTAGCACAGAGACACGGGAATTGAATTGTTTTGGGAATGATGTTAAAAAGAGGGCTAAAGGTTAGCTTACGGATTATTGAAAGTAAAACTTTAAAATTAACGGGTAGCAAACCACAGCGACCGTATTCATGTGATCTCAATTGTTTTTGCAGGCAAGTTAAAATCAAATATAAGGAGTAGTTTCTACATTTATAAGGTTTAAAATCAATTAGAAATTTCCTACCCACACCCACATTCCAGTGCAACGGCTCGGCTGCGTATTTCATTCGTAAAAATAACCACAAAGAAATCGGGAGGCTGGCATACCGGCGAGAGAACCGGTTGCCCGAATGCCGTTTACCGGATTAGTCGAACCGTTACTCAGTCGAGCCTCTTTTCAAAAACCTTTCACCACCCAAGGATCGGCCGGTAACAATGCTAGAAGATTTTTTCGCGGTGAAGAGGCAGGTGGGTGGAAAACCCGATGCTTGCAATGAATATTGTATGGTGGGGAGAATGAATATGGACAATGGAAAGAGGGTTTCGAGGTTTTTGGCAACATTTCAGCAATCTGACTCAAAATTTTTTTTTGGAATCATAGTATGACTTCAGCAAACGTTCTCACTAGATCCAATGAGGAAAATTAACATAATTACCAAATTAGAAACGTTCTTATAAAAACACAGGGGGCGGAGAGCTAGGTAGAGAGATGGGGAGAGAGTAGAGAGCGAGAATTAGAGAGAGAGAGAGAGAGAGAGAGAGAGAGAGAGAGAGAGAGAGAGAGGGGGGAGGATGCGAGAGAGAGAGAGAGCGAGAGAGAGCGAGAGAGAGCGAGAGAGAGAGAGCGAGAGAGAGAGAGCGAACAAGGGACGAGAGAGAGAGAGAGAGAGAACGATAGCCAAAGCTTTATCTTTCATTTGAGTTGAAAGGTCTGACCCTAAATACCAACAGTTTGCTCTATGAATCAAACCATTCCAAATTTCGAACTTCACGGCTAATGCTAAAAAGCTGAAAAGCTTCCTAGAGCAACCAAAAGTCAATACTTTATTAATATTTGCTTGCAAGCAAAATAATTACATAGGGCCGTCGGGGTGCTCGAGAATGACCGGAATCCGGCTGTTCGGGGGGCATGTGGCCCAGCAGAAAAAAAAGGGGGGGGGAGGAAGCGCATTTTTGCCCCTTCTTTATGTCACCATCTGCTGGCACATAAGCCGATAGGTGCCCATTTTAGGGGGTCTGGAAAAAAGGGGATGAAGATGACAGGTTAGATGACTACTGTGGGTTGGCCGCTGGTATTTTTAAGATAAAGTGAAAACACGTCTGCAGAGCGTTCCAAAAAACGTGCTCTTTTCAGGCCAACTTTGACTATTTAATCCCATGATCTTATAAACCAGATCATTTTTAGATATTTCAAACTTCTTAAAAATATAATTGACAATTCCAGATTCCACCCCTGTTTAAAAAATAGAGGAAAAGCCGGTGCCAGCGATGCTGATGGAGGGATTGCGTGTCTTCCCCTCCAATCAACCACCCTCCCACCCTACCCCCAAAAGGGACACATCCTAGGCAAAAAAAACGCGGAAAATGCCCCAAAACGAATTGGGAAGGGCCCGTGGTTGTTTCTCCGATTCCCTTGTTGCGCACAGATTGTTTGCCATTTGATGTTCGGGCTTCAAGTATTGATCTAAAAAAGCTAAAAATGGCACAGAAGAAATGGGAGATTTCGGATTTGGGATATGAGCCAGGGTAGAGTTGTACAGAATCTTGTGCCCTTTTGGGAGTGTGCTTAGTGTTTCTGGAACGGGCTTAGGAAAAGTTATGGTCTGTTTTGTAGCTCGAAACACCCAAATGTATTAATTTAAATTACAAATTCTGGGAGTTTGTGCTAGAAAACAGGTCATACGTTTTTTTACTCAATAAACAACTTTTGCTTTTTTACTAATCCATCCCAAAAAATCTAAAAACAGTCCGAAAGCAGTGCAAAATTCTACACAAAATATAAATATTCACAGGCCCCTTGCCGGAAAACTCTATAAAAATCGTATGGTGATGCGAGAAATCAGCTGTAAGTCGTCGTCTAGATCCCACCCAAAAAAAGTAGCAAAAAGAGGATGGGTGGGTGGATGTTGAGGGGTGGCGGGAGATGCAGCCATTTTGCATGACTTCTCCAAAATCCCTGGGGGATATCAGCCCCTCCCTGTATGTGGTCTTTGCTTGGAGGCTCAGCTGGGCTGTGGGGAAGCTGATGGCATGTAAGAAGGAGTGGATGAAAGTGTGAGGAATTAGTTTGCCCTCCCTGGGCCCTCGATCCGGCCATTCTGCAGTTGGGGGAGAGAAAAAGTTGAGCGATGGCTTGGGGGCGATTGAACGGGCGATCTCTTGAATTTTTCCAATTTCCCTGTGGCTTGATTGGATGGGTTTTTCAAAAGATCCGAACAATTGGATTCTGACAGTTTTATTACCGTAATTCCTCTAATATAAGCCCTTAGCTTTATTTTCAAGCGTCGTCATAGCGGAAAGAGTTTGTAACGGGAGGGAGTGTAAAAGCGAGCTTAATATTTTTCCAATAGATTTTTCCAATAGACCGGAAATACTAGGAGGTAAACTGGATCGATCGTGCCAGAGTCGATCGGGGTTTTACCACTTCAGGTAGCCTAAAGCTCTCCATAATACCAGGAAAGCATAACCCGAATTCCTCTTCACATTTTGAAAAAGAAATATGAATAATTGGGATTTTGAGACATAAAAATGATAAAAAATCAGAATTTTAAGAAGAAGGTGAATTTTATTAGTGGGGGGGGTATTTATAAGCGACCTATATTAGAGGAAATACCGTCAATCAAATTTTACAGGCAGATATAAATGCAATATTAGATACAATGAAATAAAGCATCCAGTTCAGTTTGCGACTTCCATTTCTCGAGTGGAAAGACGATGTTCCCGAAAGCGGCTAGCGAGCGGGCCGACACTTTTTTTACAGGCGATCTCACCCCCGATCCCGGCACCTCCATATAAAAAGAAGTGTTTGACGAAGCATTGATAAGAGCGAGCCTTCCCGCCCGGGTTGCCCATGTTTAGCTTTGCCGATACAACGCCGGATTATGCTGGCACCACAGCTACCGATACCGAGGAGGAAAACAAAAAACAAGCAACGATACGGTTTCGAATTGACTTAATCTTGGATGTGCAATGGACCAGCTAATTTTAGAATTTCATTATCATTAACAAAAACTTTCTCAAACCGAATTTATAGACCCATAGAGAAAATGCTGCCCGTCCGTTGCCCACTTTTTGCATTTCATGCTTTACTGCCGTGTTCCCTCCGGGGACATCACGTCCCCCGGAAAATGGCCCCTTTTAAGCCGACAAAAAATGACATGACATCCCACGAAAACATACCAACACCATCCCTACTTGCAAACAGAGCTGCCAATTTTTCCAATTTTTCCGACCCCGCCAATAGCCAAAAGCTGCAATTTGGAACCCGGGTCGAGATATAGCTTATCCGGGCACCCGCAATTTTCTTGGATTAGCCTGAAATTTCCTCGGCGCCTGTCCCCCTAGCCACTCACTCACTACAATTCGCTGGTTTTCAGAAAAGTGCGCCGCCACTCGTTTCGAGCTCGGTCCATTTCACCCGGGGAACGCGATTTCGTGGTGACCTTGCGTCAATTTTTAAGCGAATGTGATAGGACTTCATGGTCGTTCCAAGGGAAAAGGGTTTTGGCAGGGTAACAAAATAAAATAGGATAATTAAGAATTTAGCTAGCTGAATAGCTATTGAAATTTACAAGGTTTTATATATCGATAAACAAAGTCTTCCAAAAACAAAAGTCCAAGTTGTTGCTCAATCATTCTCGCAGGCCAGGGGCTGCAAAACACGTTCCCCTCGCGCATGCGCGCCAAAAAAATTGGGGCACAATTTGAGGGCGGAAAACGACGCGGCCGCCGATTCGAAAAACGGTTTGGCGCCAATTTTTCAGGGGGGAGGACGAGGATGGACCGTTGAGGAGCACATTTAGAGTGAGGTCACAGCGGAAGTCAAGATTTGCATCATCGAATTGGGTAATTTGAATTTGAATGGCTTGGAGGTTGCTTTCGGTTAGAAGCACGGGTGGGTTTTCAAGCTGACATCAGAGAATTACCAGTATGGAATCAGCAAATATGTGGACAGAAGTTTCTACGTTTTAAAAATGCTTCTAAATTTTTAAGATCAGGTTTTAAACCCAGACAAGCAAAAATTTAATTTAATTAAAAATGTGTTTTTCTGAATCTGAAATTTCAAGGACTAGGAACGGAAACTCTCTGGTTTGAAGCTTAAAGAGTAGGTTACACAAAATCCGCAAAACGCTGGTTTCCGCTGATGTTGATGGAGGTTAAAATTTTGAGGGATGGGTGTCAGAGGAGGAGGAGGGTGGAGAGCTGATTTTTGCGGTCTCACCCACCACCCAGCTGTCCGCTCAGTTGCTTGAGAAAGGGTTGGACTGCCGTTTCTTTGTTACTCTAATGCTCCCTATCTCTCTCTCTCTCTCTCTCTCTCTCTCTCTCTCTCTGATTTGGCCCCATCTTCATCCCTTGTGTTGTTTCCGACCTCGGCTCCCCCTTTTTCCGTTTGTGCTTGGGGATCCCATGTGTCGTTTGGCGTGTCTTCGTGCGTGTGCCCTCATGGCCGGATCACCCTTGAATCCGACAAAAATCCACCGGCCAGAGGCCCATCAACAAATGTTTGTTCTCTGGCTGGCGGATCTGAACAGGGTGTGTCTCGGTATGACCTCGAGAAATCGCGATTTGCAACTTTGAACGCCTATTTCAAAGGGGAATTGCTTTGGTTGTCGCAAACATTTTCTAGAGATACGCCTTTTAAGGATAGGGTTAGGATAGCCGCCGTCTGGAATAAAGTATGGCGAGAAACTCAGATAAAACGTCACATTCGGCGGTGATCAAAAGGATAAACTTGAACCAGCAAAAGCACTGGCTGCAGTTGAAGCCGACATTTCCGTCCGAACGAATTCTAATTTTAAACTAGCTACCTCCAATGAACAGAAAAAAACCTGTAAATCAGACCTTGAGGCCCAAAAATCATAGGAAATTCTTAAAACTCCGCGTAATTTCCGGATAACAAAACCTTGCCACGCCCCAAAGTAAAATGGAACCTTTCGTAGTCGAGTTACCTACGATTTCCCCTACCACACAAAATGGCTCAAGGTGGAGCCTCTATTCAAGAAAGGGCTGCAGACGGACGGACCGAGTAGCAATGGGAGGCCGAATGGGCGATTATTCAAATGTCTTCCTGCCACCGCAATTTGGGCCCCCACCCCTCGGCCAACACAAAAAACGTGAGCAAGAAAGGTTGGGCGGGTAAGGCAAAACCCATTCGGGATCCAATTGTCAGCCATTCAAATTGGGTCGTCAATTCGCTGGATGAGGGGGGAGGGAAGAAAGAGTTGACGAAAACTGAGTTGAAGGAAATGGAAACGTTCTCATTTCCGGGGGTTTGGGGGCCTTGGGTATGTACGGGTTGGAAAAAGGATACTAGCTGTTTCAGTGAATAAAAGAAAAGAGAAAATGCCAAATTATTGGTTCGTTAAAGGGCTAGTTCAACTTTTAGAGCTTGGGCTGGTACCTTGGGAAACTATGGACGTAGGCACACTGCGCCCGAACAGTCCCCCATTACGGCAGCTATTAGAGATCGGGGAAATGAGAGAGGCGCAGACAAAAAACGCAGAGAGGGTTCGACCCCCGGCCGTGGAAATTCTTTTGTTTTATTGGCTGAACTAGCCCTTTACGCGAGAAAGAATTCAAAGGGACTCGTTGCTGTATTTGTCACTATCCCTTTAAAAGTAAAATTTGGTTTGTCAAGTGCTTTTTAATCGCTCTCCGCACGACGTACTTCTTCTTGCATTTATTATGAATCGCTTGTAATAGGTGAAAAAAATACATATTGATTGCATTTCCTGGTCAGCAGCTTCGTTTCGGCGTCGTGAAGTTCATCTACTTCTTTCCATACATTCCATACATTCCCATTCCAGGATACATTCCCATGCCCATGCCGTATCCCATGCCGTAGCCGCCCATGCCCCACGGCCTGTAGCCCATACCGTAACCGCCGTAGCCGCCGTAGCCCCCTGAAATCAGGGAATAGCTTCGAATATAAGTAGGTTGGGCTTAGGTTGAGACTTGAAAATCTTCTTAGCGTTATGCCAAAATTTCGCTACAAAAAATCTCTCCCCCTGTCCATTACGCCGAACTGAATTAGGCAGAGAATCCATCTGAATTTCGGCACATTTGAATTTTGATATAATGGATTCCGATATAATGATTGTTTCCTTTATAATCGAATTTTCAGCTTAATTCAAAAGCGTAAACCCAAATTGGCCTTCCCAATTCAAAAACATCTACTTACAAGCTTCCGCATTCAGGGCAAGTACGGCAACAATCAAGCAGAGAATCAGGAAGTTCATTGTAATTTGTCTAGCGATTGATGGCTGAACTGTTCAGAACGAGATCCCCTTATATCCCTAGGGCCCCCATGGCTCCATCACCCAAGGAAGGCGACCTATTGCCCGAAAACAGCATGGGCGGATGGGCGGAATTGGGCGAATTCGGAACCAGTCATTTATTTATTAGGATGAGCCAACAGGGTCTTGTGCCTGTAACGGGCAGAGAACAAGGAAAAATAGGCGAATCCCACCCACACAAAAAATCAACTCTCCCCGTGTGACGGCAGATCCACCCTCTTGTTGATGATAAATGAACTTGAACTTGAAAAAAGGCATTTCGCCGTCATAATATTTTTTTGAACATTTGGTCAGGGGTATCTGAACTCATTCTTTGTTAACATTATATAATGTTTTTAGAATTTAGCTGATGTTTAAATTGCTTTACTTCATCACGAAGTTCGACCCAACGATTTATTTCACATGCCGGTTGAGCAACAGTTAGAAAAGCGAAACAAACGTAGAATGCGCTTCATTCAAGCGATGGATCCGGTGAAAAGCACTGCGCCACTTCGCACAGACTATCTAGTGTCTCTTGCTGGGCCATTCGTTGCATCTCCGGAGATCGGACCAGACGGGCCCTTAAATCTGAAACAACATATAAGATGCGATGACATTTAAAATGGCCTAATAGCTAATAACATATAAAGTACAAGTGGGGAAAACTATCTAAAAAACAGTGTAATTTTTATGCATTAGGTGTCTATCGACAGCGCGACAACGCGGGAAAATAACACTTATCGTTTTTCTTTGAAACTTCAAAAAGTTTAAAAAACATTTCAGCATGCTTTTTTTGGAGACACAAAGTAGGTGCCAGTGTTTGAAAAACATATAGGTTTACAAATTCCAATTCATGCCATTCCTTCAATCATTCCAATTTTTTTCTAATCGTTCCTCATGACCAACCATCATGCGATAAATCGAGGATGAGCCCATTGGGGGCCGACGGCGAATGATGAGCAGTTCCAGCAGAATCACGTCTTGATGGTGCTCCCCTCCCCCCATCTCGATGATGAAAGGACAAGCTGCTTCCCATCGAATCATCAAAATCCTCGGCGTCCCGATTGTTTTCCCCAATATCTTGACATACATGCAGACTCGACTCCATTTCTACCAGTTTTGTCACCTGAAAATGCGTTTGCTGCCTGTACGCTTTGGAGGGGTTGACTTAAATGAATTTTTCACAGTGTGAATGTTAGGAGTTAGCGACGGGCTGATTACCTCATCAGGACTTTTCATAGGTGAGTTGTCGTCTACCCAGTGGACGCCGTCCGAACGAAGGACGCACTAAGAGTCTGGGCTTAAATTATATTAAAGGCAATACCTGTCGCATTCCAGGCAGACTGAGGGAAGTCTGGGTTTGCCTAGAATGAGTCGATGACTGCACTGAGGTCTGCATCTCGTCAGGGATAACCAAATAGTGGCTTTCCTTCTCTTGGAATACCTAGACTACGTTCTACATCTTCTGACGTCGCTCTTACCTGTAATACACCCAAAGTTGTTGCGTCTTGTTGTCGTTCAACAATTTCCACAACATCCTTCCCACCAGCCTCATAGGTAGTTCGCATTTTTGATTGAAGGAGGTTAATCACCTAAATTCCGCTTAATAAAAATATGCCACAACTTGCCATCGAGACCAGTGACAACCCAACAAGGATAAACCCAAATAGCATGATGAGTAGTCGTGGGTTTGATGGTACTAGGTCGCCAAGACCAACCGTACTAGAATCCGCCTTCAAATTCAGTCCCAAAATTACCTTAAAGAAATAAAAAAGAAATAAAAGGCTTCTAGAAGTGTCCAGTTTTGTTCCCAGACCGACAATACAATCGTGCAGACCCATACCTAAATAATAGTAAGGATAATTGAGGAACCAAAATACCCAGATGAAGATCAACGCCACACCGACTGGAACAGGTAAATCAAAGACTTCTAGGTCTCTTCTTTCTTCCGCTTCAATCCGTCGCATCTCACGTAGGGACTGCTTTGTGCAACATCTAGACATTATTAGAACCATGAAAAAAGAAAAATTTATCACTTTAATATCCTGCGGCCAATCCGCTTGAACTGAAACCAAGGGTATTTCATCGCAATCGTCAAGATTTTGCCGACATCCTACAGATTTTATGTAAGCTTGGATTACATTTAGAATTCACCTGAAGTACCAAGAGCATTAATGGAATTCCAACAAGTGCATAAACCATTGTGATCACTCGTCCCGGATCCGTCATCGGGTAGATATGCCCGTAGCCTTCAAAAATAATTTGTAACTTATTGCTATTATTTTAGAAATGTAATTAACTCCATTTTCCTTATGAACCAACGCACCAATCGTCGTAATTATAGTCCCAGCAAATAGTATTGCATTCCAATAATCCCATTCCATCCTCTGCTCGCTCCATCGTATCCCCAATCGAGTCTCGTAAACTTCAAATATCCTAGCAAATAAGAATGGCTTATGAAAAATCACTTCTTCCCTACCTGTCAAAGCGTACCCGTAGCTTATCAGTTGTATTTCCTTTTATGTATATTAAGTATTCCGAATTGTTGAACACTTCTTTCATCATCGAATCGACCAGATAACTGCGGTTTTTGCGGATTTCCTAAAAATTTCACCATGGCCATCCACTTTTGAAGTACTACTCACAGACATCCAATTTTGTTTCATATCCGTTTGGGCTGGACTCTCAATAATCAATAATATGAATGCACCAAACAGAACGTAGAAGATAAAAACGCCGATTAGCACCAAGTGTTTTAACCCTAAAAGAATAACTTGTTGGAGTTCAAAAAGCCCTCACCGTATTCGTGATAGGCTCGATTTACAATCAAAAAGCATAGTGGTGGTTTTTGGCGTAATCGCAGGACCGTTCGTACTCCAGCATCCTTTGCACGGCCAGCCATCTGAAATTAGGTTGGGCCCGTGTTAAAGTAAAATGTAATTAAAGCCATGCAATTTAGGCAGTCAATGGCTTTTTGGTATTTCGGAGGCAGAGCTAATTTTTTTTCCTATATGTTCAGATATGGATAGGAAGAACATCGCAATTAAGTTTGGGCTTATTAGCAAACCTTTATAAACTTTTTTAGAATTTCACAGTAAGTCAGACTCAGCAATTTTTGTATTTTAAGTTGAGGGATAGCAATAAAAATTTAGAAAGAATTTCTACATTTAATTTAGAAAAGGTGTATCCCAATAAAATTCGTACGCCAGCCCCGGAAATACTCCACAACCATAAAATTCATGCAATCGACAAATTGGACCAACATTGAAACTCACAAGCATAGCCCTGACGAACGGGAGCTGTGGCCGTGGTGTCTCCTAGAAGTCCATGTCACTCATCCCCCATGCATAACAGACATCACACCCAGACGGATATCAGTTTTTATAGGAAAAACCAGATCAAAAATGTCATGCTGTAGTTCAGAAGTTTCGAGAGACTTTCCCTTACCCTTGGGTTAGTGCTGTGGCCGAACATTGGAATTGTTGGGGATAAAGTATTGTCGCGGAAGTGAACTACTGACTGGTGAACTGAACTACTCTCCCCTCCCACCCTCGCACATGGCGCCGCGAGTAGCGGATATTGGGCTTGATTTGGTTGCACCGGAGAGGCCGTCTGCTCGAGACGAAGCGGAACGGCTCAGTAGCCTGACAAAGAGCCGTATTTCGGTAATATTGAAGTTTATGAAGAAAAAGGTTTTCCATTCAGAAGAAATTTTGCAAAAATTTAATTTCTCTAAGAGGCCGGAATATGCCATAGCTTCATTCCAAACTTACACGGTTAATATTTTAGTTTCCCCTACATTTTTGGGACTTTATATCACAGAGCCACAAATGAACAAACTCGACTACCTTTCGACTCGATTTAAACCATTTCCGGAATTGTTCCCTTGGAATCCGTATCAACCTGGAGCCGAGAAGGCTCTAAATTAGATAAATTCTCCATAGATTTGCTGAAATTACTTCATCACTATCTTCGTCATTTGGTTCCTCATTGTTGGTTGTCGTAGCTAATGAGATGGGTTCAGCTGTTTCCTGAAAAGGGAGTTTGGCAAAATTAATCATTAAGAAGGTGCCTACCGAATTTCCAGCACTATTCCCAAAATTTGGGACAAGTAGCTGGGCCAAGCTTGGCCTGGGGAACATTGGCTAAAAAGTAAATTAGATAGAAAACTGATCATTAAGAAAATTGTTTCGGAATAAAAACGAGATAGGGTGCAGTGCGGTTTCCAATAGAAAAGACAAAATTGCTCCGGAGCTATACACCCAAAATCGAACTTTTTACAATTTTGTAAAAGCTGAAAACAATGGACATTCTTGTGGGGTGGGTGGGCGTTCTTATGGCCGGAGGCAGGGGGGTCATAAATAAGCTTCGGGCACTTTTTAGTCCTCCTCGCCGTGGTCCTCCCGGAATTGAGAAGTCCCCGAGGATAGGTCCGTGGGGAAATGTGGCTTCTTCCACGAAAAAATAGTCAGTAGTTTTTCTAGCGCAATAAACGGTACCCACCTGGCTTTGAACCAAAATTCAAACCTGCGCTAATTGTAAGTTACTTAAATTAAGACATGCTGTATTGCATTATTACTTATCGTTGAAGCTTATTTAATTTTACTTACTAAAATCCGTAACATAAAAGAGTCCTTGGTATATAAACGTCACTCTGTAAAAGCCGATTCCGAAACACGGCTTCAAAAATCTTTGGCCAAAAAGAGGCGGAGCCAAAAATGAAATGGAAGACTTGTCGGTGTTGTCTTTGGACTTTTTTCCAGAAGCGGTGCAACAATCCCCCGGGAATTTCTGCCCCCAGACGTGCACATGTAGCCTCCAGGCTGATGTCAATTCATATCCCCTCGAAAAAAAAACGGGAGGACACAACCCGTCGGGCTTTAGCCGGGATTTCGCAGGTTAGGTCTGAGGATGAATTGCGAATTTGTCGAAAAATCAGGGGAAAAAGGACGCTCCCTGAATGAATGCCGCCAGCTCTTGCGCACCTACTATTAAATATAAAATAGGATCTTATATGTACGTTTTTGCAACCCTGCCAGGAACCCAGCTACTTATATTTTTTCTGAGTGACTGTAGTAACTTTTTATTGGATAAAACAACTCGATATGGTTTCGACAAGGTCTCGACATGAAAAGACAACCCCGTCCATCGTGCCCTGATAATTGACGTTGACCAAAAGCCATCAACTAGCTACAAGACATGTCCATATGGTGCAGCACGCGGCCACTCAACACCACACAAACGGACCATGGACAGACACGGACGTGTGCCGGACAACGCCACCATCCTCTCCACATTCTTTGCCCCCCCCTCATCCTTATCCACTCATGTTTTCGCACCTCCTGGCCCATTTATAAACGCCGCCCCATGCACGCCCCGCTGGTGCCATTTTGCTCCGGAACTTTTGTAGACCGGGAAGCAAGATGAGGTTTGTATTCTTTTGGTTTAATATATATTTATGTTTAGGACAATCCTTGTCGCATCGCTGGTGCTACCATTCTGTTTTTCTCTTGGACCGGAACATGTACCAAAATTTTGTGGGTTCTAACACATTCACTTTATAGCCAATTTTTGCTTATTTATTATTTTCTTTAGTAGAAACGAATCCGACAAAAACAGCTGTCATAGACCAAATTGGCCGTTACACCGTCAACGCCAGCCAGGTATTAATATTACGCACAGCTCAGCAATATTTTTAGACGCTTAATGAGCCACCAAAGAATGATGGTCTTGAAACGAACTATCGACACCCTTTCGCTTTCCAGTTCAATGCTTATAAAACGGCTGATAAAGGTAAGACTCTGAAGCCCATGTGGTTTACGCAAAATTAGTTGACGGCGCACGCCCTGTCGCTGCTGCTGAAGCCGTCGTTCCACGTCAAATTACATTCACAGCCCCAGGGCCGCTCCCAGAACCTGAAAACAAACGCAAAAACTTTTCATCTCTTGCCGTACCTGTGCTTCCACCAATTCCTGTTGCCCCCGTTGCCTATAATGCAATCCCGGCCCCGATCTTAAACCACCCGATCCCAAGCCCAATCCCCGGTGCCATCCCTAGCCCACTGCCAGCGCTTCCACCAGTTCTTGCTACCGGTCCGGTTCCGATCTTGGCCCCAAGGGTCAATATTCCGCTTCTTCCACCTGTTCGCCCAGTCGCCCCTATTGCTCCAGCTATCCCAATGCGTCCTGTGAACGTGGTGGCTCCCATCCCAGGACCACTTCCACTTCCACTTCCAGCTCCATCTATGGGTCTTCGTCCACTTCCGGTAGCCAGTCTGCCACCAGCGCCCATCTATCCATCTCCACCAATGGTCCTTCCAGCTCCTCTCCCACCTCGACCCTTGTTGAATCCGATGCCACTTTTGCCACATCCTATTCTTCGAATTCCCTCAAATATCCCTGCTCCACTTCCTCCAGCCTTCCTTCCACCACCTCGATTCCCATCCCCGGTGCTTCCTATTGCTCCTCCAAGACTACCCATCCTCCCAGCTCCTCTGCCACCCCGTGTACCACTTCTATCCCCTCCCCCACCTCCACCAGCCGTCCAACCATTCCCGGTTCCATTCGCCCCTCCTCCTTCATATGTTTCCCCACCTCTTCTCCCAGCGCCTATTAGACCTCAGGGCTTCCTCTCTTCAATGCTTCCCCCTGGTCATGTCCCAGTCAGCCCTTCTGCCCCAGGTGTTTTTAGCCCTGGCCCACTACCATACCCATTGAGGCCAGGACCTTTCGGGAAACATAGTACCGAGCTGCCGTTCAAGATCAGCTTCTTCAATGCGCCATACTACACCGAGAATTTGATTGAAAAGCCGGCTCCAATTGGCGCGCCCATCGTTCTACCGTATGAGGCCGTTCGATTCCACAAGTACAAGCAGTTACAGGAGCAGCAGCAGCTCGAAAAAGCGGAGTGATGATTACGGGGATGATATTTATTGAATAAATGCTATGTTATATCGTGGTCCTTTGTTAATGGCATTGTATGGAATTCCGGTCGTTTTTCCTAAAGCCTTTTTCTTAAAGACAAGGTGATATGACAATACCATGTTACGCGGAAACGTTTTAACATTTTAATTTGCAAAAAGCTCGTGCTAAAAGATGCATTTAGGAAAAATGAACGTATGTCAATTGTGCGAACCGCAACAAAAAACAGGAAAGGTATTTATTGAGGGATGAGCCGTGATTTTGCGGGGGTTAAACGTCTATGGTGTCTTAGTGCTCCTTTCATTGGTCGAAATTGGGGGGCGTACTCGTGTCTCGCTAGTGTTACTCCTCTCTAGAAGAAGCCGGTCTCTTGCAGTTTTTGGACGAAGAAACGGAAGTCGGCCGCCTGAAATGGGGGAAGATGAATAAATGATGATAGAATGGAGGGTCGCGGGTTTGGATTATTCAGATTCGGGGAGGTTCTGGGATGTGGTCAGCGTAGCCGTTCAACTGGATGCGGGAAAAGTGTTCAAGCGTAGAGAAGCGGGATTTTTGTGTTTTGTACGCAACGAAACAGATTTGAGGTATTAAAAGACAATGAGATTAAACCAAAAGATTTTTCCTACCTCATTAGCCGTCAACTGCTCCGGATTTCCAGACAAAACTCCCTCGAAAACTCCGACCATTCCATCGTCATCTTCCTGGCTCAATCCAAATTCTTTGGAGAAAACATCATGGGTTGGCGATTCTAAATACACAAGTTTAAAAAAAGACTACGATGACATTACGGCTCAGCGACACGGCGACCTTGTCGACGCCTCCCATGCCGGCTAACTCGCTTCGGGCTTTCTCTCCGAAAACCTAAAATGACGCCTTAATACAGTATAATTTCAGATCTAACCAAATAATTTTAAATCCTAGAAATTTCTTGAACCCACCTTCACCAAGAAATCCGGGCCATGGGCGTGCATCAATGCTTTTAGAAACTGGGCCGTCTCCTCTACGGGAGGGCGTGTGGCTGGAAACTCGGTTTTGGAAAAAATTGCAGAAACAATTATATTGATAAATAATCACCTGCAGTGCACATGCTCTTGTTTTCGTCGTACTCATCCGAACAGTCCGGGGACCCGTCACAGAGATATTTGATCGGAACGCATTCACCGCTTGGGCATTCAAATGGATGCCAAGTGGGGCAGTTGGCTAAAAGATGGTAATGAGACTTTTGACAAGGATTGAAAAGCTCGGATTACGACCTCCAAGGCTTCTAGTTTCGTTTTACAACTTAATCTAGATTTTTGACAAATCATGGATAAATGGCAATCTTTTTTCCTTTACCTCAAACCTATGTACATCACTTCCCCTTTTTTCTAAGAAGCGCGCAGCGCCCCGAAATTGAAGACAACCCCAAATCGCCCTCAATTAAACCTCCCCTCCCTAGGTTGTTGCACACAAAAACCCTCCAAATAGCCGGCTGATTTGGGAAAAGTTTAAGGGATGTTGTCGCGTCAAATTACGACCATCCCACATTCGTCATTTGTTTAGGTCCGTCGCTTGGGGATAAAAACTAATTGTTTGCTACAGGCGCATCCTGGCGAGGCTCTAAATTTCGTAACTATCAGTTTTTAAAACGCTATTGTTAATGCAAAAAAACCAACATTTTTCTGCAGCATCGCGCTTCGTTGAGCTCCTTGTGAAGTCGCGTAGAGAAAAGGCAGAGACAAGCGACTGGCTGGATAGCACCACAATCACCCCAGCCAGTGACAGAAGCATCCCAACTAAATTCGCATTTAAATTTTGAATTTAGAGCGGGTAAAAGAGAAAATATAGAAAATACAACTTTGTTTTTGGGAGCACTATTTGGAGTCGTAAAAAGATGAAACCTATAAAACATTAAGTATCTGATTTTTAAAAAATAACTATGAAAAAGAGTCTAGTCTAACCCTCCCTAAACTAAGCCGAAGATCAAAGACAATGCGAATGTATTTCGCCGAAAAGATCCCTTCGTTTCTTTTGCAATTGCCGTTCTTTTTTTGGTTCCGCTTCGTTGCATACCAAATAGCTGAACAAGCGAAACATTGTCCCTATCTTCTTCTTAAAAAAGAAAATAGACTTCTGAACACTTATAGACTGTCCAAAATACATCACTTCCCATTTTTGCTTCCGGTTTCTTGTCACTGAACTTTATACGATAGATAAGAATAAGCTTACGGTATTTAAAATTAAAAACCAAGTTAATGATTTTGTATAAAGGGGTGGCACACTCCTTTTGAGACCCCAAGTTGCGAAAAATAATTCCCAAATTCCCAAATGACGGTAGGTAGGCAGTAGCCTCGCCCCATCTAAAAACAAGCGGGAACCGATTCTGACAAATTCGCAAAATACCGCCATCGCCTGCCAATAAATATGTGGTGTGCGTGACTAGAAAGCGCATTTTTCGGTGCGTCGGCGATAAGATTCGATTCATCGTAGTGGGCCCGAGCCCCCGAATAATATGATTGATGACCGGAGAAAAGCTTTGGGGGCGAGAAATGGAACACATTGAAAATTACTAATTTTACAGGGTTTGACTGGATTTATGTGGGCGTGAGGGTTAGGTGATTTTTGGGTTGAAGCATCAGAATATAAATACGGGGGAAGGGAAGTTACAGTATTTTTAAAAAGGATCCTAAAATGGTTTTCCAGAGAAAAAACGTAAAGAATAAAAAATGCCTTAGGTCGTGCTCAAAATTAGTCGGAAGGTAAACCAGTAATCCTGATTATTTACCTAAACTCCAAATTTAATAATAACGTCCAAAATTTGAGCTGTGTAAGCTTAAAGTGAGCAAATGTTGCGATTTTCCCACTTTAGCTTATCAGAATTTTAAATAGGGATATAGAATTTTGCAAAATGGCTGAATATGGAGACAGATTCGAATTGGCTAAGCTACTGACGGTCATCAAATCCTAGACAAAAATCCCCACAATATTAAAGCCGCCCCCACATCATCTTCTACACTTCACTACCTAATTACATATGAATAATCGTATCGATAACCGCGACAAAATCGAGGCTGGCCCCAATCTCGACCTGCTGAGCGTTTGTTATGCATTATTCGAGGGTTCTCTCCCTCCACGCTTCGGAGGCAGTCGTCGTCGTCGTCGGAATTCCCAACGCTCCCAAAAAACGGCCCGTTACAGCCCGCGCCACTTTGTCTAAGTGGGTGTGGAACAGGGGTGTGGACGTGAATTTTGGGACGTAATATTATTACGAATAAGGAAAGGATGTCGAGGAATTGATTAAGGTTGCAAGGCTAAAAGGCTAAAGTAAAATTAAAATTTGAAAATCATTAAAATTTAAATCGACAAGTTTAGTCGGTGGGTTAGCAATTTTCGAAAATCCGAATTTCGCAGGCTCTGAAATTTCGATTTTTCGAAAATCGAAAGTCCGTCTGCATATTGCCGAAAAATGCTTGGTTCATGAATATATACGACGTTTTTTTGGTAGATACGCAGATCCCCAAAAAATAATTTTCGAAAAAGTTATTTTCGAGAATACGATTTTCGAAAATCAGTTTGAAAAACTGTATCGCTCGATGCTAGGTTCATAAAGTTAAATTGGCAAAGTAGTCGAAACATGCGGTCTAAATTAATTTTATAGGGATGGCGACACAAAGAATCTGCCTAGAAGCTAATTCACATCACGAAAATCGACAATATCCCAACTAGCCTCTGCACCGGGAAGAAATCGCCACACACCCAACTACCCCCATTAAGGAGAGTCAACGGGAAATGACGGCAAATTGTCGAGCTGCCCCTTCCTCTTGAGCAGCACTTTCGGAAGGGGGGTAACCCCTCCTCTAGGGCCATGAATGCCTGATTCGACACGGGGGCCAAGGGCCGACGTTCACCTTTCCAACCCCTTCAGGGCCAACCCCCCTTTTAACCTTCCAAGACAACAGGAGAAAGCCCGCAAAAAAATGAATAAAACAGCCACCCCCGCCAATCTGCCCCGGTGCCTTGTTTACGTCGACAACTTGGACAAGGAGGGATGATGGGTGAGCAAGAGCAAGAGCTGTTGGTTGGGTTGGAATTGGCCGTGAAATTGCATTTGAATGCCTAACTCATAAATGTGAGTCCAACCCGAGGGAAAACTTCCTTAAAAAGGGCTTTTGATGAATGTGCATCGCATCATTCTATATTTACGATTTACATCATGATTGAACGCTGGAGAAGGGGTGGAACGTCACAAATCCAAAGTTATTGGAATCTCGGTGATGTTCGTATGTAATGGTATGAAAAACGGAACATGTAGGATTTATTGAGTGCAGAACGGTTTTTTTAGGAATGGATTAGAGATATTAGAGGATCAGGGTGTCGTACTAAAATTGTCAGTTAACATTCAAAATTATTGAAAATCTGGGTAAAGGCAATGCTATAAATTCAAAAGATAAATTTTGAAAATTCTAAATTAAAAACGCATATTTTAACGGCTTCATGATTACTTTGCCACGATCTTCAGGGAAATTTTGCCTTCCAAGGCACTTTAAAATGTTTTAAAGATCCAAGTTATATATATATATATATATATATATATATCTTTTGTGGATTAATTTAATAATATAATAGAATACATAAAACGCAAAACAAGTAGTTCACTTCAACAACCACTTCAATTTTTTTAAGGCACTAAACCTTCATACTTTGCAGGTTAGCAGGACTTATGGCAATCTATGATAAAAGTAATCCACCTAAAATTTATCTCTTCTTCTAGCTACCCACAAAAGCACACAAAATCTGGTTGGCCCTATGAATGACTGGCTGGCCCAGCTAATTCTCCCAATTACACTGGGCCCAAAAATAAAAAGAGCCGTTCTGGTAATCCAACCCCCCCGCATTGCTTGACAATAATTTTGAACAAAATGATGAAACCTATACACTGAATGCAGGCGGACTGCAAGAATGAGCTCCGATTTTCGACCGCCGCACTCCATTCCCTTGAAAAGTCATTTTTCATCGCGCCGTGCCCCATTCGGGTCACAATTTCGGAAAAAGCTTTTAGCATTTTTGAGTGCAGGGGTGCAAATTGGGGCGAAAATGGGGGTTCGTACTGCAGAAGTACGATGGAAAACGAAAGAACTTCAAAGTTCCCGGATGACGATACCCGGATTAGAATAAAAGAACTATACCCTAAAGATTCATCCTGCTATATTTATGCAATAATTAATCACATTCCAAAGCTGCAAGGGTCAACGGAACGACAAGAACATCCGATGTGGTCGATGAAAAGGGAGGGGGCCCTCTCGGTGATGCCATTAATTTCATTCCCATCCGTCCACTATTTAGGAGACGTCTCGAAAGGGAAGAAAAAGAAAAGAAGCAGAAGAAGCTTGCTAGTATCTCTCTTTTACCAACTGAGATATTGCTTCTCCTCGTTGATCCCTCGTGGTCAGTTGTATAATGTTAAATTGGGATCCGGGTGTTCGTGTAATGTAAGTGAAATCTGATGGTCTGCAGCTGCAACTCTGTTACCGTATTTCTTCTAGATAGCCCCTTTCTTTATCGTCAAAATTTTTTTCAGGGTTTAAAAATGCTAAAATTGCTTTTTATTAAAGCTTGGTGCTTTGATTCTGAGTATTTTTGAGCGGCCTAAAATGCTAAAAATCGAAATAAATACTCGTAATAGAAAATATAAATCCCCTCCAGCGATCGAAAAAGTTACGGCAAATTCGATCTACGCTCTTTATTATAACAGCTTTATTATATCTTTTCCTCCTGAATTTCCTCACCCAAAATACCATTTATCCAATATTTAAAAATTCATATAAGCTTGCATAGAAAAACATATATATTCCAATCCGAACCCGTAGATTTAGGAAATCAGAGCGAGATAGTCAGGCGTGAAGCGTATGGCATGCAACATGCCAGGTAATACAATAGGCGACAGGGAACGAAAATGAAATTGGGAAAGACAATTCGGTATTCAAAAATATTGGAAAGCTATTAAGATTTGATTCCTGGGAGAGGCCTAAGAAGTGGACACTTCTGGTATTGCCGCTTCGGTGTAAATCCGATTGGTGAGCGTGTTGCTAGGTGTTAAATGGAGCACTACGTCCACCTTAGCATTAGAATAAGAGCTATGATAATGGCCAGATTTCGGGGGCGTTCGGATCCGGAACCACTGCCATTACAGTGATCAGCATAGCAGGTGCACACTTCGATCTGGAAACGAGGGTTTTAAAGGGAGCGTGACAGGCTGTTTGGTCTTTTTTAAAGCGGTTTTGAAAAACGTCTACATTGCACGTTTAGTAATAAACAACTAGTAGTTAAGGTAGATCAAACTGGCTTAAGTTTCGTTGTATAATTTTTTACATAATATTACCTGAGAATCATCTCCAATTCCGCCGGGCAGCATAAAAAGTTCCTTTTTCCGGTAAGCTTTACAGGAATCCCGATGCATCCAACGATACCTAAAAAGCGAAATAAACTATGGTTATTTTATTGTTGAAAACGTTACTTTCAAAACTGACCAGCCAACAATCGTCTGGTTAAAGCCACCAATCAACACATCGTTCATGCAGCCGCGGATGTAGCCTTTCACTCGAATGCCTGGAAAAGGAGATTTTTGTTGTAGTTTTTGTTCTCAGCGGCAATTAGGTTTTCTGAAGTAATTATGGATGTTTAGGTTGTAGAGATGCATTAGGAAGTCAAAATCGCGAAAAATGCCTTACCTCCAATGTTTGGCTCTTCGACCATCGAGACACAAATTGTTGGACAGTTGACGACAGGCACTCTGGACGGGTCCAACGATTCTTCGTCACACTCGTCCGTGAAATTTCGAGGTTTCTAGAATGATTGGTTTACCCGTGCATATTTGAGCCTAAACTTAAACTTGAGTTTGAGCCTAAGCCTAAGCCTAAACCTAATTAGGGAAGTCCAAGATACCCGCAACACGAATCGGGCTGAAAATTTGCACAGTTATAGAACCGACCATGCTGATCTTCGTCTCGTTTTCCGAATTTGCTACCGAGCTGCTTAAATAATTAAGATATTAAACTTTCAAACGGCGCCAAAAACCCGCCATCCTGAACCTGGCCCACTAGAGCGGGTGGGGTTCAAGAGGCCATTGGGAAGCCCCCTTTCCAGAGCTTCGGTAGTCAACTGGAAAGCGCCTAGCTTCCCAGGTGGAGGGTCCGGGTTCGGACCCGGGGCCGCGCATTTTTATTTTGCTTTTTGCTAATTCTGCGCGGCACATGTGGCGCGTCTCCAAATATTTACGTACATCCTAGAAATGAAATTCAACGAAATCATAAATTTATGAAAAAGTTCATAAAAAATAACACTAGTAAAAAAAATTGTTAAGAACCGGTATTCCGTAATTCGACGGCAGCATCCGGCTCATCTGCGTGTAGTAAAAAACACAATCTGGCCACGCGCCACATGTGCGGCGCAAAATGCCTAGTGCAGAATGCAGAATGCCCAAAGTCAAAGCCCAAGCCTACCCTGCGCCGGAAGCATAAGCGTAAAACACTCACCTTATAAATATTCGACAACACCGGCCAAATGGCTTCGTAGAGCCGTGACATGCAAGAGAAGCACCGCGCTGTGTCTAAAAATTACTCAGTAAGGCTGCTGAAATGTATTTAATTTCTGTTGTTTATTATCTTAAATTGTATTCCAATACCTTAAGCTAGACCGAAAGACCTTTTGATCTGAAAAACATGCTTATATAACTTTTACGCGCCTCTCTGTAGCGTACCAGCAGATGGTATGGAGTTGTCATAGATGTAGCCCAACTCCGGCTCCGGTTGCATGGGTGGATGGGTGTGAAATAGGGGGAACAAGGCCGTCAACAGGACGCACACGTAGCCAGCACTCATCCGGCTCGCCCACTCTCTCAGCCCATCACTTTTTCCGGCTCGGGGGGCACAACCCGGCTGGATACGGTAGGTTATGGGAGTGAGATGGAAAGAGAACTGTAGATCGGGGTTTTGAAAATGAGGTATAAATTATGGAAACCAGGAAATTAAAAAAATTGATTTGAAGGTATCGGAAACGCGAAAAAGTGGAATGTTCTGGCTTTGGGTTTCAGCTATGCTCGCGGGCGACACGGGACGTGTATGCCGCGAGTAAATGAAAAAAAAAGTGATCGTAATCGATTACGCAATCAAATCTGACTCCTAAATTCAGCATTGCCAACCTTTTCAAGGAACAGACAAGGCAGTACCACTAATTTTCCGCTTTTTATCCAAAATATAACTAACAATTTTAAGAGTGCTAAACACGAATGGATACGCGGCAAATGCGCGTCCAAAAATTGAACAGTAAACTAAAGCTGGAAAAATACCTAACCCTGCCTCGCCTGTTTCCTTAATTTTGATTCCGCCCTCTACGTTATACAAATTGAATCGTACGGTTTCCAGCAACGACTGTCACATAATAATAAAAATGACAATAACGTAATGACAAAATCCGAGCGCCAACATTACGCGGCGCCCCGTCCAATAATAAGCATCTCGGCCTCTCGAGGGGGCGGATGGGGGGGGCAGAACAACTCGTGATTATCGCCTCGTTTTCGGGGGCTCCTAGTCCCCATACGGCGGGCCATTCCCAAAAAATACAAAAGACGGCTGGGAATCGCGGATAATTGGCGGGGCGGTTCATTTGGACCGCGCGGCGGGGACAGGAAAGTCTTTTTTTCTGGGGGGAAAGTGCTTTGGGACACGACGTCAGTGGGATTACAGGAATGTTTTTTCGTAGTTTAGGCTAGCGGACAAATTAACTTTGAATATCGGGGAACGTCCCGAATTAAAATCACAAAATACACGAATCAATTTGCCTAGAAAACTTCATCTACATAGGAAAATAGCTCTTTTTCTATGGTAGGCCTGTCTTTTCGAGGATGGTGCCCCCTGAGCCTTTAAATTTAGTAAAAAATTAACATAGCAATGTTACACAAATTTCAAGGGCGTGGACAACCGAAAGATTGCTTATTAATTAACCCAGACTTCATTAGCAAAAATTTGCGCTAAAACATAGTGCAGGTGAAAACCAGCCGGAAATCTCGAGGTCCCGCCGCGGACTTTCTGGGCCCCACAAAATGCAAATTTTAATGTGCCCCCGGGTTAAGACCACTGCCCCCTCCCCTCGGGATTTTCGTGTGGGAATGCTTTGGGAAGCCCCGGGGGATTTGAATAAATTGGCGCCGAGCCTGGTGGCCAATCTTGAGGGATACAATATGAATTTTGCAAATGTGTTGTGTAAACAAGTAACAAAAAGGCGAGGTATTGATTCAAGGTATAGTAGTTGTACTGGTCCTTCGAGTAATACATTACTTTATCCCCCGGTCGGAAGTTCCCGAGATTTCAAACTTTTTGTTCACATTACTGTAGCTGAAATTAAAACCCTTAGCATATTTTTTAATGCTCTATCGAATGGCGGTGCAAAAATCCCGACAAAATAGTGGAAATTTTGGAAAAATTAGGGTCATTCGCGATAGGTCAAGGTCAAGTAAGCAGGAGGACGTTTTCTGCTAATATTCAAGATTGCCTTACTAGATGTGGTATCTTGTTCGTATTGTGAAAATTTTAGGTGAATACATCCGATTTGGCGACAAAATGTTAATTAGGATGCAAAGCAATACAATTTATATAAATAGGAGTCTATTTTGTCATGGATCGTCTTCGTGAATTTTTAGAGAATGATTCAGAAATTTTCAGAATTACTGTAATTTACTTGCGGACAAGCCAAAAAAACCCCACAAAAACTGGAAAACAAAATATGCAAATGTTCCAAAGTCGGCTGGTCCAATACCCAATCCAAAAATGCGCCAAAAATGGGACACAACATATGGGAACCCGTTCTCCTACCCCTCGACTCATTCAAGTGGAATTGATCAAGGAGCACTTTTCATGAGGACTCGAATGGCTTCAAGCACAAGAAGAGAGTAAGGGGCTCAGAGATTTGCCGGAAATCACAGATGCCCCCCTCTTTTGCCAAAGGCTATCTATCCCCTGTGGGGGCAATTATTGGGTGGCCACAACGACTCTATTGAAAGAAGAAATTGGGGACACAAGCAGCCGGTGGTGATCTCTCGCTCTGTGAAAACCCACACGCCCCCAAGGCACCCTCATTTATCATCCGATCAACCGGGCCTCTCACCTTTTTGCCCCCTCAATGCCATGAGCCGCGACTTTTGTGCCACCTTTTTTCGTTATCACGGGCCCCGTGGCTGGGCTAGCTAGAAGAGACAGAGAAAGAAAGGCGTTTGTCACCAGGGAAATTCGTGGAAGTGAGATAACGTAAATAAAACGTGGCTATCCGTCTAAATCCACATTGTAGATGGTAAATACATTCTAAAAAAAATTTTAAGAGTACGAAACTCATATTTAAAGTTTTAAAATTCTTTTATATTGTCTTTTTAAGATAAATTAAACATCTGAAGCTTGTAGCTTGAATTTCTACGGTAGTTTTCAATTGGTAGCGGTTTGAATTAACCTTATACTAGATAATAGTATTTCTTTGAATATAATCGTCCTAGCTGTGCACCCAGAATCGAATCAGTAGTAGTAAAACCCCGACAAAACTGGTCAAACTCGATAAATTTAATGGAAAATTTCGATATTTAAAAAATACAATCTAGAAATTTAGAATAAAGGAATTACTGGAATTTCAATCATACAACACCGTGATAAGCAGTAACCGGATTTACGAAGACTTTAGGCCTTCCTTTCCGACGCGCCACCAAGCTCCGAAATCAGCTAATGGCTCATTTTCCCATGCCCCTCCACCCTCCTTTTAGTTGAGAAGGACATGTGTTCATCCCCAACCCCCCGAAGAGCCACTTCTTCCATACCCATCCGACAGAACGAACGCCGTTGGAGGGCATAATGCATTTATGGGCCACCCTCTCACTAAACGTCCTGCCCACCCTCTTTTTAAACTTGTCAGCAAGCACACGGGCTGAAATCTGCGCCCGGCACAAAATGACGCTCAAAAGGCCACAAATCCAGCGCCAAGGGTTAGGCCGCTCATTTTATTGGCACCTCTGGTAGTGGTTATAAGCATGCGAAATAAGCGGAACGGTTTGAAGGGAATTTTATTAGGGAATTGAATTTTTACGAATCTGCTTTTTTGGCAGCATTCATGAACAAAAATTATTTTCGCAATTATGGAAATTTATTTATTTTTAATTTTACAAAAAATTTAATATCTTAAAATACCGGGTCCTTGTGAAAATCCTAGTGTACCGTTGTGAATAAGCCTGTTCTACCTAATCAAAACCGAAGTAGAGGTAGGAAAAATAGATAAAAAGAAGTTAGAAACATAGGAATAAGTTTGCACCTAACTTACTTTTCTAGCCAATAGCTACATCCGTAAAAGTGAAACCCGACTCTTACATCGTTGTTTGAATAGAGATGCGCACCGAAATGAATCCCGCCAACCGCTAAAACGTTGCTACTGCAATTCTAACAAATCCTACCCATTTAAAAATCGCTTTTACGGCCATAACTGAATGATTTAAAATCAGCAAAAACTTAAAACGCCTAAAACCGATGTAAAACCTACGCAAGCCAAGCTGTATCTAACTATAAAAAAATTGAACTATAAAACACTGCACTACTCTAGAAGAGAAACTGGGGTCCGCTTCACCATCCATAGAGGTGCTTCAAATTTTCGAGAATCCAATGTGTGGAAGACAATGGCTGGAAAGGGCCCTATGCCCTCCGATTTTGGGCACTTTACGTTGCCCCGATGCGCCGCCCGTCCCATCCAAAAATGACAAATAAAATTGTCAATGTGTGTGGGGGCTGGGTTCAGCAGGGTCCATAAATTTTGAAAGGAGCTACGAGCTGGAGAGCAGAATGGTGGTCTCGATTTCTGGGGGTTTTAAATCAGGGATGGACAGGGAATGGGGCAATTTGAGGTGAAACATTTAGGGGGATGGTGTTGAGGGATTTATTGGATGGTTGAAATTTATTTGGATTGGTAGTCGCTGCTGTTATATAGAATTCAGTCGTCATCGGGTTTGAAATACCGCATATTCGGTAATAAAGGTTGCTAGAATTTCTTAAGCTTGGATTTAGAATTGAAAAATTATTTACAGGAGTTCTGTCTAAGCTTTGTTTTTCGAGCTAGTCGTTTAAGTTACTTAAAGCGGTAAAACGGATGCAATTGGTTAAAATTACGACTAATTTTAAGACATCATTCGATATTTTAGTCGACACAATAAATTCATATAAACCCCTCAGTTTATTTTTGCGCGCATGATGTAGATTTTAGGTAGATTAGTACGTGAACTCACGTCGATAAGTGGGCCTGGCCTCTTCGTGGGGTCCTTGTACGTATTGAGCGATGGTCGTTGTCGTCGTCACCGTCGTCACCACCAGGATCCAGCCGAGCCAAGCCCGCATTACACGACGCCAAGCATCCGCTAAAAAAATTTGCATACGCTCTTCGTGGATGGAAGTTTTGAAAAATTCGAAAAATATTAAATTCGTCAAAAACTTCACAAAATGCTAGATGAGTCAGAAAGCGATCCACTCATACCCTATCAAATTAAGTTATAAAATAAAAACAATCAATAAAGCTATAAATCGAAAATTTTATTCTGTCCTAGATCAAACACATCAAATGCAACTTTTTTCAATGAACTCCGGAAAACCCGAAAAAATGCCGATTTCCGGATAAGAAAACATCAAAGACTGCCAAACAAGTGATATCGGCTGTAATGTGGTTGTTGTCCAGCGTGTATCTCGAGCTCGATCGACACCCACAAAAAAACACGAGTTCCCGGCCAAATGAACGGGATTTC